CGTCGGAGAGGGCCGACGAGGACAATCAATGGATGGGACGGATTGCAAAATGGGGGCCGGCGGGAGAGAAGACGAGGGTAAGAAAGGACCTGGGGAGGGGAAGAAAGGAAGAAAGATGGAAGAATCAAACAGAGTTTGGCGGTTGGAGCAACGATGGCTTTTCGCTAGTGAGGTATCCGTCGGGTGGAAATTGATTGGAGGTTAATCCGCACCTTGAGGTAGTCGAAAGAAGAGAGACTGAATCAAGCAGAAAAAAGAAAAAAAGTAGCAAACGAGAGGTCGGGCCGGCTGTCGCGCGCGATGGCCGAGGACTTTCAATTGGGTGGGCGTGTTGTTTTACAGTGGATGGGGGGCAATTTTAGGGGGGGAGGGGGTCTGGGGCTGGCGTTGGCGAGAGCCATACAGCCATGCAAGATGGTAGTAGTAAAGTGCCTGCGCAACGTATCTCACTTACGAAACACCTAACTGGGTAACCAGATGGTAAGTCGACCATTTGAGTTTTGCAAGAGCTTGTTCGCACAAGCACCTTGTATAACCTTACCGGATACTCGACGTACAGAGTACTGGCAGTGGCAACGGGGCGCTGCGCCAACCTGGACGGCGGCATCGCTGATGGCCTTCAAGCAGCGGAAACAAGCCGGCCGGTGGTAGTGCACGATGCATTTTCAGAATCTTTCTGAGTTGACAATTTAAATCCAGCCCTTGATTGTTTCTAGTGAGATACACAGGCGGAGTACCTCTACACATAGGCACTCAGTATACAAATGAGCTACGGACACTTGTGGTAAATTCAAAGGAAGCCACCGCTACCAGTACAGCGAACCTCCACTGCCCCTCTCAGCCTGCTTTGAACCCCTGTCCAAATCGTCTGCCTCCCCCAGCACCATGCATGCACGCTGCAACAACCAGCCATGGCGCTTCGGCGCATCTTGTTGGACTCGTGGCTGGGCTAATAATAAGAGTACGGCCTATATTGATTGAGTTTTGCCTCGCATTACAATGTTCCATTCAAAGGAACACAACATGGGCATTTCTGTAATCCTAGGTGCCTGCCGGTACTGTCTACTTGCGGAGTAACATTGCCCTCTGAACAGGCCAATTTACCCCATTTACCTATTTAGGAAACTCCGTCTGTTCTCTTTCCTCGCCCCATCATGCTCCGCTTCGTGTGGTAGCCCATCACGATGCTCACAAACAACTTCACCTCGTCAATCCGCCTCAACCCTCGTCAACCCACCTCAACCTCCAGTCCTTGGTCCCTTGTTTACTGGAAAAGTTACTAGTGGTGATTACTTCCTTCCCAGTACTACTAACTTGCAGCAAATACCTCTAGCGGGGCCTTGTGCACGACTCAGCCAGTCCTGCAGCCATTTTCCTCTTCTCCTGCACGAAAAACTCTCTGCGGTGTGCACATGCCTCCTCCTCCAGCCGACAGCCGAGCTATTGTGCTTTCTTTTTGCTTTCCCCTCTTTGACCCCTGCATTTTCGGTCGCTGTACATCCTCTCAACGGCCAGCCGTCGCCGCCTTTTCGATTCACCTCCACCAATTCCGTCATCATCCTGCTAATAATTCTCTCCATCGCCTTGCGGTCCACCGAGTCACCACTCCCTCGAAGAGCTCCAGTTAACAGCGTTTCAAAGTCGCCCTAGCATCTTCTCTCGCAGGTCTTCCTTCGGGCTGAACGACAAACATGCAACGGTTTCAAACCTTTGGGGCTGACGACACTCACCCTTATATACTATCCTCTCTGCTCTCAGCAAGATACCAGGACCAATAGCTTTAAACCATGTCTTCTCGCAAGAGAAAACCGTCAGATCGGATATCAATGGCTGCCTCCAAACCGACCTGTAGCGTGGCTGTTGTTGCATCTGCTAATTACCTACCGGTAGTAGCTTTGCCTTTGGCCATCACACTATACTCGAACTGCTATACGGCGCAGGTTTCTTGTAGATCTGTGGTGCATGTTTTTGTCTATGGCTGCCTCAACCAACCCGGCTTCACGGCCAAATGTCACATCAAATGGATTGCCAATAGACATGCTCGTTCTTATCCGCGCCGCACCTGCCAACGTCGCAGAGGTGTGAGCAGGTTCGGGGTAAAAGGAAGTACAGGTGGACTTGAAATCACGACTAGATACAAGACTGGCGAATCGTGGCGGTCGCCAAACGCCCAAGGCGAGCTTACCCTGGCGATTCCCGACTGCCACGCCCGCTCATCACCATCGCCGTTGCAACACAACGGCAAGCGAAAAGTGGCGCTCAGCTACGCCCATCACTACCTTCGATACGCCATCGACGGCTAAGCCGTTCTGCACGAAGTCAGCAATTGCTCAGCTCGGATACGGCCTAGAGACGAAGCGAGCAAAAGATCCATTTCAAGATCAGCTGCTCTATAATACCTGCGTTTGATAAGAAACAGCGGAGCTACCCAAGCCGCCATTGCCGGCTTACCAGCTATTGCCTCTTAAACGATTCGGCATAATGAAACTCAGCCACATATCTATATCCTGCTCGGCCCGAGCGTTTTGATCTGTATAAGGCTCCTGCCACTACTTTCGTGGCCATCTACTTGGCCGCCTCTTTATCACCCCGGCAGACTCCTCGGTGCTCCGAGAGTGTTGCTGTATTTGGAGAAATGTGTGATGGAAAGGCGACGTTCAGCTGCCTGCGACTTTGACTGGGCTTCCATCTCCGTACAGGTGATTGGGCCAAACTCGGCTGTCGCTGCGACGGCTCCATGCATATGCTGCACTCCGTTCCGTCATAATAGCCCATCATTACTTTATTTGAACAGCCATGCAAACTGCAGAGGCCACTCCTCCACGGTGTTGGCCTGGCCTTGGGTAAATGGCAGTTGGCGAAGCTGAACGTGACGCTATTGAAGCTCCCCCCGCATACGCCAATGGTTGCTGCCTATTTTTTTTCTTTTGCCATGCCGCCCTTGAACTGCTATTTCGCGACTTTTTCAAAAGCAGAGAAGAGGCTACGCCCAGCCCGGGTCTCCAATGGCGACCGTTTGCTTGTTATTTGCCACAAGATGGCGACGATCAAGCTCTTGGAAGCTTCCCACGATCCCCCCTCAATATTAGCCAGAACACAGAACAACCTATTAGTGAAGTCCATTGAGCTAGAGAACTAGCGGGAATGCCATTACGGCCAGCTCTCCAGTTATCAGATGTCACCAATGATGGCGTCTCACACATAACGACATGCCGTCTTGGCGGAAATGACACTGGTTGGCCTAGACTGCTCACCAGCGCACTCCCAGATCCAGGCTGCGATTTTCTTGCCCACAAATACAACAAGGACAAGGTAGCGATTTGGCTGATCCCTTGACCCAGCTCGCACCATTGCCCATGTGCCGATAACTATTGCCATTGAAATGCCACGCTAACTAGCCTGCAAACTTTGAAGGCCGCTTTAATAAAGTGTTGAATCTAGCGCATGCGGGCCATGGCGGAAATTGCCGATGCTATTTGCACCCATGCGACAGCCTGCTGCATCTTGACAACACAAAACCAAGACATGCGCGTCATTGAGTTGGAACAAGGGCAAGAGCGGAACATGGTAATAGACAGGTCAACACACAAAGACCAATGTGCAGATACCAGATGCAGCCGCCAAACGGAAGCTGTCAATGCCGCCTGAGTCAGTCCCATACTTTTTACTGTCGCGGTTTCGTCTCCGTCCTTCGTACTTGGCGGAACCCGATTATTCAGCCAGTCCCGCACATGGCCGACTCATCCGGGACTTCGAATTGGAGGGAGAAGAGCTTCGTCGTGCATTTCCTCCCCTTCTGATACTTGTAGTGCGACGACAAAGTCCTGCCCCAACGGGCCAAGTATTTGCTGCAGGCTGCCCCAGAAAGGCCGACAGGGCCGGGCTCGATTGGAGCCCGATAGCCGAGTGAATGGAGCAGAATAAGCTCGTATGACCACCCTTGATGGGCAGAGGTGGGTAGTGAGTTGTCGGTGTGTTGCAGGTACTTTGGTCGAGAAGAGGGGAACGAGCAAAACAAGTTGATTGGGTGAGATATATAACATGTCTGGCTGACGGGGAGGTCGGGGAGAGGGCGGGAAAGCGAACAGCCAATTCAGCCAGCGCGGGGCTCGTCGTTTACTCTCACCCCGCATGGCCGATGCCGAACATTTACTTTGATCGGCTTTGTTCGATGCCGTCTGCGGCAAGACATATGACTACGTAATAGCAGTTTTTACCCAAGCCTTAGAGTACCAAAGTCGTCATGTTGAGCGTTGCAGAGAGCGCACGCAGCCACACTATACCCTTCCCCCGCCGCGAGGGTGGCCCTACGCTCGTTCCAAAAGAGGCAAGGGAAGCCGCCAGGCTCGGTCTTCACTGCTCGTGGCCTTTTCTCTATTTCTCTTCTCTCCATTACCGGGTAAGGTTGCAGTGGGAATAGTAGTCCACAAAGTTCTCCAGATTGAGAATAGGTGACCCCCGTTGTGGTAGTATACCTGGCGTCTCAGTGCCTACTATCTACAAGGCAAGGTAAGGTCACTAGGCCGCGCCGGATTCGGTGCCCCAGCGCGGTCTCTCTAAGACTGCATGTGTGGTGGCCGGTTGGAGACAGGGCCCGGCAAGTCGTCTATCAATGTCTTGTCGTTTGAGCAGTCGCACCACCGTGGTTCTCACAGACAAGAAGGGAGCGGACGGAGCCTTCGTACTACGAGTCTTCCGCAGCAGGTACATATCACCGAGTCGTCAAGATCAAGTAGAAGGTAGGCGGTTGGATGATCAGAGTAAGGATGTGGATTCAAGAAGTAGAGGGCGGCAAATTTACATCGTGGCAGCGCATCTTTCTGGCGCGCTATAACTAACTAGAACTGTCCAGAGTCACAAGATTCAACAGGAAGAATAAAGAGACATGTTCCGGTTCCATAAAACTCCTTATCCCGTTCCCACGCAAAACAAATTTGAGCTGTCCATCCCGCATTAAACGCCAAAAAACCATCAACAAGAAACTACAGAGCCACCGAAGCTCAAGAGCCGGGGACGGGAAGGATGGGATACAGAGAGTTGCCCTCCTTGCCCTTGCCGAGCGCGCGGGGAGGCATCTGAGGGCTCTTGACGTCAACATCCATAGCGTCGCCGCTGGGGCGATTGGGCTCGTCCTGGACGTACTCCCTGCGCTCCAGACGGCCGCGGATGTACTCACGCAGGCCTTCAATGACGCGCATGTTCTCCAACCAGCGGTCGTACTGCTCCTCGCGCTCGCGCGTCGTCTCGCTGGCCTCGGACGAGTCCGAGGAGGGAGACGCCGGGCCCTCGGCGCCGGGAGCGGCCTTGGGGGTGGCGGCTCCGCTGGAGAGGGGCTCGGCGGAGCGCACGGGCAGAGGGCCGCGGGCGCGCTGGAGAAGGCCGCCCGAGTAGCGGCGGCGCTCCGTCATGTCAAAGCTGGGACCGAGTGTGGCCGTGGCCGACTGTCCGTAGCCGTGGCTGGCGGCAGGTAGGCTGGTAGGCAGACTCGGGTACATGACGGCGGCCGGGCTGTGGCGCGACTGCGGGGAGAGGCCGGCGGCAGACATGCCAGAGGCAGACGGGCTGGGGGAGTGACCCGATGTGTAGGACATGGAGCTGGAGGGAGGAGTGACGGCGGGCGTGCCGGTGGAGGAGATGGCGGTGAGCGGCGAGGCCATACTGGCGGCCGAGACGGCGTAGCCGTCGGCCATGTGCGTGGGCGATCCGCGGTGCATGGTGTTGGGCGAAGGTGTGTTGCGGAAGCCGCCGCCGTAGCCGTGGTCGCTGCCGCTGTGAATGTGGACGCCGGCAGTGGCGTGGTTGGCGTTCTCGTAGATGGTGTCCTGCATCTGGCCGAGGAGGTTGTCGATCTGGACGAGGTCCTTCTGGGTGCGGGCGCTGGGCATGGGCAGGTAGTACTGCTGCGCGAGAGGGTTGTGGGAAATGGGAGGGTGGACGCCGGCGCTCATGCCGCCGGAGACATGCGCCGGCTGAGGCATGTAGTGCTGCTCAGCGGCCATCGGGCCGTTGGGGACGGACAGGGAGCCGTGGAGGGGGAGAAGGGAGCGGCCAATGTCGGCATATGACGAGGGGTCAATGTGGCGGCGCTTGGCGCTGCCGAAGAAGTCGTCAACCATGTCGTAGGTGCGCTTGCGGTCGTATCCGCCAGCGGCAGCGGCGCTGTAGCCAATGTGTTCCGCGCGAGGGGTGTTGAGAGGCGGTTGGTTGAAGTACATTCCGTAGCTCGCCGGCTGTTGAGGAGCGTAGTAACTACCGGGGTGGCTCGGCTGAGGGAAGCCGGCATGGCCAGAACGCATCTGGCCGTTGTGGTCATAGTAGCTAGGGGCTGCCGAGTATGTCAGTAGGTTGCTCCGCGTGTGCATAGCGCCGTGATATAGAAGAAACATACCCTTAGACTGGGTTCGGTAGTTAAAGCCGTTATCCTGGCGGGAGAGGACGGAGTCGTCGGCATGCGTCTTGACGTGCTTCTTCAGGTCCTGAGGGCGCTTGAACGACTTGCCACAGAACTCGCACTTGTGGGGCTTGAGAGGGACGTGGACTCGGATATGCGAGGTGATGTGGTCACGCTTAACGGTAGTGGTGCGGCACGAGTTCCATTGGCAGGTGAGGCTCAGGTTGTTGGTGCTTTTGCGGCCAACATGGCGATCGCAGATGTGTTCCTATAGGCGATGGGGTCAGATACAGGCGGGAATAGAGACACAAAATTTGGGCGCGGCATGCATACATAAAGAATCTCGGGGCTGGCGAACTTTTGGTTGCACTGGTTCCAGCGGCATGTGAGGTTGTCTTCGGCCATGAGAGCCAGGGAGGCGGCGCTGGAGCTGGCGCTCGACGGCGCGGGGGTGGCGGATTTGGAGTCGCTGCTGCTGCTGCTGACCCCAGAGGTGACCTGGGAGATATCGGGGAGTTGCGACATTGCAACGGTCGAAGGATAGAGTGAAGCTGTCAAGAGGTCGGCCGGTGCGGTTCCGGGACGGGATCGACTTGTATTAGCGTGCAAGAGACGTTTGTGGCGATTGGTAGGTGAGCTGTTAGCGGATCAAGGTTGTTGAGGAAGTAGGTCCAACGGAGCTGGGGGAGGTTGTAGATTAAATGTCGATTGAGACGAAAATAAGCCAAGGAGGGTCAAGAAGCGAGACTTGGATTTTTTAATAGAAAACAAAAAAGAAAAAAAGAAAAAGATAATGTTGCGGGGAGGGCGGTTGGCTTTAGATGCTGATACTTCGGTAGGTACCAAAGCCAAGTTGCCATGTCTTGGCGCGACGACTGAAGGGGCGAGCGGAAAGTCTTGGCGGCATTGGCATGCCAAGACGAGGTATCTCTTGGCAAGAGTACCTAATATTACTAAGGATTTATGTTGCGGATGAGGTATTGCAGCATGCCTGGACATTGGGATATGCGGCGGAGCAGAGTTTGCCAAGACCGCCAAGAGCTTGGCGGTCTTGGCAGGATACCCATCGACAGCGTTCGATTGGCTGTTGTGGTGACTGTGGGGCGCGGGCTCAGCACTCGCCTTGTACCAATGGGCGTCTTCGGCGGTCCAGGCTCTTCTGTTTCTCCAGCCCAACCTTGGGCAGTGTCCGTTCCTGATCCCCGTTTGCCAATTGCCAATCGAGGCCAGCGGCAGGAATGAGCTCATATCTCTTGATTTCTTGTGCGATGGCATGGCATCATGGTGCTTTTATCGTCATCGGTGATACGAAAGATTCTCAGCTGCTCTCGGCAAGGCGAAAAAGCAAGGGCATCCCTTCGACAGCTCCCTCTCTTAGCAGCCGAAAACGCTGAAGGCGCCGTACCAGTGGAGCGATCGCCTTGTTGCCAAATCCAGCTTCGTCAGAAGCCCCGAAAAGGACCGCATGGCTGGCTTGCCTGCGCAAATTAAAAATACTCTTCGTCGTCTCGTGTGCAGTTCCTGTTTGTTTATCGCTGACTACAACCTGACCACCAGCCAGCCAGTCAACGAGTCAGAATGAAAGTGTCGCACAACTGCCTCATATTGGCATGATCGGCAGTCCGTGGCTGTTTCGCTGCGGCTCCTGTCAAAAGAGGCGACTGACGCTGCCTCACTGCTATTATTGATTCGGCGAATGTCATTCGCTCACTTTTTTATTATGGTCGTCCTCATCAGGGGATACATGACCGTGGCCATGGCTTCCGCCACAGCTGCAAGAGCATACCAAACGGACGTACAGCCTTCGCAGTCTCTGCCATGACAGCACCACTACTCGAAGCCGGACCTGCCGGCTCATGACGCTATCCATCCGAGCCCGACTCTGCCGTATGACCACGCAACTCATCTCCTGTTTTTCGTCCCACGTGAAGTGGCCGCCGGGCCCAAACAACCGGGCCTGCGAACAGCCTGGTGAGGCCATCTCACCCTTCGCCTCGCCAGCAACCCAGCGATCGCCCAGACTGAACAAGAAATGAATCAAGCTTTCCGCTGGGCGCCCAGGCTCTGTGCCCCTCCGCCTCCGCCGCAGACTAAAGCATGCCGCAATCGCTAAATACGTGGGGCTTGGCCGGGGTATGCACGACAAATTGGAGAGTCCAAGACATTTGCTGCAAGACAAGGAAGGCCCTGCCTGCTAACTACGAGGAGCTAGTTTGCCGATGGTGTTGTCTCTGGACTGCACATGGAAGCCAGTAACATTATCTGCCGTCTTTCTCTTGTTTCTTCCAATTTCGCTCTGGCGTGGATGCTGGCTTGGCCTGTGGCTGCTTCCTTTGGCCCGCCATGCATCATTTGCTAAGCTGACGCGGAATCCATTACAGCCATCGTCACACAAACTGACATCCTCTCGCGCCCAAACTTGGACAGGCGACAGGTCTAGGGAAGTATTGGACGAACCACCCAATTAAGCTCGTTTTCATGCGTGGCACATGAGCTGATCCCAGGCAAAACGGCGACGCTACAGCAGGTCAGGTCTCGGCATCGTCTTCAGGGTTTGCGAAGGTGACATGATTAGGGCCACATAGCCACCCATTTGGCTCACGACCGTTTTATTACGAGTAAGTTTAATAGCTCAGCCATGCCACCCTGCGCCATCCCCCTCCACGTGTTGCTTATTTCAACGCGCCGTGGCTCGAAATCCCCGGCCCTGGCCCTAGAAGGCTTGGAGGCCTTTTTCCCTTTTGCTTGGCGCTTGGCGTCGCTACACAATCAATATGCCAAGAAACGCTGCCAAGCTCCCAGCGAGGCGCAATGCCGACTGCCAATGTTGATCAGGACGCGACTCAGTTTTGTCTTTCACACAGGCGAAACCAGACAACGGCGACCACGGCGACCACGGCGACTTCGCCAGCAGTAGTGCCCCTTGGCCAAGCAGTTCCCAGGCAGCGCAGCCAAGATATCTGCCCGTTGCCTGGTTCCCTCCCCGCATTTCGATAAGGGAGCCATTCATTATACTTTCCAGCTGAGGCGACGAGGCGGCATCCCAAGGCTGGGGAGTATCAAGTGAGGCACCCAGCAACCAATCTCGCGGTCGGTTGTAACAAAAGCTATCACCCGTCAATGCTTCGATGCAAATCTACGGGGAATCTCACATCCCGAATCAGGAAGGAGGACAGCACAAGGATGCAGCTCCAGGCCCCTAGTTTTAGGGGCTGGTTAGTGACGACGCCAGCTTTTAATTTAAGCTTGTTCAGGGTGGGTGGCTGCCGCAGATCAATAATACCTCGTCGTGCAATTTTCGGCATTCTCTGTTGGCCCCCGAAGTACACGTACGCGTTCTCCTGATACACACGGAGGTGACTGGCCACGTACGTATCTCGACAGGACGGCAAATCTGACGCCGGTCAAAGCTATACATGCCAAGCCAGGCAGAGTCTGAAGACGGCTTCACATCTGAGCATGCCGCGCATGCGCAAGAAGTCTATCACAAACCCTTGAAATCCCTTGGCGGTAGTGACAGCATTAGCCACGGGGCCAAGACGGCAGTCGTCAGCGACATCCAAGCCCAAGAACTTGGCACCCCTAGATGCGGAGGGCTCAGATGTTTACTCGATTTTTTTTATCGTCGGCAATCTTCCGACCCTCGCTAGGAGCAGCAACTTTGCCAGCACTTCTGCTGCCGCCAAGCCTTCATCTTTTGACGTTTGAAGAAGGGATTTGTAAAGGAAACGAGGACCTGAATAATTGTTTTATGCTGTGACTAAGTGTTCGTGGTTTCGCTTTCGCTTGCATTAGCACATTTAGCGCATGCTGCCTCTGAATGGGGAGCAGTGTTTCTAATAATGGCTCTCCTGCGGCACCGTCAGCTCCAGGCTGCTTCTCTGGCCGAAGTGATTTGAGCAAGGGCTTGAGGCCGCTTCTTCAACCGACACGCGCTCCGAATACTTGGTGACAGTTAGCTTGGGCTGACTAGAATAGGCCTTCTGCAGTACTCCTTACGCTCATCAATGTCCCAAATGTCTGTAGCCGAGCAGCAGATGGGATCTTCCTCACAGTATTGGGAGCAGCTGAGCCTTTGAAATGGGTTCCAGAAGCGTTACAAAAAGAGCTAGAATACGGTATATTGAGGCCCGTCCAGGCGCTGTCCGTCTCTGCTTTGTCTTCTGGGAGCAACAATCCTCACTGCGGGGATGATGACGGCGGGAAACAGTCAGTTACAGGTCAGTGAGAAGCCACGGTGCTGTTCTGGGCATCATTCCACCCCAAACTACGCTGATGACGGCGCTGACTCTTGGTAAAGCGAAGACTGCAGTGTTGCCGCTCCGCGTGCGCGAGCAAGAGGCCGGCTTGGCTTCATCGCATAAGACTCGGCGCGCTTCGATTCACGGCTCCTTCCTATTTCTCCGTGGCACAGGGTAGCAAAGATGACTATGTGTTCGAGATGCTGTCACGAAGCAAGACATGGTGATCAGCAATTCTTGGTCCAAGGCCTTCCTGATCGGTGTGGCTGTTTTCGGAAGTCGGAAGGGGCATCCGGGACACGTCGAATGTGGGCGTCAATCGCATGGTCGTGGGGTGCCAAGGTGAGATTGATCTTGGGCCAGTGATGTTTGTTGCGGTAATGCGAGACATCGAACCCCAGCGACCGACCTTCCAAAGAAGAAGCGCGCATTCGACAAAAAATCGACAATGCAAATTAGTATCGCTGGACAGCATCTATTTATCTCCTTTGTCTCTTCAGCGGAACCCTCTTGCGTCATTCCGCCTGAGACTGAGGCACGGCCCTACACTGCGTCCGCTACGAGTCATTGGAGACTGAGATGCCACCAGCATCTTTTCTTGATGGAAAACGATACCACGGCGTTTTATTACAGGTCCCGAGACATCCAAACGCCGAGTACGTTTTTTTTTATCTATGGCACAGATATCCGTAGGGCGTTCAACCTCAAGGAAGAACTTCTCGCATTGATGCACGACAGGGATGGCGGCTTCAGCTGCCCCGGTTGTCGGATCAGGCTGGCGAATTGAAGAAGGGCTTTGCCTGACAGGGCCGAACAACTCCTGTCAGAGCAGGCTGACAGCCTGGCAGTGAACAAGGGACCTCCAGAGAAAGGGGACAAAGCTGGACAGCGGCGCATGAAATAGTAATCCCAGCCCAGTCGTTCTGGTTCAATCAGGCTGCGATGGTCGTCAATTTCCGCCCCCCTTCTTGACTCCTTTCTTTTTTTTCCCTCCTTTTTGTTCCTCTCATGGCCAGCGAACTACCATGTCACTCCTTTGCTGAGCTCTCTTATTCGATTTTTTTTTGTGCAAATCGCTAGTAAGCGACTTTGTGTTCCATTGATGACCGCCGGGAATAAAGTCATCCAAACACCTGCCGAATTCTCTCTCTACCTAGCCTTGCAGGCCGCTACCCGTAGAATCGATCCTCAGCATGGAAAAGGCGAGCAGCTGGCGCGACCTGCCATCGTCGCTGCTCGGCGGGGGCCGCTCGCGCCTCATCCGCATCGCTGCCTTTGCCTGCCTCTGCCTCGTGCTTACCTTCCTCTACAGCAGCGTCAGCCGCGCCAGCTCCGGCGCCGGTACCTTTGGCGGGCGGCACAAAACATACACTGGGCCGACATCCAAGGCCGGAGTGGCGCGGCCATCGTCGGCAGAGCGACGGCTCATGGACGCTGCAGGCAATGCGACGCTCGGCTTCGGCTCGATCCAGTTCATCAACCTACCGCTGCGGTTCGACCGGCTCGACGCGGCGACGCTGCAGGCGTGGCTGTCGGGTATCGACATGACCGAGGTGCGCGGCGTCTTGGCGGACGAGATCAATGACGTGGGCATGCCCCCGGAGCACCTGACGCGCGTGAAGAAGGGGGAGAAGGGCTGCTGGCGAGCCCATGCTAACGTATGTTCTCCTCTGTATATATGAGTCACCGAACAAGACTCGAAGAGCGGTGCCGCTGATCGCATTACCCACAACTTGTAGATCTGGAGCCAGATGCTCCGCGACAAGACCCCCGCGGTCCTCGTGCTCGAGTCCGACGCCGCCTGGGACGTCGAGGTGCGCGACATCATGCGCAACCTCAACCAGCACTTCACCTATCTCCTCGACGCGCTGCAGTCCAAAACCCTGCGCAACCCCTCCTTCCGCGACCGCGGCGAGTCCGGCGGTCACCCGCTCGCGCTCTCCCCCAACGACCCGTGGCACAGCACACACTGGGACCTGCTCTCCCTGGGCCAGTGCTCCGAGGACCCCGCGCACAAGGACGAGGCCCTGCGCTACCCGGACGAGCACGTCGCGCCCGGCTCCGATTACTGGGGCGCCGAGCTCGGCGCCGAGCGCGTAGTCCGGCGCTCCGGCGGGCCCGTCTGCACCACCGCCTACGCCGTCTCGCAGACCGGCGCCGCCAAGCTGCTGCTGCGCACCGCCGTCGACCTCGACAACCCCGTCGACCTGGTCATGCGCCGCATGACCATGTCCGGCGACCTCGTCGCGTACAGCGTCGCGCCCACCGTCTTTGGCCAGTGGGAGTACGTCGACGGCATCGGCATGCACGAGCGCGGGGCCAACTCGGACATCCACGGCGGCAACAGCGACGGCGAGCGCAACATGACGGGCTGGGACGAGGTCAAGCGCACGGGGAGCATCTGGCGGAGCAGGCAAGACCACGCCAACGTCGTCTCCTTCAAGGACATGGCGCTGCAGAGGGCCTGGGGCCTGATACTGGGCGAGTCGCCTCTGGAGGCGAGCCAGTTCAGCGAGGCGGCCGGCAACTGATCAGGGTGGGAGGCGTGCTGGGGAGGGTGATGGGGGGTCGCATGTGTAAGGATGAAGTTGCATTAGCGATTTTTGGGTTTGTTTATTGTATTTGCGCATTTTCACGGCCGAGTGTAGCGGCAATGGTATGCATTTTCTTTTACCAGACTACATAACATCAATATCAATCTAAACAAGAACAAGACAAACAAATGGACAACGGCTCTAGGTAGACTGGTAGCCCAGGCATAGTGGCAAGGACATCATCCGTCAAGAAGCATGGTCTAATTGTAACCGACCAAGACATCAGTCAGGACATGTAACCAGTCAAGATATCAGTCAGGACACGACGCAGGCATATTGGACGACAGCATTAGGGTCAAGAGTTTCCATTGGATCGAGGCATGGCCTGGGTACGGATACCATAAGGAAGACTACCTAAACAAAGAGCAAGTGCTCCTGACATCCCAAAATAAAAAAAAAGGGTCCTATTTATATCCCCGTCTCTTGCCTTGTTGAAGCGCAAGAGTGTCCTCGCCATTCGAGGACGAGTTCAGAGTCACACCCTCTGAACCAAATATATTCAGCTACTTGTAAAGTAGCCATAACCTAGTGTCCTCCCATTCACATATTCCAGAGCTCCCACGGAGCCACTGCTCAATGTCCTTCTATATAAGTATATGGTTTTCCCTCCCAGTTCGCCCAAGTAGGCGAGTCGGAGGGTGATTATTATCTTGTAGTGTCGTAGATTGTCGAGGCATCCGAAGATTCACTGTTCAACAGCTAAGCCGGAGCAAGATGCCAAGGGTGAAGCCTCAAGCAGATGATTTTCGACGACGATTGAAAAAAAGAAAAATTGTTGAACTGGTTCGAGACGGTTGCCAGCAGAAGGGTATGTGCAAGAAGATAAAAAGTAGCGGAAGCGAACGACAAAAAGCCATTAAAAAGTGTACCAGGAGAAACGTAGAGTGGCAAGAAAGGCCACAAGGGTTCCGCCAGGCAAGGGGTTGAGCTTCGCGCTGCGGGGGTATCTGCCCAAATGCCAGCTATTGCCAGAGACCAGAAAAATGATGCGCAAGAGTTGAGAGAAACGAGGAAGAAAAAACCTCCAAAGCAAATGTTGGAAACCCGTGTCATCGTAAGAACTGGTCATGATGTGATGGTTTCGCAGTCACATCACTCGCGTGTGACACGCAGTCCATTTGGCCCAGCCAAGTTGGCCGAGTGTATGTTGATATCCGGACCCAGTTGCATAAAGCGATAAGGAGAAGAGAAGAGAAGGGTAAAAAGCACCGAAAAAACGCCGCGCATGCATATCGTATTATACAGAACCGAGTCGTAGAAGAGCCTCGACAGCCTCACGCTCCTGAGCGCCAGAGGCACCGGCGAGCGCAGTCATGTCGAAGAGGGATTGAGGGGGACGAGCCATGCCGGACCGGCCGGAAAAGGCACGCATGCCCGTCGCACTATAAGTGTGCGGGATGGGCAGGTTGGGACTGGACAGGGCAGCGGCCATGTTGGGGTAGGACTCGGCACGCAGAGCGGCGGCTCCCATGGCGGCCCAGTCCTCGTCGTCGGTGACGTCCTCGGGGTCGTCATTCATGATGACATCGTCGTCGGGGGCCTCGGAGCATGAAGCCGACTCGTAGCCGTCCATGGACATCTTGTCAGCCTCGTCCTCCATCATGGGGATGTCGTTGTGGTCATCGTGGGAGAAGTGGAAGGACTCGCCACTGGAACCAAACTTGTTTGCCCTGGCCCTCTCCTGGGCTCTCAGGGCATTTCTGGAGATGGGGATGCCGCCGCCGGGCAGGGTCTCGGGGGGCGTGGCCTCGCGGTCACGTCCTGGCAGTCCTCTGCGTCGGGCGTTCCACCGTCCCCAGCCGACCTTTTCAAAATCCACTTCGCTATCGCCGTGCGCGCCGTCTCGGCGGCTCTCGAGGGCACTCACGACCAGCCTGCGGGCCTTGCTCGGAGGGATGCCGGAGAAGCCGGGGACAGACGTCGTCAGGTATCCGATTATGTGTCGTATCGCGAGAGGCCCGTGATTGAGCAGGATCTCTGGGAGGTGATACGTAGCCAGCATGGCGCTGGTGATGGTACCGGACGCATCGTGATGCGGGGAGACGGAGCGCTTGGGGTCGCGGGCGTCTTCGTGGAGGTCCAAGTCGGAGTCGATGGGCTCGAGCTTGGCCGCCTTCTGAAGCTGGGCCTTTAGACCGTGAGCGGGAAGCGCAGGGGAGATGGAGTTGGGAGGAGTCGGGAGGTTGTGAGATCGTGCCACAGTCGCCGGGTCGCTCCGATCCGCTACAACAGTCAAGTTGTCTCGGTTCAAGGAGGCCTGGGGGATGTCACGAGCAGCTGCTGCCTTGGAAGCCATGATGTTATGTACCAGGTGTATAGGAGAGCTTCAGAACAATTCTGGGAGGACAGGCGAGTTAGCGCGGGTGTTCCGTAGGTGTGATGGCAGGTATAGGGCTGAAGTGTCGTTTGAGAAGAAGAAAAGATGAGGGATAAGAGTATGACGAGGCAGAGGAGCGAGGGATGATGTGGAAAGTGCCCGCCGCGAGTCTCGCGATGCAGGAGCTGGTGATGAGGTGCGGTTGAGTCACTGCCTAGGGTACGGAGGTACCTACCTAAATTGTCCCAAAGCGGAAGTTGGCGAAGCTGGTATAACTGAAGCTAGGAGGGAAAGAGATGATGAATAGCTTGGATGGGCAGGCGGGCAGAGCTGGCGCGACTCTCTGGACTGTGACAGATGACTCTCGATGATTATAATAGGATGGGATTCGTCGTTGTTGTTGCTTTGAAGAAGGGAAGAAGGGAGGGTGGGAGGCGCGGCGAGACGGGGAGTTATGTATAGCAGGGGGGGAGGGCGTTGGAGGACGTTGACAGACAAGGTGATTAGAAGGCAGATTAGGCGGGCAAAGTGCCCTGTAGCGTGACGGTGGTCGTGGCGTTTGGGCGTGGCGTTTGCTCTTTGGATTTATCGTCGGTATTGTCTCGCCAAAGTATACTTTACCGTGGTCAGCAGCGAGAGGGGACTTTACGATTTGCCGTTGCCAGTCAGAGCGAGCCCACGCCAGCCCGAGCCCGAGCCCAACTGGAGCGCGGCGAGGAGGTACACGGTAGCGCAGGTACCCTTTGTCCTCGGGAGAGGCGTGGCAGGTGACAAAGACGCCGGTTTTGAGTGGCAGCCTTTTAAGAGCATGTACTTCTTTGTTCCGTATGTCTTTGCTGCAAAACACAAGTACCTCGACGCGACATGGTGTCGTCAGTGTGGAGGGTGTGCGCTGAGAGCCCCGCTATTTCACGCCGATGCAGTGGGCTCGTTGCGACGCGAGATACCTGTGAGGAATGTACCTTTTTTGTCGGTTGCACTTTCTTAGCTGACTCACTCACATGGAAGTCGAGTTATAGGCAGGTATCCCATGACTCCAGCCGCAAAGCTAATAAGCAGCCGGCGCGCGTCGCGAGTTCGGGGAACACCGAGCGCTTTGCAGTGACGCTTCCTTTGTCGAGTCCTTTTTGACGGGTTTCTTGAGCGCGTTGAACAGCTTCAGTAAATGGCCCATCGTTGCCGTCTTGTGCTGCCTCTGCAAACGCTCTGTGGCACCCTCTGTTCCTTTCAGGTAGTGAGGGGGCTGTGACGGGCAAGGGCGTGTCCTGCGGAAACAGCGCAAACGGTCTCTCTTCGCTGACCAGTAAGCTGATCTGATGGCAGCACACTACTTCTACCCGCAGCCTAAATGGCAAAAATGTTCAAGTGACGCGACTTGTAACTTTTGCCCTACTAATTTTCGTGCTTCTCATGTTTTTTCGTTCTGTGCGGTGGGTTTTGACGGAGCCCATCGTTCATCGGGTTCGCGTTGACGTTTTGGCCTTGCTTCCCCGCGCGCGGCGAGATCGGAGCTTCTCGGCCAGCAAAGCGGGCAACGTGGGCGCATCAGTTGATAAGAAGAATCGTGGGGAGACTCGCAAGCCCTAGTGTGAGGCTACAGTTGCAGCTGCATACATACATACATACTAACGACCGCCTACGGTACTACATATTTATTTTAGTGCGCCTTTCGGTTTGCCCGTCTCAAGCATGACAACAGCTGCCAGCCTGTCTTGTACGCATCTAGACCTATGTATGTACAGAGAGTACAGACGCCGTATCATCCAGAAAACCGGCAGTCGGAGTTGGACAAGACCCATCTCTCCGCCTATTTCGAATACACGTCAAGAAAGGTGCGCCCAGGTATCACAAGACAAGCCATGCATTGTGTCTATAAAGAATGAACTTACATCCGCGCATCTTGCGGGTCAAACGGGTGGGCTCGACGCCTCCAGGTACACTCCCGGCCTCCGCTAAAGGCGCTAAATTTACAGTGGGAATGCTGCTACGGAGGTGCCCACCCTAGCAAGTTACAGCGCACTTTACAGCGTCTGGCGCGCCGCCCATTGGTTTGAGCACATGCTCCTCTCGGTTCGCCCACGATACACAAGACCGGACCGTCGTGTTCATTCGCCAATTCCTGTTTTGTCACAGGCCGAAAAAAAAAAATCAAAATGATCGTTTGCGTCATTATACTTTTCGTGCGTTCTGAAAACTTTTGCGCGAGTTCCTGTGCGTCCGCTGCCACACAGATATCGTTCCCCCTTGTCGTGTAAGTCGAGGTTCTCCTTAATAAGTCAAATGAGCCTTCATTTTACTACAGGCCAGGCTGTTCTTTCAGCCGGTCCTCCCTTTGCATTCATTCATTTTCTTCCTTGGGCATTATTATAATAAGTGAATTCTCTACTTATATGCCTAGTATTATGTGTCGGGACTTGACATCGCTTCCTCTCGCAGCCCACTCTTGCCTTTGCCTTCTGCCTGGCCTGACTAAAAACTGACGTGCAGGGAGGATCCTGCTGAAAATAGCACACCCAACGCGTTACCTATGCCAAGTTGATATTATTCCCTGTCCGAGTTAAGGTCAAAGGGGGCGTGTGGCTCGTAATAAATCAAACTCCCCAGTCCCAGCTGCGCCAGTCTTGGCTCCTCCCTCGGAACAGCCCAGCAACTCCATTGCCAACGCGCGTGGCCGCTCCCACTGGCTCATGGCGTTGCCTTGGATTGAATTGGGTCCATCTTTCGTTTACATACACTTGATTGAGGTCATTGCCGGATTGGATGGTGAGACGAGAAAGAACGCCCAACCATCAAATGACTCTCTCTTTTCAAAATCCGTGAGCCATTTTCTGATCCCAAAGCCTGTATTACCCGAAACCCTAGTTTTGGTGCGCGTTGATATCATGGCTGCCTTCTTATCATGTATATACATTGGTTCAATTTACGCCGCGGTCTATCAATGGACTTATCGCGTTCTTGGCCATGACAACAGCTTCCCCAGCCCACTTCCCCGCGCCACCGCCGACCAGGCGAGATAACAACCCGCGCCTGAGCGTCATTTGTTTGTTTCCATTATGCCGGTTTTGTGCGATGACGACAAAAAGCCCTAAACCTATCGCCAAATTTTATCACTCCTTGATTCTGGTCTCATCGCGATCACGATAGGTCATCCGTGAGGTCGCCCACGCGAATCGGGCTATGCCCTCACAGAGCCACACAGCCCCAACACGTGTATTATTTCAAGCCCAATTCCGGCCAGTATTATCATTACCAGTATTATTTCACGATAGTAAATAGGGCAAGTAAAACTTTGTTGCTTCCCAGTTGTCCAGTTCTCCATGTGTGCAAAGCGCCTCTGTACCATCGTGCTGCCTGCTGACCCTTCATTGGCCGGCCGTCTTTGCGACATACAATATTCAACTCCCCGCATTCAGACAATCACGGCAACTCATTCCTCTGTCATTGACGAAATGCATACCCCGCTCTGCAATACACCCTGCTTGCTACCTTGCATTGCAGGTGAACAACGCCGAGCTTGTCCTTCTCCCTCATGCAGCTTGCCCCTCCCCCCTCCCGCTGCCCAACCCGAACAAAGCTGGTTCCGTCCTCCAGCATCGTCACAACCCACGCGAGTCCACCAACCCATGCAATCCAGAATGTTCGGATGGTGGCGTAATTTTCCTTCAGACCTACGTCTATCCATGTCTTTCCAGTCCCAATGGTGACTATAGAGAGAGCGCCCTATACGGGCTGACCAAATACAAACTCTCGACACGCTCGCTTCAACACGTTCAGCCTCTCTTGAGACTGCATAAAGACTTCTCGGTATTGCGAGATGCTCTCCCGTAGCATGACATCCTTGCTGAGCCGGCCATCGCATATCGCCTTCATCTTGAGCTCCATCTCCTTTCGTAGAAACGGCTTACCCAGGCTCGTCTCAAAGTTCATCCGGTCAAAGCCGAGAATCAGCGCGACGCCAAGCTGAGTAGGCACAAACACCTTGACGCCTCCTCTCCTGCCTCGTCCCGTCGCTCTGCCGCCGCCACGTCCAGCTCTTCCGCGGCCGCGGCCACGCCCACGGCCTCGTCCGCCTCTACCCGCCTCCGCGCCGTCCGAGTCGTCCTCGTCATTGTTGCCGGCCTCCGCAGTACCAGAACGGTCAATCGTCGCCACGTATTCCCGGTCCTGGATTTTTTGGATGTGCTCCGCCATTGTTGCGTCTGTGCCAATGCCATTGGCATCCATCAACGCAATGAGATCTGCTTCGGTAAGATATGATGGCGGTCCCGTCTTGCCCTCTGCCATAATAGCCTCTGTTGGCTCGAATTGCTCTCCTACGGTGAATTTAGGCAGCTCTGCCGAGTCATTCCATGTCTCATATATGTAGACGTCGAGGTAGTTTCTCTCAAGCACCCTGACGCCATGAGCGCTAAACAACTCCTCGCCGTACTGCAGGTCGATTTCCGTTGCAGAACCCATGGCATCTTCTGAGCAGCATGCGAGAAACCGTCTCACTACATACTCGTACAGCCGGCCTTCGTCGTAGCTCAACACACTCGGTGCGGCATAAGTGATGGGGTGGATAGGCGGGTGCGCTTTATCATCGTGTCTCCCTTCGCGCGGCTGCTGAAAACCGCCGTTTACGAGGTCTTGCGCAAATCCGCCCCAGCGCTGGTCCGGTGTCTGCTTCTGCACCAATGCTCGCAGGTTCATGCCCTTGTCGAAGCGGTCCGTCTCCGTCCTTGGGTAGCTTATGAATCCTTTGTTGTATAGCGTCTCGGCAATCGTCATAGCCTGCTGACCATTCATTCGGAGCAATCGAGTAGCTGCCTTCTGAAGCTCAACAGTGGTCAGCGGCAGTGGCTTGTACTTGCGTGTTGGCTTTTCCTGAACCCTGGTAATCTTGGCCATTTTGGCATCCAGGCATCTTTCATAGAGAATGACGGTCGTCATACGGTCGAAAAGTCGAGTGCGTGACCAGGTAAAGAGAGCCTGCTTTCCTTCCCTGCTTTCGGTAACTTTGATGCTCCAGAATGGTTCTGGGACAAAGTTCTTAACCCGAAAGTAGCGGTCCACAACGAATCCAAGAGTAGGAAATTGACATGAACCTTAGAAAGCACAAGTAAGCACAAGATGCAATCTTCAAATCAATACAAACAGACTTACCATAACTCAAAGTCAGATTTTCCATCGGTCCACCTAGTGGCCGTAGATTGTTGGTCATGAATCGCGTGAAGGCGTAGCCGATGCGCAAGTCCAGCTCTATTCGTGCTGCGACGGCGTTTACTTGCTTCTCGTCGAGATTTATAAGTCGAGTAGCAGCAGATAAAACGTGTCTGTTCCAAGTCAATCAGTGCATGCTTGGTTAGGAAGGGGTAAAGGTGTGGTATCCTACGCCCTTTCGACATTGCTGAAACGAGCACGCTTGACCTGGATTTGACTGTTGCCTTTTTTCGCAGCATCAACAATTTCCTGGCCAATGTGCTCTCCTTCGCGATCGCAATCCGTCCAGATGACGAGGAGGCGGGCAAACCTGGCTTGTTCGGCCAAATTTTGCGCAATATTCTTCTTGTCCTGGGAACAGTTAGAGCTTGAGTCTCTAGTCAGGTACAGGGAAGTCACATACATCGTATACACTGCTAACGACCGGCGCATTGAAGAGCGACTCTGGCGGCGGGAAGCTCCAATTCTTATGCTCGGCGGTGAACTCGAGATTGGTGAGGTGCCCAGTTACACAAGTCATGGTGACGGGGCATTGGCCGTAGGGTGGCCCAAAATCAAAGTCAAAAGCGTAATTCTTTATGTATTGGTTGCGAGTGTTGTGCTGGAGGGCGCAGCGTGCTGGTGTTAGTCGTTCCCCTGTCTGGTGCAGCTGCGCATGTAGACTCACGGTCTGGAATTGGCCACCGGAGAGATGGCCAGCCACAGCCTTGGAGATGGATGGCTTTTCAGCCACACATAGAACCCGCATATTGAATACATGTGTGTTTGGATATATGTTGAGATTTGTGCGATTTTGTTGGTGTCAGTGGCTGTGACTGGGTAGACTTGCTCATTCACCCCGGCGTAAAACGCGTCGCGTGATGGCAATGGTGCAGCTGTACCGCCCCTGTGGTCCAGCTATCTGGTTCAATTGCATCGTGATGGTTGGAATTTCGGATTTGAGGGCTTTAGGGCTCCATTAGTGGCAAATCCACAGACTTTCTCGTGATCTTTTGCTTCGTGTCAAGGATGTTTGCGATTTGTCTGAGGAGAGATTTGACCATGTCGATAGCAGATTTGGTGGGCAACTGGCAGCTACAGTAGCTTCTGGCGACCCACTCAAGCTCTAGGCATAAGGTCGCTAGCTACCTGTGACGGGGAAGGCAAGCAAGCATTTGCGGCCTAGACAACGACATTATTATTATTTTAGAATTACTACCTAATTGCGCTCAAAATCATAAACTCTTACCTCATCTGTTTAATTGCCATACTTAGTAGCTATTTCTGCTGCCACCCCTAGCAACAGTCCGTTGCGTGTAGCGTCGGATCGTGTCCCACCCGAGCTAGCCAGCACCGCAGTGAACTTGGCCTCTCTCTATGACGCGTGAGCTCTCCTTCTTACCATCAACAACAACTTGCCTTTGGCCACCCAAACGCATTCATCACTCGCCAACGTGCAGCGTGATCTAGGAACCATGATCCCTGCCATCCTGTCCATCGAGGACTGCGCCGACTACACCAAGACGGTGCGGCCCTTCCTCCCACAGCTCTATGCCCTGCCACAGCTACTCATAGCCAACGGCGCCGACCTCGCCGGCCTCAAGGAGATCTACATTCAGACCAACCCGCTCGTCACCGGCTTCTCCGTCTCTGTCCTTCTCGGTGCCGTCTTTCTCGCCGTGTCCGAGCTCAACCGCAACTACTCCCAGGTCGACCGCTTGTGGAGCATCCTGCCCAATCTCTATGTGGTTCACTTCGCCGTCTGGGCCCGTCTGGCTGGTCTCCCGTACCACCGCCTGGATCTTGCCGCCATTGCTACCACCATATGGAGTGTATGTCCTGTTCTCGTGGCCTTCGCCGATCCTTTTTCGCTGACCGCAAACTGCAGGCCCGCCTGACCTTTAACTACTGGCGCAAGGGCGGCTACAACATTGGCTCCGAGGACTACAGATGGTGAGAGACGCTCCCCCTCTGAACTCTATCGTCACAGACCAAGCTGACACTCTTTTAGGTCCATCATCATGAAGCAGGTCCCTAAGCCCGTCTTCTTCCTCTTCAACGTCACCTTCATCTCCTTCATTCAGAGCATCCTGCTCTTTGCCTTCTCTGCCGCCCCCGTCTACAACATTCTTCTCTCCACCCGCTTTGAGCCCCAGATCACCGCCGCCGACTGGATGTACTTTTACATCATTCTCGCCCTGGTTCTTAGCGAATGGATCAGCGACGGCCAGCAGTGGGGTACGCCTTTCTTTTCCAACTCCTCTCACCAAGATTTTCCCTCCTGCTAACCTACGCGCACTTAGACTACCACCAGGCCAAGCATTCATACCTCAAGACGGCCAAGGTCCCCAAGGGCTGGTTCCAGGAAGAGCTCGACCGTGGTTTTGTCACCAGCGGCTTGTGGGCATACAGCCGACATCCCAATTTCTTCGCCGAGCAGGCTATCTGGTTCGTCCTCTACCAGTGGAGCTGCTTCGCCACCAACACCCTCTACAGCTGGGCCGGTGCCGGCTCCTTTGCCCTATTTGCCCTCTTCCAGGGCTCAACCTGGCTCACGGAGCTCATCTCTGCCGGAAAGTACCCCGAATACGCACACTACCAGAAGCAGGTCGGCATGTTCATCCCCACCTCGTTCAAGGGCTATACGCCGCCCGCTGCCAAGACGCCCAAGATAATCCGTACCAGCGAGCTTGCTAAGCGTCAGCAAGAAAAGGAGAAGCAGAAGAAATAGACGAGTAGACTTTTGAAGGCGGACGGGTGCTATTTTTCGTTTTATAGCCAGTGGAACGCATTCTAAATTGCAAAAGTATACACGATGACGACAGAGTCGTTGGCAGTATTGGCAATTTGTTGGAGGAATTTCAAGATACCATTTAAAATCTGTCTATATCTATAAAAGCTTCAGGTCTAGTAAGTAGTCTAGGTTGTTTCTAATGCAAGTAATACCATTTCTATTCACAGTCTCGCAAATCGCTTAGCTTGTCGGCGTAGAACGATGGCACGGCCACTGCGTTCTCGGCCTCCCAGTCGGCCTTGGAGTTGACGCCCGTCAGCACGTGCAGCGTGCCCCCCAGCTTGCCATCAACGCCAAACTTGATGTCCGTGTTCAGCCTATCCCCGACCATGCACGTGCGGGCGCGGTCGAGGCGGAACTTGCCCTCGACCGCGTCCATCATGGCCTGGCTCGGCTTCCCCAGCGACAGCGGCTGCTCGCCCACCGCGCCCACCAGCGGCGCGCTGCACGACCCCGCGCCGAGGAACAGGTCGCGGTGCATCGGCAGGGTCGAGTCCGTGTTGGTCGCGAGGAAGCGCGCGCCGCGGCGCAGGTAGTGCAGGCCGTGCGCGAGCTTGAGGTAGTTGACGTGGAAGTCGAGGCCGCAGAGCACGGCGCCGACGGCCGGGTCGAGCAGCGAGCCGTCGGCGAGGCCCGCGAAGTCGGCGGGCGTGATGTCGCGCCGGAAGGCCGGGTCGGTACCGCCGAGGAAGGGAACGCCCTCGGCGGCGAGCTCCCGCTCCACGCCGGCCTCGCCGATGACGAAGACCTTGTCCTTACCGGGGGGCAGCTGGAGGATGCGCGCGATGTAGACGGCGGCGGAGTAGGAGGAGCCGAAGACGTCGTCGGCGCCGGCCTCGATGCCCATGCCGGCGAGCTTCTCGACGTAGTCTTGCCGCGTCTTGGTGGAGTTGTTCGTCACGAAGACGATTCTCTTGCCTGAAAATTTGTGAGATACGGCTGTCAAATTGCTGGAAGAATGTGCTTCTACCTTTTGACCGGAGGAGCAGGAGGGTCTCCGGGACTCCGTCAAAGACGTGGTCTCCAGACCATAAGACACCTGCATCATAACGGTCAGCCGCCACTGGCCAGTTGCCTCGCAATCAGCGGCAAAATCTCACCATCGCAATCAAACAGAAAGGTCTACAAGTACAGCGCGGTATTCTTGAATTAGCCATACGCAAACAGTGACCCGGTTGCCAAAATAACGCACATCAAACTTGTCGAGAAACTCTTTAATAGCGGTACCATCGCCAGTGAGATATTTCGCCGAGGAAGCCATCCTCGTACCAATTTATGAAAATGAAAAAAAGATGCAGAATATTGGCTATCAAGCCGTGATAAAATTCGATTTGGAAGGATGCTTGGTATGATGATGAAACTGTCAGACTCGTGTTTTGGACACGATGAAGGCTGGTGATTAGTCATGAGTCATTCAATGGTGGGATACCGAACATCGCGGTATCAAGTGTTGGTATAGGGTTGCTTTAATGCATGGTTTTTATTTAAGAAGCTTCTATCTGAAAATTAGCAGATTCATATATTCTGAAAGGTTCACGGGATGAATTATAGCGTCTCGCTACGCTGGCCTGAGCTGAAAACACAGATCCAAGCAGGGTAGGAACGAGGATAATGGAGAGGGTCGCGAAGATGAAGATGTAAATGAAAGTATAGAAATATAGGAAAGTTAAGAAACGGAAGATAAGTAGAGAATAGTAAGAATATATGGGGAATATATGAGACATATAATTCATTGGTTTATTGCATATGTAAAGTATGAAGCATAGGCTCCCGTTTGCACGTCGTGCTCCGCGTGACGGCTGTCATAGTCACACAGTCGGTGCGCCAACAGTAACTTCCAATGTTCCGCAAAGAAAAAAAAACCAAACGCAGATAAATCTTCTTCATCATTCTGTAATATTGAAGTGCCCCTCACGATTCCGTGAAAATGCCTGCCTCTCCGATTGAATCACGCCTGCAGCAGCTCGAGTCCATTCTCGGGCAAATGGTGTTTTTGGCCGACGAAGAGGAGAACCCCGAATGTTTGCCCAAAGACGAAGTAGCGACATGCGTGGTGGTACAGAAGGAGAAGGAAGAGGGGAAGCCGCGTTCATCAACAGAGGCCTCTTCGCTCGTTGGTGTGACTTTGCCGGGAGATGCTCCTCCAGCAACGTCAGAGGTGGACTCGGACGAATACCTCATCGAGATGGCCCGTTTTCGAGACCTCAAGCCGCAGGATCTGAGCGACGAGGATTTGCGTTTCTGCCCGTGGAAGGTGGTCAAGAGCTACGCGGATGCCTACACCGGCAAGGGAAACCGCGAAAGGGCATGTAACCCCATCTCCCCATGGGATCGAACCGTCTGCTAACGAGATCTAGGTCCGACCCTTCTTCGATAACGCGCTGAACAGTCAAGACTGGTATTTGTACGCATACATTTCCCTTCCACCCGCAAGCCCTCACTCATTAACTACGCCCTCGACGAACTAACCGCGAGCTCTCGTAGCTTCTACATCCGAGACACGCACGAGCCAAGGAAGACGCACCTGCTCGTCCCAACCACCGGAGTCGAGCACCTCCTCCGCTACATCAACAACCGTCTGGACACCGCGCTCCGCGTCCCGCACGGCGCGGCCCGTCACACATTTGCCCTGCGCTTCTCCGGGTGCGGCCCATTTCGCCCGCGCTTCCTGATGCACCACCGCCCCCAGCAACGCGGGGCGGGTGACGGCGTCTTCAACATCGAGGACCCGAGCACTTGGCCCCGCGACGATGACGTCGAGGGCGGCGTGTCGTCGCTCGCGGGGGAGGCGGCCGCGCGCCTCAACGCCAACATGACGCTGCTGCGTCGCGACCCCTGCAAGGGCACCGTTAAGGTGTCGGCGGCGGAGCGGGCCGAGAAGCGCAAGGAGCGGCGCAGGAAAGAGATGCGGGCCATGCACAGCTACTTGGGGCTGAAAGACGGCGTGGTGGAGGAGGTGCCGCCGTCGAACGTGGTGCTCTTCTGCGTGGACGTCGAGGCGATCGAGGTGCCGCCGGGGCCGGTGTCCGAGATCGGCATCGCGATCCTCGACATGCGGAGCGTCGGGGAGCAGTCCCCAGGGAACCGCGGCCGGGACTGGTGGCCGCTGATCGAGGGTCACCACTTGCGCATTAAGGAATACAAAAGCCTGACCAACTACCGCTACGTCCGGGGCTGCCCCGAAGACTTCCAATTCGGGTGCGTCCAAAAAGAAAATACTAACCCTCCCACCCTCTCTTCTACTAACACGCCAAAACGTAGTCAGAGCACGTTCCCATCGCGCAGCGACGCCTGCGAGGCCGTCCGCTCCATCCTCCGGCCGTACGTCGACGCGGGGCGGCGCATCGTGCTCGCGGGCCACGACGTCGAGCAGGACGTCAACTACCTGCGTGACGGCGTGGGCGTGGACGTGCGGGGCGAGTACGCCGCCGCGCTGGCCGGCACGGTCGACTCGCAGACGCTGTGCCAGGCGTGGATGGCGACGGACACGGCGCGCTCGCTGGGAGCGTTGCTCGGCGAGCTGGGCTTCGAGCACGCGTACCTGCACAACGCGGGCAACGACGCCATGCACACCCTGCGCGCGGCGATTGGTGCCGCCTTTGCGGACGCGGAGCCGGCGGACTCGCCTGAGTAGAGGGAGGAGGGGGCGGGGATTGGGTGCACCGAGAGTGGAAAGGGAGATGAGGGGCGAGCTTTGAGGAGAGAGAGACTTGGGGAGAGGGAAAATTGCACTGATATTGTCTAAATTGCTTCCTTTAGTAGCAATGTACTGCATGGCTTCATAGAATGGACTTCAGGTCAGTCGTCACTCTTGTGATACATATAGTTCTCCCTCTCCTTGTACTCCTTCTACTTTGTTTAATTATTGATACCGTCATCTTCGTTAAATTCCTTACGATCCCGATAGTTTTATATCATTTTTTTTTCTTCATTTCTCTTTATATACCTGGTCTATATTATGTGAACCCTCGCACCCGTGCGTAAGCCATGCTCTAGTTATACACGTTTTGTTTTTCCCCTTCCTTCGTCTGTAAAATCATGCCAAATGGGACGCTATCGCTTATGAGGGGAGATATAATACAAAGGGGTCGGTCTCGGTCGTCGTAGGCGAGGTTCGGCTCGTCAAAAGTTTGCTCGCTCTCCCAGCGACGTCCTCGTCGCAAACCGCGAGGACCGTCGACTTTCCTTGTTTTTGCTGTTGATGTCTTCTTCGTCGTGTTGCATCTTCAGCATCGGTTGGTGGAAGGAAGCCCACTATGCTTGCTTGTCGAGCAGCTCCTTGGCCTCGTTGACCTTGGTGGCCAGGTACGGGCTGCCGCCCCGATCCGGGTGGTTGAGCAGCATGATCGTGCGGTGCGCCTTGCGCACCTTGTCCTTGGAGAGCGAGCGCTCACTACCCGAGCCTTGTTAGCCGTCCTTCGTTTCCTTCGAGGTCACCGTCGCGAGTCGATATTGGGAAGAGGGGCATACTTGAGAGATAGGATCAGGGTCGCCTCCTTCTTGGTCATCTTCTGCTCGAAGCCGCCTTTGTAAAAGGCCTTGCCCATGGCTCCAACGCCACCGCGCGAGCGGCGCCAGGCGACGAGACCAGCACGGCCCTAGAACAACCCTTCAGTCAGCATTTTTTTTTTTTTTTTCATCAATGCGTGTGTGTGTGCAGAGCGTTTGCGCGCCGGCGCGGCGAGGTTGTGGTTGGTTCGCAAAGTCGAGGGCGGCGCATTGTGGGAGGAGACGTACGAGGAAAGCGGCGACGGCGGCGCCAGCACCGATGGCAAAGACGGAGGCCATTTTTGTTGGATGTCTGGATCGTAAATTGGAAATTGGATAGCGAAGCTGGGTATTGAGGAAAATCGGTCGGCAAGAGCTTGAAGTTGTTCGCGCGCGCGCAAGCAGGGGATTGATCGATTGCCTTTAGCTGGGGCGACTTTTTTTGCCTGGGCTATGGTCGGGGGATGTCGGCGTCTCCGGCGGCCGGAGAAACCGCCTCCGATAATTGGCCAGCATCACCAGGCGCAAGAACATGAACACGCATAGTACTAGAGAAAGAAATAAAATAAAAAATCTTGAAAAAAGAAATTGAACTATGGATATCTCTAAATCTTTCTCGCGCAAACTTCTATGGGGTATTCTTCGCTCTTTTGGGGTGTTTGCCGTAATAAAAAAACTGCACGCAGGATGCTCGCAAGAAACAAGGCCCTCCTGTCACCTTTGTAGGCTGTGAAACCAACTCCGTCTCTCATCTATATCGAAAAATTTCATAACCACATCAACGAGACCTAAATCAAAAAGTTGTTGCGGACAACATTCGAATCGCTCCTCAACGAACGCCGCGTCGCGTACATGATGGCAGACTCGTCCCTGCAAGATTTCTGTCTGCTGTACGGATAGTCTGCAGGCCATCGCCGTGGTCCATCCATCACATTTCAATGACACACGTAACGCGAATGGCGGTCCATGGGGCCGATATGGTGGGCCGCGTTTCGCTGTCGGCTGCGTCGTCGTTGTCAGCGCGACCAGCAGCAATCAGAGGTACCGGTTGAGATGGCGCTCGTTGTCCCGCAATCTGATATACGTCGGTTGCAGTCGGCGCTCGCTGTGCCGCACCCTGGTATGCGTCGGCTCTGGTCTGCGCAGCTCAAAGTTGACGTGAGCTACTATCGCCCTGCGCGCCTCGGCATCCCGCGCCGCATCCTCGTCCTCGTCCTCTCTCGTCGCTCTGGTGTCGCGCCAGTTGCCCGCGCCGCCACGGCCGGCTAGCATATTGTGGTCATGGTTGCTCGCGGCGGCAGTCCCGATGGCCTCGAGGTTATTCAGCCGCTCCTTGCCCTCTGTATGCGCGACGGCGTTGGACCCTGAGAGGATATTTCCTGCGCCTCCACGACCCGTCAGCGCGGGTGCCGAGGCGGGCTGTGTGGCGCCAGCGACTTGGCTCTTGCCGGACGCGTCTTTCTTCTATCCAAGAGCAGTCGTTAGCTACCTCATGATGCATATGCGCTCGCTCCATCATTGTCGTCTTCGGCCGCGCACATTCCAGGTCTAGTCTTCGGGGGCCAGGGGAGCATACATTGACGGGGGCAGAGTGGTAGTTGCCGGCGCCTCCACGGCCTACTCTGACCATGGAATCAGAAGTCATGATTGTGAATACTTTCTTGGCAGCAAAGCGTGAGCGTCGGGATCGGTGTGAATATTTCGTCCTTCGCTTCTATTCTTTGAAGATTTGGGACGCCAGAATCCGAAACTAGGACTGTTTTAATACTTGCCGCAACTCTAAAAGCCTAGCCAAAAGTTTCTTCTTGTTTATGCCACGTAGCGCGTCACAGAAAAAAAAAGCGCTCGCTTGAGAAGGCACTTGCCGCGCATTGACTATTGACTATTCTGCCAGTGGACAGTGGAGTGGCCAATGTGGTGATTCGGTGGCTGACGTGGCAAAGGACTAGAGCGCTTATCAACTGGATTGTGACGATGAAGCCTGCGTGCAACCGCGGTTCTTCAATGATTTGCAATTTTGGCTGTTGGCAAGGTCACGGGCTGGCGTGTGCTGTTCTTGGATGCTTTTGTTAGAGTTTGTGTCCTCAAACAACGAGGAATCGGCGCGTTTCGCAAGAGTTTCGCCTGGCGTCAACGAGCAATTCAGTGATGTTTGTCATGGTGTGGGAGAAGAAAAGAAAAATTGAAAAGAGAGCGTTATAAAAAGCTCGAGATATAGGATGGATGACGAGGACCAGTCCGCAAGTACACAAAATAAATATTATCCAAGGCCATGGCTTTGCAAATGGCAGGTGCAGGTGGTTCCTGAAACGGCTCTCGCCAGATTTGGACATGATCGACTTGGAAGGCAACGCCGTGATGCGTGACGGCCGGGACCAACTTCCACCGTTGCAGCCAATCACGATAGAGATCTTCTGTTGTCATCTTCTGTTGCATCGTCCACTCACTTTTGCCGTGTCGGAAGGTATTGTACATTAAGAGAAGGTTATTGTTGAGTGCTTGCGGCGACGTAGTTGACTGGTAGGGCCTGGCCTCTGTCCAAGTGCTACTATGAACTTTGTCATATCCGCTTACTCATCGTCAGGCGGCTCGGAACTAGTTTACTCGGCCAGCATAAGACAGCCCTCGGTGCCTATACTGTTGTTGTCTGGTCGCTGTCTTGTGACGGCTAATAAGGATCTTAAGCTCCCGTTGTTAGTTACAAGATGAAGGGCTCATTTTCTCGCCAGTATACTTGTCGCGGGGCGCTGTGCGGTTGTCGAAAAGGAAAACGCCGTGACAGGGAGAAGAAAGACAGAAAAAAGAAAAGAAAAGAAGGAAGGAGGCGTGCAGCACTTGGATAAGGCAAAAGGCAGAAGCGAGAGAAGGACACGAAACTTGGGTTGAAGCCCTAACAGGTTGGGAAGGATATTACAGGGTAGGACGTTTATGCGTGGTGTGGTCTTGCCTGCATCAAGGAGGGCTGGGGTTATATCTGCCGGTTTGCAGCACAGAGAGAGGATCAAAGGTCCGAAGCCTAATAAAAAATACAATGCTGGTCGAGTGGTGTATTGCCGCATGAGTGGTCAATTCTCATCCCTCCCTCAGGTCATCCCTCGCTGTCAGCTTGAATTAGTACAAAATGCTCTCAACCCCAAGGCCTCCATCTAGCCCAGCGAGAAGAGTGTGTGTGCCAATGTGAGACCTGATTGGCCAGTTCAGCTGCATTGTTTCATTCCCTGATTTCTTTTGGGTTTCATTCCCAACTTTTTTCTTCTCCCTCCCTCCTCATTCCTTGGCCCCCAAAGAGCCCAATTCGGTCCATGTTTAATGCAATAGTTACAAGAAAGCCCTAACTCGCCGAAAAGTCTTGGAACGACCACACAATGAATATTTGACTCTATGCCGAAGGAATCCGCATCAACGCGGCTGCCTGTACACTTAGGGTTGGGCTAAACAGCCTCCTCAGGCAGTATTTTGACATGTATTGACTCGTTTCAAAGATTTATTTAGACATTTTTGTCTTATTATTTCTTGTTTCACGCCCCGGTTGACCGCGGGTCCTTGTTGCGATCGGCAGTGTCATCGAGATTTGTGACCAGGGCGCATCCGTCTTTCTGCTGGCTGCATCGGGGACAGGGCCAGCAAACGCACATTTGACTTTGTATTCTATATATAGAGAAAAAAAAAAAAAACTCTCTGTGTACTGTTTGACAATGATCGCAGGTTTGGCCGTGCAAATAGTCAACATCATAGTGTCATCTAGAGATGGTTGTAACCAACGCTGGGCCCTTGCGACGTTGGTTGACTGAGATCGGACGGGGATCAGCCCAGATGGAATTGCGAGGCAGCAAGACCGATAAAAAACCCGTAAATTTGGCCCAAATCTTTCGACATACTGGAATTCGCCCATCGTTTCTGGCGATCAGGAATACTGCGATGAGACGAGTCGGCGATCAAACCACGTTCTCATATCCCACGTAGACGTGCCTGGAAGTGATTGACAGGCAGCTCAAGGTCCGCCCCCTAGAGACCCCCCCCCCCTGGCGCAATTATTTGCTGGTCTCCCGACTACCTGTGTTCTAGACTGGTTGATCGACAATGGCAGATGAATAAATCAAGAATCCATGTTGAACGTCGCCCGTCTTACAACGGTCAACAACGGTAGAAATGGGTATGCATTTGTTTAATCCGGCGCAAGCTACTTTTACAATGTCTTTTACTCTGTCGCTTGTCACCAAATTGAAGGGGAAAGACAGCATTGCCGTGTATGCCGAGGGTTGGGAGCAGGACACAGCTTGCCGATTCGTCTCATCTGGGACCGCTTTGACGGGCACGGGGTACAGGCCTGAGCGATCACCGCCGCACCCGAACTTTTGAGGGGAGAATTTATTATCTGTCCGCGGGAAAGGAGACCTGGTGTATGCAAGTCATGTGGTCCCCTCTCAGCAAGGAAAAAAAGGAAAAACCTTAGTTCGGACCTCGTGGCTTAAAGCGCATGGCAGGCTGGGTGGTCGTCCTGGGGAGGGGGTGCGAGAAGCCTATTGCAATAAGCTGTCAACAAAAAGTAAGTTATTGCAGTTAGTTATCCAATCTGGCCTCTCGCTTTTACACGCTTTTTTTTTATCAATAGCCAAAGAAAGCCTCCAGCCTCGGGGCAAGCGTCGGCTGAGGCCTCCGTAGTAAGTTCTCGCCCGTCTTTCTAACTGAAATAGTCAAACTCCGGACGGGAGACCTCCTTCCGCTCCACGCAGTACGGCGAGACGAGTTGTGGGAATTGGTGGGGGAAGGGAAAGGTGACGACGGGCAAGGTCAAGCTACTACATATTTCTGGTGAGGTATGGATGGAGAGACAATAGTGTGATGTACAGAGGATGCCGCGTACTCGTAGTCGAGATACCCCAACTTGTAGGTATAGGTGACTATTGTGCAAAGAGGAACCGCCAATACTTTGCAATGCTACCTTGTAAAAGAGATCACAGGAACAATGATGTGGGGGAGGGAGGCGCCGCCGGCCGGGCGAGCGAGTCTGCATTGGTTCGTGTGGCTTGCGGGATAAAGGCACGAGGCTTCTTCAGCTTGGAGAGGGGTTGCGAGAAGGGGGAAGAGATGTCAGCCATGCAGAAAAAAAAAGAAAAAATAAAAAAAGAAGAAGAAGATGGTTTGAAAGGATTTGAAGCGATCAAGGAGCTGACACGGCGCGATGGCACGTCGCCTGGCACCAGGCTGTGTAAGTGTATGAGAAGAGGCTCGGAAGAGGGGAAGCCGAGGCGGGAGCGCTGTAGCGCTGTTCGCTGCCGTTCTGATGCTAAGGAACTGGCACCGTGGTTGCCGTCTTCTGTATAAGTTCCTGTGACTTTTAGTCTCGACTCTGAAGATAATATACTGTTAGTTCAATTGGTTGATAACTCCTCGCTTGTTAGAAGCAAGCCTCGGAATAATTCGACGGCATGAGTAGCTCTGGCCCCCTGTAACGTGCTGCTAAATTGATTACCCTCCTTTTTTTTTTTTTTTTTTTTTTTTTTTTTTTTTTTTTTTTTTTTTTTTTTTTTTTTTTTTTTTTTTTTTTTTTTTTTTTTTTTTTTTTTTTTTTTTTTTTTTTTTTTTTTTTTTTTTTTTTTTTTTTTTTTTTTTTTTTTTTTTTTTTTTTTTTTTTTTTTTTTTTTTTTTTTTTTTTTTTTTTTTTTTTTTTTTTTTTTTTTTTTTTTTTTTTTTTTTTTTTTTTTTTTTTTTTTTTTTTTTTTTTTTTTTTTTTTTTTTTTTTTTTTTTTTTTTTTTTTTTTTTTTTTTTTTTTTTTTTTTTTTTTTTTTTTTTTTTTTTTTTTTTTTTTTTTTTTTTTTTTTTTTTTTTTTTTTTTTTTTTTTTTTTTTTTTTTTTTTTTTTTTTTTTTTTTTTTTTTTTTTTTTTTTTTTTTTTTTTTTTTTTTTTTTTTTTTTTTTTTTTTTTTTTTTTTTTTTTTTTTTTTTTTTTTTTTTTTTTTCCCCCTTTTTTTTTTTTTTTTTTTTTTTTTTTTTTTTTTTGGAATTTCCCTTCCCCGCTTCGGAAAAAGAAACAATGAAGAACTGGAAGCGAATTGAGTCTTTTCCCCAATTTTCCCGAAAATTGGCGACTTGTTACCCCTGCAACTGAGGGCAAGCCTCGGGCGGGTAACCCCTCACTTGGGAGCAGCCTGTAAATTGGACGACCCAGCAGTCCAGCGATCTGTTTCTGCGGGCGCCCGTCAACGGCAGATTGGAATCGTAGAGCGTCAAGTCAAGCAAGGAAAGAAGGCTGCTGTCGAGTATACGGGAGCATGGACTATCCAAGATCATCATCATGGAGAAATTCAAGGACGGAAGCTCTGCACCTGGCTGGCGACGCAGGCTGAAAAACGCCCCGTAGTTTATGCATCGGCGCAGTCGGTGCGGGGGCGGGGACAGGCTGGCGTGATCTGCTGGACGGAGAGTAGTAGTTATTATTCCAGTTACTTGGGAGTGAGAAGAAGGAGGTTGTGCGAGATTGTACATGTATGTAGATGCACTGTAGCAAGATGTCACGGCTACTGGAGAGATGAATCAAGAATTATAGGAGAGCGGTAAGGACACATGGCTCGTTCTACTATGATTCATTCACATTCTTCTCGGCCGATCCGAAGAGGATGTTCCGGCATCGGCGCCGGCTCGTCACCAACCCAGGAACAGCAAACCCAAATTCTTCGTTGCGGGTTGGGGTTCTGATTATCTGATTAGGGTTTGGGGCTTAATCCTTATGTACCCTTATCCACGGTTACTCAAATTGGCCATGACGGCAACTGCGTGAATGGCAACACTTAGCAGTTTTTCCGAGTTCCTTTACGTCTTTTCGTGGTTCAATGACGAATGATTGATAACCGCGCGTCCTCGTACAATCGTCACGATGCTGTTTCTATTACTGCATCATGTCATCCTAATGGCTAGAAAAGCTAACAAAAGTTTAAATGCTAAGCTGATTGATACCTTTTTTTTCTTGCAAGTAAACATGCCCCCTGCAGTGGTTGTACAGTAAACAGGCCGGCCGGAATGTCGCAGGGATGCATCACGAGACGGGCAAGTTTATACGGCGCGTCCTCTCCTTTTCCAGTGGAGTGAACTATGTATGTACAGAAGCCGCTAATAATGATCTGGCGATGGTACAGGGGGGGGTGGGCGACTGGATTGTGCCACGCAGCGTCAAAAGTCGTGCTTATTGGGCGTGAACCATGCCGAAGCAATTTAATCAGTTACTGATGATTCGCTAAATTTTTACAACTTTTTAGAAGATGGTTTTTATGAAAATTACCGCTAGAACAAGTTCAAGCGACACACCCCCCCTTGTAAAAGGAATTTGGCGGGCTTTCAATGTCCTCCTCCCTTGTGTAATCCGTCCACCGGCCCGCAAAGGCGGTTCGCCCTGCCGCACGCACGCGTGTTTGCTGCAAAGTGACGGCGGCAAGGGAAACGTGAAAGGAGAAAAAGAAGAAGAAATTTTCAACGAGCAGCTTTCGTTAGGAAAATTTTCTGCTCCGCGCTTAGGACAGGGCCCTTTCATGTCCTCTCCTTGGGCATTGACCTTCACCTGCCAATGGCTCAGGCCCGAGGTCTTCGCGACATGGCCCGCCATCGAACTTGAATACATTTTTCACTTAGTACTCGCAAACTTTCTTTTCGGGGTTTTTTTTGTAATAAGATCCGAGGCGAGCAACTAACTAGAAAGTTAGGGCTGTGTTTAGTTATACACGGGACGAATGTTTGACGACTACCAGAAAAAAAGCAACATAAGGTTAGTAGCGCTGAACAGAAAGATGGCCAATTGTCAAACTGTTTTGATGGCATGTATGGTTACCACGGATATTCAACTTGAAACCACCTTACCTACCTACACTCACCTGTAAACCCCAAGGCAGATGACCTCTCTCGCACTTCCTTTCAGGCACGAGAAAGCACGGGTGCCTTGCGCTAATGCTTGGTCACCCCCCTCGTCAGCCTGCTTGGCTCACCAGGGCAAAAGGCGTGTGCGTTGCGTGTGTGTGCTATGACAAGGCAGGGCATCTCTCAGCGCCCCCGAAAGCAAGGCCTCGTACCTACATGCGGCCCATACATGCATAACATGTGTTTTTACCAAGTAGAGTCTAGTAGGCCACCGAAGTTCTATTATTACTTCCCACACATTGTTTCCGTTTCTGTCGGCTGCCTGCTTCCTTGCTTCTTCTTTCTGTAGTCGGCTGTGTCGTGGCCTGGTGATCAAGTTGTCGAGGCCCCCCGCCGTTTACATTCATGCCTGGTACCCAATCACATGCCGGTTTTCTCCTCGGCTCCACCTGCGACCGTTCACCCCGAGCCCAGGCTAGTTACTCACTAAAAAGCGCTGAAAGCGACAATAGAGGAACTGGAGAGATCAATAATTATCAGAACACGCACTTTGTAGAATCACGAACAAAAAAAAAAAAAGAAGCGAGCCCCCGAAAAGGGAGGGGAGGGAAGGAAGAGGGTGTGGCCCCATCAATGGGGTCACTCCAGAATTTATTTTACTCCAGAACAACTCTCCCAGAGAAACCTCGTGGTACGCTCGTGCCGGGCAAAGTGGCCTTTTTGGCGAGAGAGAGGCCCCCTTGCGCTGGAAACTGGTCGATGCTAGAAGAAAGGCCCAACGCATTTGTGGAGGCCACGGTACTTGTCTTTGGGCGGGGACTGGCTGCGGGAAGGCCTGTATCTTTTTGCTTGGTCCTTGTGAGCGGGCTTGCCGTCTTTTTGGCGGCCCCCGCCCCAGCGAGGCCAGGCGCCCTCCTTCCATCCTTCCTAGCGACGCCCAGCTGCGCTTCCTGCTCCGTTGTCGCCACCAGAACACAGTCATCCATCATGCCAGTCAAACTGTCGCCCGTATTTGCTGTCGCGGCGGCTTGCTTCGATGAGTTGAGTTGAAAATGCTGTGTGTACTTACCACATCATGCAGCAATACAAGCACCGCTTCCCATTGTTTGCCCTGGACAGCTCTGCCCCCATACCAAACCCATAATCAAACCGATACCTTTGAGACTCCGTCTCTCGCTCTCTCTTTCTCTTTTCCCGTCCGCCTCTCGTTCTCCGTCAATTGATACGCTCGCGCCCCCCCTCCCCCCCTCCCAATGTTGGGCCCTTCCCCCAGCTTGGTGGTGCTTTGCCTGCTGGGTGGGCAGTGCCACACGCCATACGCCATACGCCATGCGCTATACCACTTTGTCACTCTCCTGCTCTCACTCACTCGCTCGCTCAACTCGTAGGCGCGGACACACACACACCACGTATCTTGGACGAGTCTTGTACCGACAAGGCCTAGCCCTCTACCAGACCAGGACAGGCAGTACCTCTCCCTCGCCTGTTCGGCCCATGTTCACCCATGTACTGGTCGGTCGTGTCTCTTGTCGCCCTCCCACACACTCTCACACACGCCCCTCCTCTTCGTTGCCCTACTGCATTGCTCCTCCCAAAATATTATTTCTCGTCTCAGCCTACTCTTTCTCACGACACATTGCCTTTTTTTCTTCCCAAAACTTTTTTTTTCGTTGCTTGCTTCCACATTCTCCTTTCTTCACTCACTCTCGTCCCTGCCATCTCACACTTGCTCAAACGCCCGATCGATCGTTATTGTCCGGAACTCTCGCTAGCGTCATCGGCCTGACTCCCTCCGCATCGCTGCCTCGGTGCCTCGTCTCGTCAGCCAATTTGCCGCCTCGCCTGGAAACTCGTCCGTTGCCCCTAGTCTCGCGACACGCAAGCAATCCAAAAGTCGTGGGCAATGGCTTCCTCCAAAGTATGAATGGCCATCCTTCCCTCCCACCGCTGTCAACAACTGGATTGTTTATGCCGCTGGGGAGTGACCCCTCTTGCTGACATGGCTCAACCCAAAGGAGATACAGCAATCGTCGAGACCGTTGGCGCACCAGCGTCCCTCGCTTTCCGCTGCCCCTTCGTCATTGCCGACACGCCATACGCACGCGAGGAACTCGTCCCATTCCCTCCTGACCGGAGCTCTCAACCCGAATCACCGAGTAACCCGACGCAAGTCTGTCACCAATCAGACTCACAATGTTGCCGCCCTCACCGCCGCCATTGCCGACAGCGACCCTGCCACCGCAATCCCCATTGCTAACGGCTCCGCCCGACGAAACACCATTTCCAAGGCGGCGAGGATGTCCATAGCAGCTAGCCTGCCCTCCCCTCCTGCTAGCCTGCCGCTGCACCGTTCCCTCGCCGGCGCCAAGATGCACCAAGACAGTGCCATCGACGACGATTCTATGTCGGGAGAGGAAGTCGAAGGGTCCGTAGACGGTAACCGTGCTCGTCGCGCCAGTGATGGGCAGTCCTTGACAAAGGACAGCAAGAAGAGCAACCGCGTGGAGGTGCGATGTGAGACGTGTGGAAAGAGCTACAAGCATAGCAGTTGCTTGACGAAGCACTTGTTAGTCTCTCCCATGCTAAAAATGGGTGCGCTAGCCTTGTACTAACTTGTCGCCTTGTAGGTGGGAACACACTCCGGAGTGGTCGCTGACCTCGAAGCTGCTCATCTCCAAGCACCAGCAAGTCCAGCTTCTCGAGGCTGCCTCGGTTCTGGTGGCCATGAACGGTCCAAACCAGGAACCCGAGGTTGTCACGCCCCCCGACTCTGCCAGGGACTTTACCAGCGAGCCCGAATCCGCCTCCCCGACTGCCTCGGGCTACTCGGAGCACCAAGAGCGACACAGCTCTGCCGACACGACCCCACCTCCGGTTGGCGAACATCTCGGCTTCAATGGCCTGGCATATCGTGAAAAGCGTCTCAGCGGTGGTAGCGGGATTGCTCAAAGTCTCCGATCGCCCCCACTCTACCCCGAACACCTTTCCAGCAGCGTTCCGCATGCGCAATGGAACACCGGCCGTCGACCGTCGCTAGGTCCTGCGGGTACGGGCAACGAAGACCGCGACTTGGCCGCTGCTGTTGAGCTCCTGAGCTGCAGCTTTGGTAGTAATGGTGGACATGATGTTGTTGGTGTGGCTGCTGATGCTCCGCCCGTGCCTCCAGTCCCCGAGCAGTACCGTGATCAGGCGCGATCCTTCTCCACCGCTGGTTTCCTGAACAGTTTCCCCGCAAGACAGCCCGAAAGCTTCACCCGAGGTGAATTTCGACGCGGGAGCCATGACGTCAAGATGGAGGACAGCGGCGAGTCGGCGGCAGACGAAGACGATCTCGAGTCTCGGGCTCGGGCTCGTAGTGACGAGGATGACGACGGCGTCTTTGGCCGTATGGAGGAATAGGCGTAGAGTCGGCAGCCTATTTTGTTTTGTCTTGATTTTGGTTGGAAATGCGCGGAGCATCACGGAAGTTGGGAACTTGGACCTGGGATTGGATTATAATCATTGGGAGGAACGGCGCGAGTGTCTCTTTTGTATAACGATAAACACACAAACCTGTATGAGGTGGTTCAGCTCCGCCCGGACGTTTAGCACCGAAGAGTGGAGGGCCCGTCTGAGCAGTCATCTTGGGCTGGGACGCGATTGCTCCTCCACGAGGTTAAAGTGAAGGTCTGGAGGCGTCGAGCCGACACCCGAATAAGTACCAAACGAAGCGAAGACATTTTGACATGAACAGCCGGGTGTTTTGTTTGATGCCTTTTTGCGATGTGATGATGTAAGAAATGGCGATAGGAATCACGGATGGTCTCGCGTGTGGTGGTGATGGCTGAAGTGCAAACGGGGACACGAGTGTGGAAGGGTGGGTGCTGGCCCTGATAAAGAGGAAGCCGAAGCCATCCGTCCTTTGCCACGCGGATTGGCTCCTCGATCGACAGCTAGGCATGAATGGAAAGTGCTTTGAGATCATCGTAGAAAATCGTCAGTATTGTAAGATTGTGCAACCCAGGCGGGGGTTTCGGGGAACTTTTGGAGTGCAGATCGACCAAGGCAGGACATGGATGGTGGATGACATGGCTGACATGGATGTGATGGTTTAGGGAAATCCTTTGACGGCTGAGGATTCAACGGTGAATCTGCCTTGGTACAGTGTGGAGAAGTAGGGCTTGTATTTGCCTTGACGCGTTTGATTTTCTGTATCCTTACTTCATTGCGCCGCAACTGTGGCTCTGTACTGAGGTGGATAATCGACCGCTGATGGCCTGTTGGTTGTAGCAGCACAATTTGTTCCGAAGCCCCTTGAAAAAATCAAAAGAAAAATTTTCATATTTATGTAGTTGTCTGAGAAGGTGATCTGGGGTGGTTTGAGCTAATAAAGACTGCCGCACAAGTTCTTTGCAAGAACTCGTGACCGCTGAGCCGACCGTATCGCTAAGCGGCCAACAAAGGGTTGGTTCCTCGCTTGTGAAGCGAGCACCAGACTACGTGCAAACCCTAACGGTCAAGAGTGTGTAAGCCTGAGGATGCGAAGCAGATGCACAAATATCTCGACCTTTCCGAGATGGTGCTAAATCTCTAGGCAGTTGCTGCGTATAATCGTGGCGGCGCGCTTTCATACGGTGTATCAACTTGCCGTTTCTCGAGATGGATCAGCCACTTGGCTATTAGTTCGTGCTGAGAGTACTCGGGTGCTTGCAAATGGGTAAAAGATTCATCTCCAACGAGTCACTGTTGATTGAGAGAACTCGGTTCCTAGACTAGGAGAGGGTCGCTGGCCGGGTGTTGAGCCCTCTGCTTGACATTTCCTTGCTCATAAAGGTTGTGGTGGTTTGGTCTGCTGAGACAGCAGCACTATTCGAGAGAGGGAGAGATATCGGCAACCGGGTCATCGGGACCAAATTGTTGTTTCTAAAAAAAAGAACAGAATTAAGAGGGGTCATTTCGTATCTCGATCTTTTTCTAAGGCTCTTGGTTGCATGCGGGGCGTCGCGGCTCTCCTAGTTAATCGCCGTTGAAAATCAAGCACAACAGAGAGCCCATGTCCAACTCGTTTTTGGAGTCATGTACATACTCCGTACACTGCCTACGGAGTACTAACTATAACCATCTACAAGGTAGCTACAAATCTATCAGTGATGTCACTGCAATTGGAACTGATGATACCCACCCTTTTGCCCCATCCCAGCTGTCAAACGCGCCGCAGCCGTTTTCAGCAGCCGAGACGCGCCACCACGCTAACCAGAGCTCTTCATAAACAAACGAGAACCAGCGACGCGCGATCTCATCCACCCCGCCATTGACATTCGCCTGTAAAAGGACCCCAACCTAGCCCTAGTCTTTTACATCGAGTCCTCGCCTTTTTTTCCAAGTCTCCAACAATGGCTCGAAAATCTGTCAAGAGCGAAGCCAGCACGGCCTCGCCCGACCCTGCCGCCGCGCCGACCCCGGTCAAGAAGGTTTCCAAGAGCAAGACCAGCAGCAGCGGTAGCGGCAGCAGCACCCCCGCCAAGAGCGCCTCCAAGAAGAACAAGGACAAGGACGTCGCCGGCACGCCTGCCGGCACCAAGACTCCCAAGATTCCCAAGACTCCCAAGACCCCCAAGACCCCCAAGGACAAGGACGCGCCCGTGAAGCAGCGTCGTCAGAGCATCAAGACGCCCCGCGCGTCCGCTGAGAAGCAAGCCAGCGGCAGCACGGCGCCGCCGCTCGCCAGCCTGCCGCCCGCCGCCAAGCTCGTCGCCGTCGAGGCGGTGACGCTCGCGCTGCTCTTCGCCGGTCGCCTCGCGCTCGCCGCCGCCACCGGCGACGAGCTAGGCGGTCTACGCGCCGCCTTCCCCGCGACCCCCGCCGAGCTCGCGCTGCTGTTCGGCTGGCGCGCCGCCGAGGTCGCCCTCGCCTGGGTCGCCGACCTCGACCTCGTCGACGTCGGGCTGCTTTCCTTCGTCGCGCACGCGCCCGCCCTCTGGCTCGTCGCCACCTTTTACCGCGTCCGCCCCGCCACCGCCCTCGCCTCCGCGCTCGTCGACGTCGTCGCGCCGGCGGCCGCGTTCGCCCTCGCCCGCCCCCGGCGCTCCCTCAAGGGTCCGCGCCTGCACGACCGGGAGCTCGCGGCCGCGCCGTCCCTCCGGCTGCTGGTGGCGGCGCTGGCGACGTGCGTGTACGCGGCGGTGGTGTCGCTGGCGCTGCGGTTCGCGCTGCCGCGCGTGCTGGTGCTGCACTTCCGCGGGGTGCCGACGGTGGCGCCCGCGTACGCGGCGTCCTTTGCGAGCCTGCTGCCGACGGCGGCGCCGTTTGGGCTGGCGGCGGCGGGGTTCCTGTTCGCGCCGTACGCGACGGCGGGCCCGGACGGGAGCGAGCGACAGTTCGACCCGGCGCGGGCGACGCTGGGCGAGACGCTGTGGTGGAACGCGTGGGGGTACACGGCGCGCGGGCGCGTGGTGATTAAGCGCGCGGCGCTGCTGACGGGCGTGACGGCGGTGGGCACGGGGCTGACGTGCGCGCTGGGGGTGGACGGCGTCTCGGGGGTCGGCGCGGCGGCGTACGCGGGGGTTTGGGCGCTGGCGACGGGCCTCACCGGCTTGGCCGTGGGGCTTGTCGGCCAGGAGTGAGATGGGCGGCGGCAATGTTTTACGAGGCACAAGTAATGGGCGGGACGGCTCGCAACAAGCCGTTGGAGGCTCTGGGATGGAAAGAGATGTGCTTGATGATGGATAAGCGGTCGAGCGCTGTCACACCTTGACCTTTGGCACGGGGCTTTCTTGGGACGACGACAAGGTATATTATTATCACGGAAAATGGTGCTACCGGTGTATTTTCTGCGGGCTAATGCAAAGGGCGGAACGAGGAAGGATTATACCCAGAAGTCTATTTCTTTTGCGGTGGAGTAATGGGAATGAATGTGCCTGTACTGGGAATCTTCTTTGCTTCATTCTTGGTTATCGTTTTCTTATTGGTTCTTCTCGAGTATATTGCGCAACACTTTTACGTCTGCCTTCTCTATTATATTCTCAGTCTGTACAACAGTAGTTGCCCGAATTGACAAATCCGAGCTTCTTGTTCCACTGACGTCCCTTTGCCGGATTCGAGAACTCCCAGCTTCTTTTCCCAGCGATGTTCCCTCTGTCAAGCCTGTCCTGTCTGCCCCCCTCAGCCCTATGCCCGTTTATTCTCAGCCCTCCTCGGCTGCAGCAAAATCCCCTGAATAAGCCACCAGAGCAAAGGCCAAGCTTGTTCATGCAACCTTGTCGTTCAGCCTCGCCCAGAGCTGGGCCGCAAGGGGACGGCAGCATGCTCCTATTGGCCCCCTTTGCTAGTGATCTTCTGCATGCTGCATCGAGGAGGAGTCAGACGGCCAGTCCAGCCTGGACCATTTCTTTCCTCTTCTTTCATTTGTTCAAAGCTGATTTACATGGCGAAATCTTCTTTAGCTCGGCCAAGTCAGATTCTGCACAAAAGACCGCCTACCATGCATTTCAAGCACTCCATAGCAGTACACTGCTGGCAAGGGCTACATACGCCGCTCACGGTTGGACAAGTCCAAGTTCAGCTGCCTGCCAGGGGTATCGGAGCCTATTCTGCGACACAAAGCGGGGTGGCGACAGCCGACGATGAGGCTGAAGGGTCGGTTGAGAGATGGATTCCATCGATTGCTGATTGGCTGGAAGCTTGCATGCCATGGGGGGTTTCCTCCGCCCTTTCGTATTTCGCATAGGAGTTGTGCGGTGCGCGATCGAGTAGCGTCGACAAGGGGGGTGGGTTATTTCTGAAATATTTTCCTTCCTTCTTTCCCACAAAGCTAGACGACAACAGGTAAACAAGATCTACAGTTGGGCTGAAGCCATCCCAGACAGATTACATGGGGGGGGACCGTATAATGACTTGGTATCGATTCGTCGGTCAAGACTGCGCGCGTGCTTCCCGGAGAAGCCAAAACCGTTTCGGTGTTGGGGACCGCCGCCCCGGGATAGTTACAGTTAGCCTTGGCTGAAGTGCCGGGCCAAAGAAGAAATTGTAGTTTTGTAAAAGGAAGCAAGACGCCCTTTCGGTTTTAAAGTGGGAATGCAGCATGACAAGACTGTCGTTTTCTCTGACTCGGCAATTTCTCACATTGACTCATCTTCTTCTCTTTCCTTCCTTTCAGTCAGCTCGAAACAGGTCGTCCTTCTTGCCTCGCGCGCTATTCTGCCTAGACAACAGATAACACATGTGACCGGAGTCCAGCCTGAAGCTGTCGTCCGTTGCTCCTTTACATATCTGGACGACTTGAAGAGAAGTCGGGGGTCCTCAGCCAACGTCACCGCGCAGTGTGACTCTACAAGGCAGCTTGGCAGACGTCTTGGCCCTTGACCGTGGTTTCTGTCGTCTTCCATGGGATATTGCAACTTGATGCGGAACCGAGCATAGCGTCGAGGAATCGAGAGCACCCTCCACGATGGACTCTCCAGAGCCAAAGCCATCCTCGCCGCCGAGCCAGCCCAACCCGGCAAAAGCCTACCCGTCACCGACCTCCCTCCCGAGCCCTGAAGTACCGCAATTTCAAGAATTCTCCCGCATACCGCCCCTCGCCCTCGACAGCTACACCAATCCACTGCTGCTGGCCCGGCCGCCGCCGCCGCCACCGCCGCCGCCGCCGTGCACGTGCGCAACGGCGGCGGCGGGGGCTGCAGGCGTCTTTCACCACGCCGGCAGTTCCCGCTCCGGCGCCGTCTACGGGCTGGACTTTGCGCGCTCGCGCAGCGTCCACGACGAGTCGCGCCCCCGCTTGGAGCTGGCCGGCCCGCTGGACGTGGCCGGCAGCGTGCGCGCGCGCAGCGTCTGCTTCAGGGGGGATTTCATCGTCAGCGACGGCATCGACGCGTACGGCGATGTCGAGATCAACGGCAGCATGACCGCAGAGTACGCGCATGGACGTTCTTCCTTAGAGATCTTTCTTCTGGCTAATGCAATGTTTTGGATGTAGAGGCCGGATAAGGGCTTTCGGGGACATTTCGGTCAACGGCAGCTTGACGACCAGGTAGGAGACCCCCGTCTGAAAGGACCTGGCTGGTAGAAAAAAACGGCTCGTCTAACTGGGGAGATGGTAGTGGCAAGGTTCAGGGATCTTCGAGGTTGAAGCTGCGAGGCACCATTCGCGCCGCCGACGTGGAGATATACGGCAACGTCATCCTCCGAGGGCACTTGTAAGTTGATGCCTCCCAGCTGGGAACATGTCGTTTTTCTTCTCTTACCGAAACTGGGAGCAGACATTGTCGTCGGCTCGTCGTCTACGGCTCCCTCCTCTTGATTGGGCCCGACTCTACCTATGACGTGGCAGGTTACGAAATGGTGACTGGTTTACGTACACGGCGTGACCACGAGCCAGATTGGGACATCTGATCCAGTCCCCCCTTTTTTTCTTTTTCGTTTTTTCTTTTTCAAAATTATTTTTCTGGGCTTGTTTAGAGGAGCGTTGCTTTTTCGTTGTCTTCTTTATTTTCTCGTCTTTTATTTGTGCATCCGCTGCCTCGACACTGCAGCGTCCTTTTGCATCACGCCTCGGTTGAGCGTCTTGGAGCCAAGATTCGCCTCTGGAAAGGCTAGCTATAGATTCTATCCGAAACAGTTCCATCCTAGCATTCTTCATAGAATCATCAATACGGAGACCCTGCTGCCTCTGCTAATTCACAATGGGCATTTCATGCCCTAGATAATCTCATTGGGTAGAGCCAAGAGCTGAAGGCTAACACCCGCGCTAGCAAATGCATCTCGTGTTGAAATTTCCAAAAGTAGAATACAGGGGTTATTATGTTCAGCTGAGAGAATGGGTATCAAGGCTAGACCAGTGATCAGCCAGCTCCTAGTTGGCTCGATTACAAATTCGCAACTCTTCTCGCAGACATCTCTGTAGCTGCTCAGCCCAGGCCTTGGCGCTGCGCTCGCGTTCATGTGTCCAGAAGCGGTAGCATCTTTCAACAGGCGACGGGCGTAAAATAGCCGGAGTTAGGCCGTTATGGATACAACGAAATTTGTGAGACTGTCATTTGGCCGCCCTCTCCTCCGAAATCGAATCCGCGTCATCGTCCTTGGGAATCCGAGCTCGAAGCAGGCGGCAAAGAATAGGCACCAGTACGGCCAGCACCATCCCTGCGCCCAGGAAGCCCGCCGTCGCGCCGAACCCGACGTGGTAGCCCGGGGCGTCCGTCTTGGGCCAGATGCGGCTGCCGTAGACGCTGGAGAAGTTGCCAAAGGCGTTGACGAGCGCCAGCACGATGGCGCGCTTCTCCGGCGGCTGGCTCACCGCGCCGCTCGTCCAGGACAGGATCAGCGGCAGCGCGGACCAGATGCCCACCGCGACGAAGCAAATCATGACGTAGCGCACCACGGCGTTCTGCACCGCGACGCAGACGACGCAGCCGACGAAGCCGACGGCCAGGGCGCCGGCGACGTGCCAGCGGCGCTCGACGCGCCGGTCAGACGACCAGGCGACGACGGTGAGGCACACGGCGGCGACGGCGTAGATGGGCACGGTCATGTACTGCGCCTTGACGGTGTCGTAGCCCAGCGAGAGGGTGATGGTCGGGATGAAGTAGGAGATGGTGCCGGCGCCGACATCGAGCATGTACAGCAGAATGAACATGTACGTGCGGGGGTCCGAGACGGCGGCCAGGAAGGCCTGCCAGTGCGACAGTTGAGGCCTGCCGACGGCGCCGTTGGCGACCCCGTCGTGGAGGACGCGCAGGGCCGCCAGCCTGCGCTCCTCGGGCGTCAGCTTCTTTGACGTGGCCGGGTAGTCGAGCAGGACAAAGTACGAGACCAGCGCAACCGCAACCGTCGCGGCGCCCTCGACGATGAACAGCCAGCGCCAGCCGGCGATGCCGCGGGCATCGTGCATGTTCTCGGCGATGGCGCCGGCGAGAATGCCGCCGAGCGCGCCGGAGAGCACGGCGGCGGTGTAGAAGACGGCGAAGCGCTTGCCGAGCTCGGCGCGCGTGTACCAGCAGCTCAGCACGTAGAGGACGCCCGGGAAGAAGCCCGACTCGACGCAGCCGAGGACGAAGCGGAGGGCGAGCAGCGCGGCGTACGAGTGCGCGGCGGCCATGCAGGCGCTCAGCGCGCCCCAGACGAGCATGAGGGTGGGCAGGAAGACGGAGGGCCGGCTGCGGCTGAGGGCCATGTTGGAGGGCACCTCGCACAGCAGGTAGCCAAAGAAGAAGATGGACAGCACCCAGGCGAACCCGTCGTCGGTCAAGCGCAGGTCCCGCTGCATGCCGGCAATCTTGGCATTTCCCTGTGGTCGCACGGGTTAGTGAACGGTGCTGGGGGTGGCTGGATGGGCAAACGGACAATGTTGGTTCTGTCAATGTAGTTGAACACATACTTGATCCAAAGAATTGGCATCAAGTAGAGATCAATCTTGCGAACGAGTCTCTTCTCTTCCGGGGAGCCGGGTACAAAGTGGCGCAGCTGCTCTTCCACGGTGTCGGCCTCGGAGGCATGGGTGAGGTGCGCCGTGTCGACGGCGGGCTCTTTGACAGAATCCATGGCAAAAAAGACAGCGAGCTCATCCGTGCATCGAGGAGCGTGAGATTCGAGCAGCAGCGCCGTTGCCTGGATATAGATAGGATTCCGACAAGGTGAAAATATGCTCCGTGCGGCGGGCGGTGAATAAGTAAGTCAGTCCCATCCACATCCATTTCCCCCCTCTTTGCTTTGCGTTGCTTTGCTTGCATCTGCAGACCCCTGTACGGGGAAACGGCGGCAACCTCTGCGGCCTGGTACGGCCTCCTCTCCCGGACCATTCGCTGCAGAAACGCATGTTGATGCTATACCTAGCCGTGGGCAATTGCTTTGCCAACAGCGGCGGTCATCTGTCCTACGCCGGTGGGAAGCCAAGGAGTAGTAGTTTGTTAGTGTAGATGTCAAAGTCAAAAAGTTGGATTGGCAAACGGCGGCACGTTGACCACCCTCCCTCCCGTCGACCCACAACCGGCAGCTCGAGAGAATTGGGGGCATCCTTGGCCCTCATAAGGCACGGTGTTCTTTCCGTTGGTATACACTTGGTGAGAATTGTTTTTCTTTTCAGACATTTAGAGCTTCTTTGTCGTACTTTGGGCACAAGGTCAACTCGTTAAAGTGTGGCTGGCGCGGCGAGGATTGCGCATGCCATGACTCGTGCGCACTCACGAGGAAATGCGCCAATCCCAGCGGAACGGGTACATGCTCGAGAATGATATTCTCCTGGGCCATCCTATACGGGTTCTCGACGGGATTGTTCCCGTGTAAAGAACTTTACAGATGGTGTAATTTGGGATAGTCAGCTTGGCCGAAACAAGAGTACAATGACACCACACCACCATTCGTGCGGGGAATAAAGAGCCCATGTTATTGCATCCAATAGTGTGACAGTAAACTGCAGATATTGATTTACAATTGTCCAATGAAAGCCTCGCTTTTGTTATATACTTCAAAATCCAGCTATAAAACAGGGCAAAATGTTTCGCAAGCAAAGAGATATACATGGTAATGTTGGAACAAAGATGGCCAACCATTTGTACTCGGCAATTGGTTTCCCGACTATTTAGTTCCTCTGTCCATCACGGCGCCTCCGTGAAGCAAGAGTCGTCCTTTCGTGTCTAGTCGACGACGTGACTACTCCATGGTGGAGAGCCCATGTTGATAGACCCTCTTCCCCTCCTTCCGGAGATCAGATGGAAAAAAGTTTATCAGGCGGACTTCTTCCCGCTCTCGATACCCCGTGGGGTACACGGGGCTCGTTGTCTCGGCAAAGGTCGGTCTGCATAAACTGGTGTGACGTGGCTTGGTGTTGCGGCGCGATAGGCTTCCTTCTGTTATTGAATGTTGCGATTTGCTGCTAAATGCCGGGCTGAGCAAATGCGGCGGGCAACGCAACCCCGCACTCAGCCCGGCATTTGCGAGTTGAGAGCATCCAAAAAGTTTAGCCCAAAATTGTCCTGGTTCAGCGTCGTCTGCTGTGCCAAGTCGCCGCCGCCGCCGGCGTTGCCAAACATCCACGCGTTCCAGTCCGGCCACATCTCGCCCTGCTGCGCCCAGACCTGCTGCGCGGTGGTGGCCGCCGCGGCCGCGGCCTGCTCCCCCTCCTCCATCTTGCGGTTCTCGAGGTGGTGGCGCTCCTTGAACTTGTCCAGCATGCTGCCGAGGCCGGTGCCGAGGTAGTGCGCGACGTGGCGGACGCAAGGCCGGGTGGCGTCGAGGACGGCGATGGCGCCCTCGATGAGCGGCACCACCTCGTCGTAGCTGATGCTCAGGTTGGCCGACTGCCACTGCGCCTGGCACTTCATCAAAAACAGGCACGCGTACGCCATGGTCGTGAGGAGGTAGAGCGGCACGCCGATGATGGAGGCGCGCATGTCCGGGTCGTTGAGGATTAGGTCGAGTGCGGCCGTGGCGCTGCTGATGGCCTTGTTGACGAACTGCCGGCGCTCGGGCGACATGGCGTACACGCCAGAGGGCCGCAAGCCGCGCAGGCAGATGGAGAAGAGCAGGAGCCGGGCGAAGTGGTAGTGCAGATATACCCCCTTGGCCGGATATTGCGACACGTATTTATTTGGCTCTATCGTGATTTTGTTAGTTGGGAGTTGTGTTGGTGTGCAGCTTGAGCATCAACGTACGTAGCTTGTCCTTCCAGCGGTCGCGCCAGAACCCCATGTCGGCATCAAAGCGTCGTAGAGCCTCAAACTCGTCGTTGCCAATCATGCGCGACCGATCGGGACCAAAAGCGTGAAAGACTCGACTGAGGATGATGAAGATGCCAACCTGGCTGTGCAGCCGATAGTCCGACTGCGTCGCGTCCGGGCGCTGCAGAAAGTGCTCATGACAAGTAATGGTCGGCGTCTCGCTGATGACGGGCGGGCGGCCGTACGCGATGCTGAAATGGTGGTCGCACACGTACAAGAAGTACCAGAGGCGGGCCTCGTCGCCGTAGTTGGCGCTGTCGCGCAGCGACTTTGCGCAGAACTGGTGCAGGTTGAGCTCGGTGGCGATGCGGACGGCGAGGCCGGAGAGCTTCCAGCTGAGGTCGGAGAGCCAGAAGGCGCCGATGCAGAGGCCGCGGACGTCGTCGAGGGTGTGGTAGCGGTCGAAGACGGCCTGGCTGACGAGCTGGAGGAAGACGGGGTAGCAGACGTCGAAGGCGCGGCCCTCGTCCTGGGTGTGCAGCGAGGTGACGGCGAGGATGGCCGCGGTGAGGATGGAGGAGGAGGCGCGGGCGGCGTCGAGGGTCTCGTGGACGAGGGCGATGCCGCCCCAGAGGTAGGCGTTGAGGGTGCCGCGAAAGGTGTCGAAGAGGTGCTCGGCGTCGCGAAGGGCGACGCGGCCCTGGGCGATGAAGTCGGCCTCGACGGGCGATGAGGCTGACGATGCGGAGGGGTGCTGGCCGCGGCTACCGCGGTGGTGAGGGGCCTGCTGCTGCTGCTGCTGTTGCTGCTGCTGCTGCTGCTGCTGTTGGCGGCGATGGTGGTGCGTCCAGGGGTCGCTGCGGATGTTGCGCAGCTTGGTCGCCTCAAACAGGCTGGCCATGGGCGCGTTGACGATGGCCTGGGGGTCGCCGCCATCGGGCGCCTCGTCAGGCTCGATGGAGTTTTCCCGGGTCATGGCCGTGGCGGTCCGGTGAAGCGAGGGCGAGAGGCTAGACTGCGTCGCGCCGCCCTGGGAGATGACTGGTGATGGCCCATGTTGCTGCGACAGCTGAGGCTGAGACTGAGACTGCGGCTGATGCTGCTGCTGTGACACAGAGGCGTGACGACTGTCGGCTGCAACCAAGGTCCCGTTGTGATGATGATGATGCTGCTGATTGACGTTGAGGACGCGCTGCACGTCAGCCAATGCCGTTTGCAGGGCCTCGACCTTGGCCTCCATCTGCGTCTTCCACTCATTCTCGCCGTCCAGCAGCGTCTGCAGGCTCTTGTTGACGACGCACTTGAGGTCGAGGCGCGTGCAGCGGCTGCAGCGCTGCTGGCCGTTTTCGAGGTCGCACTTGACCTTGCGATGTTGGCAAGCCTGGCCTGATGAAGCGATGCGCGCGTGATTTATCAGCATGTTGCTTCCCGTTGGTTGTCATCCACCACAACTTCCCGTGTGACAAAGACCCTTGCATCGCGAACGAGCAAAACAGGAAGAAAATTTTTTAAAAAAAAATACACCAAAACACTTACAGGCACGTATCTTGCGCGAAATCTTGGGCTGGTGACCACCGCTCTCGGCAGCATCACCAGCTGGCGGGCTTGTCTCCGGCGACCTCGCCCGCTTCATCGCCGTGGTCGCGTTTCCAACGGCTGTGGAGTCGGCAGAATTGAAGGGATTGATAAGGTGAGTAGATTGGGGGAGGTCATGAGGAGAGGAATAAAGGCCGCCCCTTCGGACTACCTGTCTGTTAGTTAGTTGTTATTATTATGGCGGGGAGAACAAAGAAAAACCCCAGGTCGCATGAGCATTTGCGGGTGCGACGGTGGAGAAGGGCTTATTATTATGGGAGGGACCCCCCCTGTCAAGAACTCCAAACCAGCCTCTCGTAGCCTCGATATTACCTATCGGGATGATCTCCGCGGCCTTGGCTGAACTGCGTGACAACTCGATGAGACTATTGCTCAGTGTGGAAACAAAGTGGCAACGTACTAGGCAGCTAGCTGGCCTAGTCTGGCTATAGTGAAGCCTATCTCGAGCGTGAGAGGGCGACGGCGGCTGCGGCTGATGCCGTGCACTGAATTTTTATAAAGCCAGCGCTGCTCAAGTCGATGGACGCCAGGCATGTACGAGCAAAGTGACTCGGCTCCAAGAGCTCACTCGTTTCTTTTTACTTGGTTGATCCCTTGTTGCGTATACAGCAAGCCACAATGGCTGGTGCTAATACCACTGTCGTCGCCGTCGTAGCAAATCCCAGCACCGACATTACCTGGTACAGTGATGCGCTGCAAAATTCAGCTGTCACAGTTCAGTACCATTCAGCTGCTTCCTTTACGCCCTACGCTGCCTCCAAGACCGAGTTGCACGATACGTTGTCATGTACGAGCACGACCCTGCTTGCTGCCCTGCCTGCCACCGCTGGGTATAAGCTGACCAGGCTCTATCTAGGCCTCCCTCACGACTCTCTAATTCTCGTGGCCGAACCCGTCCCGGACACTCTCTACGAATCCCTGGAGACTGCCTTGACGGACTGCGGTCGAGGCGACTTGCAGCTGATAGCCGCCTCGGTGTCTCAGAGCGACGTCTTTGTGGCTGGACCAAGCCATGCAATCGAGTCCCGATTGGCACTCCTGCAGGGTCCAGGCGCACCCGTTCATCCAGTGTCCTCGAGCTTCGGCTCTTCCGCCGCCAAACTCCGGCTCGTTCACGACCACCTGTTGGGCGTGCATGCCGTCGCCGCGACAGAGGCCATGAGTCTCGCTGCCAGGGCCGGCCTGAACACCAACCAAGTCTACGACATCATCGTCAACGCCGCCGGTAACTCTGCAGCATTCGAAACACGAGCCAGGAAGATCCTCGACGCCGACTCGACTCCGCACTGTACCTTGGGCCATACAAGGGACAAGCTGGCAAGTTTCCCCTCTCTGCCCCCTGCTGTCTGTGTCGCGGTTGTTTTTTGCTCTACTTTTGCTCTACACTTTCAGCTCGCCTCGGTGCTAACATGAATCGGAAATTTTTCAAAAATATAGACCGATGTGGTAGTCAGAGCCCGAGACCTACGTTTCCCCTTACCACTCGCCTCAGCCGCTGAGCAGCTGTTCGTCATGGCGTCCTCCCTGGGCTACGGTGCGCTGGATGACTCCGCGGTGGTGCGCGCCTATCTGCCTCACGGCGGCGGCGACGTCATCAAGGAGGCGACCAGGCGGCCGGCGTGTGCGAACGAGCTCACGCCGACCAGCAGCCCCGGCGAGATCGCCTCGGTCGGCATGGTCGGCCTCGGCGCCATGGGCCAGGGCATGGCCGCGTCGCTGCTACGCGCTGGCTTTACTGTGAGTGGCTTCGATATGAATACCGAAGCCGTCAGCAAGTTCGTGTCCAACAGCGCAGGGGCGCGAGGAGCCTCTTCGGCGGCCGACGCCATGAGCGGCGCGGCCGTGGTCATCCTCATGGTCCAGAACGCGGCGCAAGCTGACGACATCTTGTTCGGCTCGGGCAACGGAGCCGACGCCCTGTCTGACCAGACCGTCGTGGTCCTGAGCTCGACGGTCCCGCCGTCTTTCGTGAGAGAATTAGCAGCCAAGCTGCAAAACCTGGGCCGGGGGCTATCTCTGCTGGATGCTCCCGTAAGCGGAGGCGTCGCACGTGCCACGAATGGCACACTCGCTGTACGTTCTCTCTCTTTTTTTACTACTTGAGTGGTGGTGTACGTCACCTTGTCTTACCTCTCAGCTAACCGGTTGACCGCCTGGACAAACAAAAACAGATCATTTGCTCAGGCGAGGACTCATCCCTAGCCAGGAGCAGGGCTGTCCTGCTGGCCATGGCCGGCCCGGCCACGAACCTGCACGCGGTGCAAGGGGGCGTCGGCGCGGCCTCTTCCGTGAAGCTCGTCAACCAGCTGCTCGCAGGCGTGCACATCGCAGCCGCGGCCGAGGCCATGGCTCTCGCGGCGCGCCTGGGGCTGCCCACCAGAGCCGCGTTCGAGATCCTCGTCCAGACGGGCGCGTGGAGCTGGATGCTTGCGAACCGGACGGGTCAGATGCTCGAAGCCGACTGGACGCCGCACTCGGCGCTGGCCATCTTCGTCAAGGACCTGGGCATCGTCCTCGACGAGGCCCGGCGCCTCGGCTGCTACGTGCCCATCGCCGCGGCCGCGCACACGCTCTACGTCAGCGGCGCGGCGCACGGCTGGGACGGGGATGCCGACGCCGGCGTCGTGCGACTCTGGGAGGAGCTGAGTGGCGTTTCCGTCTCTGACAGCGCCCAGAAGCAGCAGCAGGCTGAGACGGTGCATAGTCAACAACGACAACAACCATCAGACAGAATGAACCCGCCACGTCTGCCGGCAGCTGAAACGCTGCGGGCCCTGCCGCCCGAGTATGACGCCGACGACGTGCTCAGCTCCATCCGACGCGTGGTGAACGGCGGAGGGGTGCCGACGCTAGTAATCCTCGACGACGATCCGACCGGCACGCAGACGTGCCACGACATCAACGTCCTCGCCGTCTGGGACTCCGATACGTTGGCGCGCGAGTTCCGCGACAGCCCCGCCGGCTTCTTCATCCTGACCAACTCGCGCGCACTGCCGTCCGCCGAGGCGCGCCGGCTCATCCACGAGATCTGCGAGGGCGTCCGAGCCGCCGCCGCCGCCGCCGGCAAGCCGTTCGAGATCGTCCTCCGGGGCGACTCCACGCTCCGCGGACACCTGCCGGACGAGCCGGAGGCGGTGGAGGCGGCGCTGGGCCGGTTCGACGGCTGGGTGCTCGCGCCCTTCTTCTCGCAGGGCGGCCGCCTGACCGTCGATGACGTGCACTACGTGCGGGAGGGCGACGAGCTCGTACCGGTGAGCCGCACGCCGTTCGCGCAGGACGCCACGTTCGGGTACCGCAGCTCGAACCTGCGCGAGTACGTGCTCGAGAAGTGCGGCTCCAGGTTCGACGACGGGTCGTTCGTGTCCGTCACGCTCAACGACATCCGCCTCGGCGGCCCGTCCGCGGTGGCGAGAAAGCTTCTCTCGGTGGCGAGCAGCCCGGACCTGGTCGTCATAGTCAACGCTGTCGTTGACGCCGACATGCACGTCTTCGTGGCCGGGCTGCTCGAAGCCGAGCGGCACGGCCGGCGCTACCTGTTCCGAACGGGCGCCGCCTTTGTATCCTCCAGGCTCGGCATCTCGGCGATCCCCCCGCTGACGCCGAAGGACCTGGGCGTTGCCCACCACCCATCTGCAGCGCCGCGCCGCGGCGGGCTCATCCTGGCCGGCTCGTACGTCCCCAAGACGACCGCGCAGCTGCGTCGGCTCCGCGAGCGCCGGGGCCCCGCGCTCCTGCACGTCATCGAGCTCCCCGTTCCGCAGCTCATCGGCCCCGACACCTCTGCCGCGGACGCTCTCGTCGCCGCCGCGGCGCGCGAGGCATCGGCGACGGTGGTCGCCGGCAAGGACGTGCTGGTGATGACGTCGCGGACGCTCATCCGGGGCGAGGATGCGCTCGACTCGCTACAGGTGGGCGCGCGGGTGGCGGCGGCGCTGGTGGCGCTGCTGCGCGGCGTGGAGGCGCGCCCTCGGTACGTCGTGGCCAAGGGCGGCATCACAGCGTCGGACGCGGCGACCAACGCGCTGGGGATGCGCCGCGCTCGCGTTCGGGGCCAGGCCGCGTCGGGCGTGCCGCTCTGGGTCTGCGACGAGGAGACGAGCAGGCACCGCGGCGTGCCGTATGTGGTGTTTCCGGGCAACGTGGGCGATGAGGACGCTCTGGCGGACGTTGTGGAGGCGTGGGCTGTTTGAGAGCAGCGAGGTGAGTTTTGGGGTGGCGGGAAAGAAGCTGGTGGGAGGAATATTGGGATTGCATATATGCTTCAGCGACAGTTCGATAATAATGAGTGCGTTCTTTCTTGACTGGGTGACAAAGTCGACGTATCTTGTCTGTTGATGCCAATGTACAAGAACCAACTCAATCCCTTGCTAAGCCTGGTGGGCATCCATAATCTGTGCAACAGTTAGAACAGGACTCGTCTCGCCCTCTCCATCCCCGACAGCCGGGTATTTTTCCAAGAAAGCCTCCTTATCCCGGTGCATCTCACTCAGCGACTCCTCGAAGCGCCGAAGCGCCTCAATCTTCTCCACGCCGGGCAGCGTCTTTGGCCGCAGGATGTCCCTCGCGACAATTGCCGCATTCCATGACTTGGCAGTGTTCCACTTGGCCTTGTCCTGGTCAGACAAACCCGGCGGCTGCCGCTCAAAGTCATCCGTCATGACACGCGAGTACATGGCCGGGGACAAGGCGCGCAAGCCGCCACCCACATCGCTAAAGCTGGCAAAGTAGTGCTCCTCGATGGGGTGGTTGACGGAGGCAAAATCGAAATCAAGCAGAGCGGTGACTCGCTTGGATCCCCTGTCGAATAACACATTGTTCATCGCTGAGGAGTCGTATGAGTGAGCTGCGACACTTAGCAAGATGCTGTTGCGACTACTCACTAAAGTCAGAGTGGACAAGGCAGCGCTGTGTGGCATCAACGTCGTGAAGAACTTTGGCAACGCCGCCATCACGGAGAAATCTTTGCACACGACTGAGCAACTGCGAACCGTCCTTGTCCGGGGTGCGGAGAAACGAGGTTTCCATCGCGCAATCAACAATAGCTTGCAGCTTCTCGGTCCAGTAATCCGGCAAGTTCGCCCAAGGACCGCCTTTTCTCATGGCTGTCTGGCCGCTAACCATTGTTCCGTGGCTGTCGAAGGTCAGCCCGCCAAATTTATCCGCAGCCGGCGGGATAACCGCTCTCTGCAAAGCGCCATAGATGTCCGCCAGTTGCAGAATCACATTCGTCTGCTCCTCTGCCGACAACTTGGGAAACTCGACATCGAGATCCTTGCCAGTCTTAAATTCACAAATTGTCCACCCAAAGTTTTCTTCTTCAGGCTCTTGCTCCAATGACTTGGGCGGCCTCCAGGCGTAAATCTCTGGGACCACTGGGTCGAGACCGGCCTTCTTGAGGGCGTCCCGCGCCAGGGCAGAGCATGCCACTTCATTTTCCACCCGGTTTGTGTGGTTCAAATCGGAAACCTTCAAATTGCTCATACGAATGATCAAGGCAGTGACACCGGCTGCCGGGGCTTGGGTGGTGCCGGGCTGGGTGCCAGGGAAATGAGCTGGCGATGCTGGGATCTCGAGGTCAACTTTGTAGATGAAGTTGTTAAAGGGCCACGGAAATTGCAAGGAATAAGCAATAGGAGTGACAGCTTCAGACTGTGCAGTAGAGGGTCAGTCAGCTGAGCGTGCCTGTTGGCAGGTAGTTAGTTGTTACCTTGAGCCCAAATTTGCCCAAAATGGTCTGAATCACGGCCAGTCGCCGATCATATCCAACCTGGTTGACATTCATATTGCATGTATATGTCCGTAGCGGTGCTTTTTTTTTTCTGTAGTCTGCAGCTTCGACTGTAAACAACGCCGCTGTGACAGCTATTTATCATTCAGGGACCGACCCCAACTCGCAGCTAGTTTGACGCCAATGTACATTAGTGAATTCCTTCACTCTTCCTGCAAGGCTCGGACACTTTCGAGGATACGGGTCCCTATTTCGGTTTGCTGATGACGGGCCTGCTAGTGCGTCGATCCGAGTTACGCCACACTAACGGTCATGTTCAACCCTTCACAGCGGTACAATGCATCGACACTCACTGTTTTCACGCGCTGTAGAGCTAGGCAGGCCATCATTAGGTAATAGGCTTTGTTTGCTCTGTTTTGTTTTGCTTTCCAACGCCGTCCGCTTCTGCCTCTTGCATAGCAACCAAGCATCACGAATGTCATCGACTTTGACTTTGCGTTGCAGCAGTCACCTCGAGCGCAGTGTGCTATGTGGAAATTCCACAGAATGGCGACGGAGATAGTGAGCAGCGGGAGAGAGGAACGAAAATCAGGCCAGACGTCGTTTCCCTTGCGAAAGTGCATTTTCCACCACAAGGTAGATCCTTGCCAGTAAGTGATTAGCTAAGCCGATGCCTAACCTTAGTACCTTATTAGCACCGTACAATCCAGGATCCAGAGCACAATCTAGGGCGCGACAGCCTACCAGTTACAGGCGAAAGATGGCCCCACTCAGCAAGGGTAGCGCCGCAACGCGACAGCCCATGTCCAACTCGCGAGACAAGCCATCGAGAAGCTAAATCCAGCTGCCAGCCATCCTACGCATGCAGATGGCATCTAATCGGCCGGCTTGCAAAGCGCATCATTACTTCGCGACGCTACCGTGTGCTTGGTAGCCGCGCAGAGCGGCCATGGCCGACGGAGACGATACCGCAGTCGCCAAGGTCGAGGTCGTTTCACCAAAGGACACCTCTGCCATCAGCGACGGGCCTGTCGCATCACTACGTAGCTCGCTCGAGGCACGCGCCGATCCAGACGCCCAAAACACCGTCACCGACTTCATCGACTTTACCGAGTACCTGCCAGCTGATATTGTCCGATCCCTGACCCTAATCGGCAAACTTGACGAAACGTATCACGAAGCCTCGCTTAAGGTCGATGACTTGACAAAAACATGGGCTCGTTTGCCCACGATACCGTCGCCCGAGCGGCCGGCACCCCTTCAACTTCGTGCCGATATTTCAAGGCACCTCAAACATGCTGTGGACTCGCGTACCTTTGCCCATACCGAGGCAGTTCGTATGTCCGAGAGCGTTGATCGCCACTACTTCAAGGCAAAAGTTCTACTTGAAAAGCTGCAAACCATGATGGACAGTTATCCGACCGAAGATCAAAAGAGCAGCCCGACAGAGGCCAAGTCGCCGCAAATGACCCGCGCAAAGCTCGCTGTTCGTCCTACCGGGGAGGACGGCAAGAAGATCAGCCGACGCAGAGTGCCCAGGATCACGGTTCCAGGCGAGGTCCTCGCGCCTTACGATATCGAATACGACACATTCTCTGACGACAGTGACATCAGCACCGACGAGGACTCCGACACCGCCACCAGTCGTAGAACGCCTGGCCCGCCCAAGATCAAACTCATCACCAGTAGAGGGGTGCCCAAAACGATAAGCCGGTCCGCACGATCGCTCTCGTTTTCTTCTCCTGCACTGACTGCCGCGGCTGCTGCGAATGCTGCTGCCTTACTCCATCCTCCACCGCAAAATGCTGTCGTCGGGAGCAAGGATGCGCCTTGGCTACAGCTTACCCAGTACGAGTTAGCTGTGCTCAGGAAGCGCATGAAGAAGAACGCTGCATGGGCTCCCAGCGAGACCATGATCGCGAGGGAGCTCAAAGCACTCGGTCGTGGACCCGAAGCCTACCGGGAAGCCAAGAAGAAAGCCGAGGACGAGGGGCGTGTATTCGACGCCCAAGTCCCAGCTCTTGTGACGGATGATGAATCTGGTTCCCAGCAGCTACCCGCTGGAGCCATCAGTGCCGAGTTGCTCGATGCCACCGAGGTACCCACTAGTAACAAGGGCATGAAGTTGAACGAAGCCAAGAAGCTAAAGCGGGAGGCCTTGGCAAAGCAGGCGGCCGAAGAGGCGGAAGAATCTGAGCGAAAGATGCGCGAGGCTGCTCAACTGTTCCTACACACTGATAAGTCCAGTAGTGAGAAGAACCAAACGAGCAAATCACGGTCCGGCTCACGGAATCAGCCAAAGCGTAAGCGCGATGGCGATGCGGAGGAGGACAAGGAAACATCTGCGCCCGCAGAGACCCCGCGCAACACAAAGCGCACAAAGATTGAAACACCTGTGCTGCCACCAAGGCATCCAAGCTTCAATAACGAGACGTCAACGCCGTCGAGCGTCGCCACACCGTCCAGCAGTCTCCCCCCGCCGGCTACGCAGACACCGGTCCCCATCCCTATTTACACACGATCGGCGTCGGCGGCATCAGCCACGGACCATGCTACTCCTACAGTTACGACATCAGTTCCAGTAAAACCGCCAGCGCAAACACCCGTGCCGCTTCCCAAGACGGAGCAGAGGCATACTGTTACGCCAGTCTATCCACCAGTGCGAGACATCCCTTCGCGAGAAGCCAAAAAGACGCAACTAGTAGCTTTGCAGCCCCAAGCGCAGCCGCAGCCTGAGCTTGGCTCGCGGCGATCCGTATCGCGCGGCGTCACGCCGAGCGCAGAGCCGACCCGGCGCCCTGGATCGCGGGGTAAGACTATGAGTCAAGAGCCGCCGTCTTCCCTGGCATCGGACCGCCCGCGCCGGGCGAGCACAACTAGGAACACGCCGGTGCCGGAGGCCAGGCCGCCGGCACGGCGCGCGAAGCGCCCTGCTCCCGGCATAGTAAGCACCACTAGCAGCGGCGGTAACAGCGCCGTCGGCAAGCGGAAAGCCGCGCCGAAGAAGAAGGCCCGCGCCCTCAAGAAGGACAGGGGCCACGGGCTGGAGACGGAGATTGAGATGGAGGAGGTGGACGACGAGGGGAACCCGATCGACCCCAACGAGCCGCGTTACTGTGTTTGCAACGGGGTTAGCTTTGGTACTATGATTCTATGCGAGAACTCGGAGGTACGTGCTGCGACGCCGACTTGCTCCAGCCTTTCTTCGCCGCCGCCGCATCACTAACACTTGATTTGTCAGAATTGCAAATATGAGTGGTTTCACTTGGGCTGTGTTGGTCTTGACGAAGTCCCCGCGCGAACTACAAAATGGTACTGCCCCGACTGTCGCCGGCTCCTGAACATTGGCGAGAGGGGTGAAGTGAGCGCACGTGGCGTTCGAAAGTAGCTGCAACTGCCAAATTCTGTACGATTATGTACCTTGGAGGGGCCCCAGAGTCTCAGAACAAGACAATCCAGGTCGAGTTCACAGATACTAGTCATTGAGTGCGGCTCGGAATATCTTACCAGCCTCGAGTGCGGTACTTGGAAAGGGCCTCGAGAATTTTCTCTTGAGACGGGACTGAGGGCAATTTCCTCCTATTTTTGCCTCTTTTTTTCTTACTTTATTTCTTATGGATAGGGAACTGGCTGGACGGCGCGGGAGGGGTTGCTGCTTTTTCTATTCTTGCCACCTTCACCTGAGTTTTGGCGTTTTCATTTGCGATTTGTAGGTCTAGTTTTCGTGCAAAGCCACGAAAACAAATTTCAACTTGAATTTCAATTCAGTTCAGGTGTATTATACAAGATTTGCCCCCCCCCCCCGTCGGAATGATGCGGGCGGTCGGATGTGGGGGTGGCGGCCGCGGCGTCGGGTATGGGAGGAGCCCCGCCGATGCTGTCATCCGCCGTGCCGCGCCGAAGCTCTTCTGCCCTCTCTCATCAACCGTGACTTCATCGACATTCACACCAAACGACACGCACTTCTTCTTCCATCTTCCCCCCCTCATCTCCAACCCAACTCCCCTTGAGAAACATGGCGTCCTCGGTGCAGGCCGGCTACTTCCCCGTCTACCCCGTCCAGGACCTCCTCCCGGACCCGGAGATCCGCACCTTCCTCACCAACTTCTACCGCATCTCCGACAACCCGGCCTCGGACGAGCTTTGGGTCAGCCACTTCACCGACGACGCGCACGTCACCATGGGCGCCGACACCGGCCCCCCTTTTTTTTTTCCCTGGGACTTGAGAAACTGACGGTGAAGAAACAGAGATACGGGAGCTTCGCGGGAGGATGTGGAAGGTGGTGGCGGAGAGGAGGCACACAGTGGAAAAGGTGTTCCCGGCAAGGTTCCGGGAGGACGAGCAGGGGGAGTGCGAGTGCATGCTGTTCGGGGAGGTGCGGATCAAGACGAGGGACGACAAGGAGATGGTGGTGCCGTGGGCGGGACATGCGACGTTGACAAAGGTGGTTGTTGATGGGTTGAAGGAGGAGTGGAAGTTTGCGCAGTATCGCGTTTGGCTTCAGAGGTGATTCATTCATGCATTCTGTTTATGTTGCCATAGAGTAGAGTTCACCCTAGTTCCCATGATTCTGCGGAGTTTTTCAAAGTCCACCGATTGTTATACAATATGCAGAAGCTTAAAGGCTTTGTCTCAACGCCTCTAGGCGCTACTCGACCTTCGTGGTCTCTGAGTAGGGCCCTTTTCTGAGCTCTTCAACCGCAAGCCGGTTTTCTGGGCCCTTTTCGAGCAGCTTGAGAATCACAGGCACGTACCGACACTTCGTATCCTCTGGAAGCTCGTTGATAAGATGGTCTTGGCCCGTTCGCAGCTCATCCAGGGCTAGACGCTGCGATGTGGAAGGAGGCCATCTGCAGCTTCCCGGCAGGCCCTGGTCAAGAAACGAAGAAACGTTGCACGATGGGATTGGCCGGCCCGCGTTGTTTTCATCAGGTAAATTTTGGTCATGAGTTGATGCTAGTGTTACAAGTCGTAACGGTTGCCAGGGCTTAAGTGCGTGCCAACCAACCGTCTCTATTGGTCCATAAGTTACTTTGTTCTGCGAGGAAGTTGCTTTGCTGTGTTGTGGAAGTCTATGGTCGCGGGGCTCACGGGTTGGCACTGACAATCCTTCCAGTATTTGGTACTACCTCTATGAGTGTTGTACTTGCTGGTAGTCTGTGTAGAGGTGGTTGTGCTGCGGAAGTCCGTGGTCACGCTGGAATAAATACCTGTGTGTTTGACGGTGGTTATGGTATGAAAGTCTGTGGCCCAAGGTCCACGGCCTGACACAGATAATCCTTCCAGGTAGCCCAAAGGAATCACGGGGATACTTGTATCCAACTACAAGATTTCACAAGCCATGCCTTGTACTTCATGAGGGCGAATGCCGCTCCCAAGTCATTCGTAGAAATCATCTATCCCAACATAACTACGAGACAACGGGCTTCTGTTCCTATCCCGATGCCTTCATTAAATAATCCCACTACATAAGCAGCCCAGGATCAACGTTCCTTCTTTCATCGCCAAAGGTGGCAAGCACATCAGTGTGTATGAGGGGACGCAGTGCGTACCACCGAGCAGGCCTGCTGCGTTGGCAGCCTCATTCATAAATGGCTCCAAGTGGAAGGGGTACGACTTCATTCGCATCCAGACCGCTATTTCCACAGAAAATTCAACCGTTACGCTTATGAGACGAATAAAATTGTCAAGCCTCGCAGACCGGAGTGCTCAATTCTCAAGTACCACACAGTCCACGTCAGCGGTTATTTACCCGTGTCCAACTTCATGGGACACTCAGACAGCGAAGCCCATGTTTCGAACAACGTTGTCCAGTTCGACGCTGATAAACGAAGAAGCACCACCGCCATGGTCCCCTGCTACGATACTGTTGGTGTTATTTGTCTTGAGCGACTGTACAAAGTCTTCAGTCCACCGATGACAGTTCTCCCATGCGCTTCGGTTATTTGGCTTCCTGGAGCTGTATGTCAACCACCAGGCAGACCAACATCATCAAAAAAATTACTGTCAGAAAGATCAACAGCGTCCAGGGCCACAGCACTGCGTTTGGACTCGAGGCAGCGCTGGATCTCGAGTACGGCGTGAAACTTGGCTACCGCCACCTGCTATGCTGCCGCTGCCCACGGACCATCATCAGGCCTGATGGGCCGCTGGTCCGACGCAACGGGTCGGGCAACGAGTTATCTTTAGACTTTGCCAACGGTCTCCGGGTAAGCCTGGATACGAGGTTGCGCACGTCTTATTTATGTCATGTGGAGAGCATCATCAGCGCGTGCCTAAGCAGTGCGAAGCCTGTGTGATGCGTACGGCCTCTTGACGAAGACCGCCACCACTTTCCACGCATGCCCATGGTAGCTCTGCTGCTGGCCACAACGGCAGCTGTCACACCTACCCACGTTGGCAAAAAGAAGAACATGGCCATGCCAACTTGCCCTGCCGGCACTTCCTTGGTCACGACCGTCGGCGGTACTGCCCACAGAACCAAACACCACAGGGCTGCAATCTTCCGCTCTTATGATCTCTCATATTGCTTCAACCATTCCTCATGACAGAGAGACGCGATACGCTCTCGACGGCCGACTTGAGAACGATACTACAACAAGAACATCCTGGACATCTCGGTTGTCGCAAACAGATGGTACATTGCCTTCGACTGCAGGTCTGGACACCTCCCGGAAACCAGCGCTTGCCGCCATGATCGCGGTGGTCAGCGACACCTATCTCCGCAACGGCAAGCAATCCATCGGCCGACTCAACTAGATGCTATATTCCAAAGAGGGCATGGCCGCACTCAGTGATGTCACCAAGAGGACGGGCTGTCGGTGCATGTTTGCCACTCGTGGCTGGCCGGCCACGGAGGGTTGGGACGCCGTGTCTCGCCCGACAGAGGCCAGGGACTTTGGCAAGCCTATGAGATTTCTGTGCGGCGTCGAGGTGCGAGAATGCAGAGGATTACGGACGATGGGTTCATGTTACTCACGACGCGAGACGGTGTTTGCGATATGTCGTCGGTTGAGGGCGATTAGATAGGAGCGAAACACGTGCCTTCTACCGACTAGTCACACGTCTGTCGCTTTTCAAGGTTCGATTGAGCGTTCCGAAAGCACCATACTAACACCCTCCGGTCTGTTACGGCGTGTCGTCATGGCTATAAAGATTTGACCCATGGGATTCGGAGCAGGCAATGTTGATGACAAGAGATGACGGTAGGCAGTACGCGGAAGTGGCTTGGAAGCTAGAAGCTCCACGTGATGGAAGCCAGCTGGAAGGAGGTTAGCGGTTACTCACTGGCCGGTGGCGCTCGCTGACAGATGGGTATACCTGCGCTTGTGTGGGAATGTGGTGATGATAAAAGTACCTGCTGGTACGGCCTCCTTTTCGAGTACCTGGTACATGCATCGAGAGGCCATTTCGGCCAAAGCTGCGCCCCATGTGCTCAGAATCCCTGCCAATGGACGCGCCTCTACTTGGCGACGACATGCAGCAGGCTGCAGCCCAAGGCGGTTGTTGATGAGGTATCCAGTACATGCCCAACCACCAAACCATTCTCATCTTACCCACCCAGTCTTTCAGCAGTCTTCAGGCGGCCCACGCGGCCTCTTCAGCGTGCTCTGGCGTCATCCAGCAGGCCCGAGAGCCTAAACGGCAGCAGGCCAGGCACCTGATAGCCCCCCGTTGAGTGCCATACAGGTGACATCAGTCACGCCCTCGCCCTCGCTCCCGTTTGTTGGCCTGCATCACAGACAGCTCTCTCACTCTCCTCTTGCTTTGTCTCTTATCCCTTGACAACCAACTCTCTGACTGTTTCCAAACGTTTCCAAACCAAACCTCTGGCACTCTTTTACTACGAAAACCGCGTTATTAAATAGATTTCTCCTTACTTGTCCATACTTGTTTCCTTTTTCTCCTTCCTTCCTTACCAACTAATAGACGACTCCTCGCCGCGGCTGCGCCATCTGCCCCGCCATTTCGACTCCTCCAAGCCCGCGCCGTTCCGCAACGCCTACCTCCAAAGGTTCCAATCATTCGCGCAGATCCAATCTTGTATCGCGTACAAGAAGAACAACCTCGAACCGTGTATATAGTTGATCGGGCCCCGTCGACCTCTTTTCGAACACTACACCGCGTCCTCATCCGAGCCGGCCAGAAGCGTCCAGCCTACTCTGCCCCGCCATAGGTACATCGAGGTACGGCTGCATGCCCATTACGCCAGCTAGGTACCGCGTCGCGACACCAGCACGGCCGCCTCGGCCTTGAAGGCCGTCCAGCTTCTGCTCTCTGTGCATAGCCTGCGACAATGGGATCTACCAAAAAGGACAAGAAACGTGCCAGAGCCGCCGCCGGAGGCATCGCCACGTCGATAACCGACGACCTTCGTGCCGCCCAGTTCTCGTGAGCTTGCTTCCCTCTCCTGCCCCCCTCCCTTACCTAGTTCCCCGACACCCCGCCCCGTGACCTCCAGTCTGCCGCCTGCCACCCTGGCTGGGCATCTTCAACCGCAGCATATTCCCTCATGGAAAAGCTTCCCTCTTCGCCATGCTGACTGCAATACCGTCATGAATAGCCTTGATAATGCCAACAGTACTCCTTCGAACCTGAGCCAGCCGACCTCGGACGCGTCGTCACCCCCCATCAACACCCCGGATCTCAATCCCAGCGCCGCCCCAAATGGCCACCCCGAGGTGTCGCCCATGCTCGATGCCATATCCGCAAGCACCGCCCCCAGCATGATGAATGAGTGGGCGCGTGGTGCCATGGCCGGCTCCCCGGGCAATCTCATTAGTCTGATGGGCGAGTCGCCCCCGACGCAGCCCTCCTCCTACGAGGACTCCGGCCGTCTTCACCAGGGCTGGGGCCAACGCAACTTCATGACCCCGTCGCCGGCGTCTCCTTCCCCTCCGAACCGCCGGCCCCTCAGCTACCACATGGATGCCCCCTTCCCCGCCGAAGAGACGCCCCCGCGTGCGGCAGGTCCCGCTGCAAGGCCGACATCCATGTACTCCCCCTTCCCACACAGCCGACGGGTTTCGCAGCCAGCGCTCCCCCACCAACCCCAGGCGCACTTCTACGGAGCCCCAGATATTGACATGAAGTCGACGTCGCAGACTGGACTCAAGGCCGGCGAGGCTGGTCTCTACTTTGGCTTCGACATCCTGCCTCGATTGGACGACGTCTCTGCTGGCTCAGATGACGTGGTACTGGCTGGACACAATGGTGGCTTGGACGTTTATGCCGTTACCAAGCGAGGACTCGAACCTGCTGCATGTCTCAGAGGTCTGCGTGGTACAGTGCATAGCGCCAAAATCTTGCCTTGGACCTTCGGTCCGAGGCAACAGGACACTATCGGACCTTTGATTGCCGTTACTATACATGGACCCGTGCTTCCGGCCCAGAATACCGGTGATGCAGCAACACAGGATGCATCGGAAAATCTCAGGAGAGATGGCACAGCCAGTCCTGCATCAGTAGCAACCTACCAGGATGGCTTCCACCGGACCGGACCAAGCATCGACTTTTACCAGACCACTGTCGAGGTTTATTCCCTCAAAACATCCAAGGTTATTGATGTGCTTCTCGAGGCGCCGAAAATTGCCATCAATGCGGGCGTGTCTATTGCAAGCACTCTCTTCAAGCCCCCATCGCCAAGTGGCGCTTTCACCATCAAGGCAGACGGAGGATCAGTCCTGATCTGCTCCGGTGTCACGGGCGAGTGCTGGACTTACACCCACCTTCCGGAGCCTCAAAACGGACATGCCTTTGCCTGTATTGGAAAATTCTGGACATGCCTACAGCACAGTCATCGGAGTGAAGTTGTCGAGGAGCCGGGTAAGGCCACGCTGTCGACAACCGAAGTTCGCTTCAATCCCCACACTCCCATTGTCGCTCTCAACGGTCGTTGGATTGCCTACTGCCCTGCAGCACCGTCGTCACAGACCTCTCTTCGTGCCCATCTGCCTGTTCCTATCCTTGGCCGCGGGCCTGGCATCGGGACAATGGCGCCGCCCCATGCACCTCAGTCAAGCCTGTCTGTAGAACTGCCAATCTCCGACAGCATGGTAAACAAGATCATGCGTGAGACGACGCAGGAGCTAATTCAAGGTGCGAAATGGGTGGGCAAGCAGGGACTTCAGGCGTGGAATGCGTATTGGAACAAGGGAAACACAGCACAAACTCCGCAGCAACAGGCGCGGTCACCCCCTCAGCAGCAATGGGCCGCCACGCACGATGCGACGCAGTTTCCGCCCACCCACGGTACAAATGGAAATGCAGCCTCCAAAGATCCTGGGCTGGTATCCATCATGGACACCATGTCGCTACCCCTATCCTCTACTGTTCATCCACTGGCCACATTTGCGCCTCCTGGAGGCTGTAGTGTTCTATCGCTGTCCCCCTCGTCTTTGAGTTTGTTCACCGCCAGCAGCAAGGGTGACGTCCAGACTGTTTGGGATCTGCTAAGAATTCAGCACACGCACTCGAGTCCGCTTCAAGCTTCCGTCTCGCCAAGCGCCAACGTCGGAACGCAAGTGAGGCAGGTGGCGCAATTCTCACGCATGACCGTCGCCCGCATCGTTGACGTGTCCTGGACAGGGCCGCAGGAAGATCACATTGCAATGGTGACTGAACGCGGCACTGTGCATCTTCTGGACATGCCGTTTAGTGCATCCATGTGGCCTCCTCCCCGCCGGCGTAAGATTGCCCCAACGGCAGGGGCCGAGTCGTCAGAGCCCGCTAGCTCTGCAGTGTCAATTGCTTCTGGAGCGATTGGTGCTGCCTATCAAGCTGCGAAACCGTTTGTCGCTCGTTCCCGTCGCAGCAGTAGTAACAGTGCTGTGGTGACGACAAGTACATTTAGGGACACAGCTGCGCAGGGCGGTCGAGTCATCGCCGCGAGCATCAGCAGCTCCTTGGGCAAAACTGGCTCTGCCATCAACCAACTCCGGCATACTGGCGAGAACCGGGTATCTCTACCTCCGATTCTGAGTCTCCCGTCTTCGCAATGTGTTAGATGGCACTCGACTCGCAAGTCACAACACCTCTACGCCCTTGGGGGTGGCATCGTGCGAAAGTACCCTAGCCGAAGTCGGCGCGCCACTTCAAAGCGGAACAAGAGATTGTCCCGCACAAGTCGGTACAAGGACATGAATGTACCCATTCTTCCCCACGATAGGCTTGCGCCTATTGTTCGGCGATTCCTAGAGGGTGACACTTCGGAGGACCACTTGGACTTGTCCGATCTGGAGATGGATGCAGGCAACACGATGACTCTCAACCGCCACACTGCAAAGGCCAAGCGAAGCCAGGGTATGATTTCTGCTATTCCGCAGGCCGAGATAGAGACTAGTGCCCCCTATCAACCCTTTCACTCAGACCGCCGAGTTGCTGTGTTTGAGTACGCCAGAGCTGGACAGGTAGAGCCGTTGGCAAACCTTCTCGCGGAGACCAACCTTGGTGATAATCAGTCGTCATCCAAGAAGAAGAGCCGACAGCAGAAGCCAAGCGCGATTAGTAACGCGGACTCCGGCGTCTGGGCATTCGGCCTCGACATACCCGCGAGTATGTTGAACATGGGCATGCTGGCGTCGGCTGACGATGACTTGAACGGCATCGACGACAGCCAGGCGCTACCACCTTCGGCCATGGAGAGACTTATGCAGATAGGTGACCAGGAGCAGATTGTGGTAACAACAAGACGCCGACGAGGTCGCCACGGCGAGCCGGACGAGGACGGGTTCTTTGAGGACGACTGTGAGGTGCTTGATTTTGCCGATCAAAGGGTCTAGTTGAGGGTTTGAATTCCTTGGTGCGGGGATGTTTGGCGTTTTGACACTTTGGTGCATTTGCTGCACTCGTCTTTGGCCGTGCCACTTCTCTCAGCTCTTTTGTTAGTTTGGTATTGCACAGACGTTATACAAACACCATGCACTAGTTCTGAGATGCTATCCTCGTTGCGTGGATTTTGTTCTTAACTTGTTATTCTTGTCGTTTCTATCCTTGAGATCCGTAAGACCTTCGTTTTTTGTCGCCGACTTTCAATCGGCAACCTCTGCGCCCCCCTCATTAACGAATAGAAGCCATATTAGATACCCCGATAGTACCAATTCACCTTGGCCGCCAAAAGAGTAAAAGCCCCCACGTACTTTGTTCTTGACCCCCCTCAGCTCGTCAGGTGTAGCCCCAGCATTCTCTCTCGCGATCGTAGCAAAGGTACTTGTTCAATCGTTGCGTCGGCTTGTCTCTTTACGCCTTCTTCTTGCTGGCGGCGGCGGCCTTGGCCTTGGCGGCCTTCTTGCGATTGCTGCGAATCATGACCATGCCGAGGAACGAGCCGACGACGGCGGAGCCGAGAAGGATGAGGATGACGGGGATGCGAATGGCCCAGACGCGGGGGAGGAAGAAGTTTTGGAGCGGGTGGTCGTCGTCGACAAAGGGCTGTTTTTTTGCGAGGGGGTGTTAGTCGGCAATGCGCTCTGGCGCAGAACTTCAAGAGGGGAGAGGGAGCGTACCATCAACAGCGTCCAGACGGTATAGTACAGGAACACGACGGTGGCGGCCACGAGCATGGCGAGGCCGACGAGTCTGTCAAACTATTTTCGCCAAGGAGTTAGCCTTGAGTGTTTCTCTTGTCCGCGCAAACAAGAAGTGGTTTGGTTCGATCTTGTCGGCGACAAGAGGATTGCGCAGCGCCGACAAGGGCCGCTGGGGGGGAGGGGGGTAAGAGGGAGGAACAGGTTACGAACCATTGTGGTGGGCAGGAGAGAGGAGCAGGGTAGTGCGACTGCGGTCAGTGATTGTATATAGGTGTATAAGAAACGAGTCTCGTTGAAGGGCAAAAAAATGGGAAAATGAGCGTGGTTGAGAGGAGGGAACCCAGGGGTGGAAGGGTCGAATTGGGTGTCGTCTCGCAGCTTTGGTAGCTCTGGCGGGCTTCTTCACACGTAGCACCAAAAGAATGGTCACCACTTGGTAATTTGGGTCAACGCGAACTTTCAGGAGGCGCGTGCGGGAGCTGTGGCGGTGCAGGGTGCAGGAGGGGAGCCACACGTGGCGCACCCAGACTTACAAGATGCAAAGTATGGAACTTGTTGGTTTACTTTAGCAAGCTATACGAAATGCGCCGCAGAAAGGCACAAGAATTGTACAAGAGAGCTGCTTCTTTGCGTTTAGCGTCGGTTTCTTTGCAGATCTGCTCAGCAAGTCGTCCTCGTTTGAGAGGCGGCGTACATCTTTCAGCGAGACTCCCTATGGAGGCGGCGAGTATTCGGGGATTTCCAGGCATCATGGCATTGTGCCGTCGTCTTCCTATTGGCTTTATTTTAAAGGCATGGTTACTTGATTAAAGTTTGTGCATTTAAACTTCACAGCAATAACCGCAAAGCTTGATATTTCCCAAGCACCAGATGTCTGCCTGTGTCCAGGGCGTCTTGGGCCCGCTTTAATTTACTCTGGCGCGTGCGCTCGACTTTTTCCTTGTCTGCCTGCGTATTTCCAGCCTCGCCTCACAGCTTCCCTCTCTCGACACAGACCAAACACCATCACCACTTAACGGGCCCTGCTGCCTTTTCAACACTTGCGTGCGGCTTCCGACTGCCAGTATACTCACCCGCGCGAAAGAGCACTGAGTTTCAGCAGCCGAAAACACAGCTCCACACGCTCCTCCCGAAGATCCCTCCGCATCTGCGGTTCCCCGACACAGCTCAGAACGTCAGCATGGCGTCGGCCGAGGTGGGAATCCCGCGCCGCGAACGTGATCGTGATCGTGGCGATCGCGGCCCGCGCGGCGGCGGCAACCCTCGTCGCGAGGGCGGCGACTCGTACCGTCCCGGCGGCCACGCGCGCTCGCGCGCTCGCACCCCTCCCCCGGTCCCGACCGAGGAGCAGAAGCAGGCGGCCGCCAAGGCCGAGTACGAGAAGCTCCTGACGATGCGCTCCGGAGGCACGTACATCCCGCCCGCGCGCCTGCGCGCCCTGCAGTCGCAAATCACCGACAAGACCAGCAAGGAGTACCAGCGCATGGCGTGGGAGGCGCTCAAGAAGAGCATAAACGGTCTCATCAACAAGGTCCACACGGCCAACATCAAGCACATCGTCCCCGAGCTCTTTGGCGAGAACCTGATTCGCGGCCGTGGCCTGTTCTGCCGCTCAATAATGAAGGCGCAGGCGGCCAGCTTGCCGTTCACACCCATCTACGCGGCCATGGTCGCCATCGTCAACACCAAGCTCCCTCAGGTGGGCGAGCTCCTCGTCAAGCGCTTGGTAATGCAATTCCGCAAGGGCTTCAAGAGAAACGACAAGTCGGTCTGCTTGGCGTCTACGACATTCCTCGCGCACCTGATCAACCAGCAGGTCCAGCACGAGATGCTTGCCGGCCAGATCCTTCTCCTTTTACTTAACAAGCCCACGGATGACAGCGTCGAAATCTCTGTCGGCTTCTGCCGCGAAGTCGGCCAGTTCCTCGAAGACATGCGGCCCACGATTGCCAACGTCATCTTCGACCAATTTCGCAACATCCTGCACGAGGCCGGCATCGACAAGCGAACACAGTACATGATCGAGGTCCTCTTCCAGGTGCGCAAGGACCGCTACAAGGACAACCCGGCCGTCAAGGAGGAGCTCGACCTCGTCGAGGAGGAAGATCAAATCACGCACCAGGTCGAGCTCGACGGCGAAATCAACGTGCAGGACAGCCTGAACATTTTCAAGTTTGACGAGCAATATGAAGAGAATGAAGAGGCATACAAGAAGCTCAAAGCAGAAATCCTGGGCGAGGCCAGCGACGACGAGGACGACGAGGACGATGGCGATGATGACAGCTCCGATGATGAGGAGGACCAGGAAACCAAGGAAATGGAAATCAAGGATCAGTCCAACGCCGACCTGGTCAACCTGCGACGCACCATCTACCTGACCATCATGTCGAGTGCCGACCCGGAAGAAGCCACGCACAAGCTCATGAAGATCAACCTGCCCGTGGGCCAAGAACCAGAGATGCCCTCCATGATTGTGGAGTGCTGCTCGCAAGAAAAGACGTACACAAAATTCTTCGGCCTGATTGCGGAGCGCTTCGCCAAGATCAACCGCCTCTGGTGCGACCTGTTTGAGCAGTCGTTCCAGAAGTACTACGAGACCATCCACCGCTACGAGAACAACAAGCTGCGCAACATTGCCATGCTGTTCGGCCACATGTTCGGCTCCGACGCCCTGGGCTGGCACTGCCTGTCGGTGATCCACCTCAACGAGGACGAGACGACGTCCAGCAGCCGCATCTTCATCAAGATCCTGTTCCAGAGCATCGTCGAGGAGATTGGCGTGCCCAAGATCAAGTCGCGCATGGCCGACGAGGTGCTGCGCCCCAGCCTCGCGGGCCTCTTCCCCCAGGACAACCCCCGCAACATCCGCTTCTCCATCAACTACTTCACCAGCATCGGCCTCGGCGCCCTCACCGAGGAGATGCGCGAGTTCCTGCAGAACATGCCCAAGCCCGCGCTCCCCGCGCCGGCGGCCGCGGCGCGCGGCGACGACGATTCGGACTCGGACTCGGTGTCGAGCTACTCATCGCGCACCGCGTCCTCGTACTCGCGCTCGCGATCCCGATCCCGCTCGTACAGTCGCTCCCGCAGCCCGCGCCGCATCGGCAACGATCGCGGCCGCTCGCTGTCGCGCACCCCGTCTCGGCGCAGCCGCGGCGAGTCGTACTCTCGCAGCCGCTCCCGCTCCGCTTCGTACAGCAGCCGCGGCCGCACCAGGAGCCGCTCCTTCTCCGACGCCGGTGACCGCAAGAGGCGGACACCCTCCCGGTCGGCAACCCCGCCTCGCCGTGCCCGCCGCGGGGCTCCCTACAGCCGCTCGCGCAGCCGCTCCTACGACTCGTACAGCGACGCCTCGCGCTCTCGGAGCCGCTCCCGCTCGGCCCCGCCTCCTCGCCGCCGCGAGCGCGACGCCAGCTCTCCGCCGCCGCCGCCACGGCGCGGGAACAGCTCGTCGGTCAGCCGCAGCCCTGCCCCCCGCAAGCGCGGTCGTTCACCCTCGCACTCCCGCTCGCCGTCCCGTTCGCGCTCGCCGCCCGCTCGTCGCGTCCGGGCCGAGGATCGCAGCCTGAGCCGCAGCCGGTCACCGCCGCCGCGACGCGGCGGCGACGGTAGGCGACGGTCGTCGAGCCCCGCGGCGGCGAAGCGGCGACGGGCCAACAGCTCCAGCGTTTCCCGGTCGCCGCCACCTGTCAAGCGTGGCCGTCGTGGGAGTTGAGGGGGTCAGGGATGTTAGAAGCGGGGGAAGAGAAAAAGAAAAGAATTATAGCATTTTGGAGGGCCCATACGGGCTTGTTTATCTGTACGCTTGATATCTATCATCAGTTGAGACTTTGGGGCGGGGTGGATATGAGGAGGAAAAGAGAAGACAACGTGTCTTGTGCGATTTTTATGTATCAATAGCGAACTGAACAGGAAAGGGTTACCTACTGAATTTATACATACCAGGGACCTAATCACGGCATGGCACATCTTTGACACATTGCGGGTTTATACAATTGAATAGGTGCTATGTAGGCCTCAGCCCACCAAGATTAGGGGCATTCAAAGCTCCAAGTCATACATATGCGCCATGCTAAGCACAACTGTATACAGGCAATACAGCAAGGGCCCCGTTAGGCCAGCGGCATCATGTCCGGCGGCATACTATCCTCGCCGAGGAACTCGCTCCAGTCCATCTCCGCCAACTGCTCATCGCACCAGCCAAGGAGGTCGAGGCCGCTCCCGTCGCTCACCGACGGCGTCCGCCCGACGACAACGTCCGCGTCGGCGGTGAGCGCCTCGTACATGGCCGCCACGATGTCTGGGGAGCGGTCCGAGGGGCGCATCCACGCCCGCATCTCCGCGAACGCGCCCAGCGCCTTGGCGAGGCTCTCCCGCCACTCGACGAACCGCGGGGGCGTCGCGGTCACTACCGCGGGTGACGACGGCCCGCCACCGCCGCTGCGTTCCATGGCCATGGCGAGCAGCGGGACGGTGGAAGCCTGGAAGAGGTACCAGGCGGCGCTCCAGACGAGGAAACGGTTGGGCGTCCAGCGCAGGGCGACGGCGTCGATGGCGTCGGCGGCGACGGCACAGCAGCGTGCGAGCGTGCGGTCCTCCTCGACGACGATGGGCCGCCGGCGCCGGTCGTGCGCCGTGAGCAGCAGGGCGCACCGGGCAAGGACGACGCGCGCATTGAGGTAGCGCGTGCAGATGAACTCGCGCGCGATCCGCAGCCGCGGGTGGTTCCGCGCCGACGCCGCGTCGTCGTCCCGCAGGACCGGCGGCAGCGCGGTTTCGTGCCAGTCCAGGAGCTCCACGTCGAGGGCGAGAATCTCGTCGTGCGCGATACGCGGCCCGACGCGCGCCAGCCGGTCCTGCACGCGGTCGCAGACGCGGCACAGAAGGGCGCTCGCGCGTAGTGACGCGGCGGCGTGGTCGTCGTCGTGCAGCGGCGCGGGCAGCGCCGTGTCCATGGTCGCCGGGTCCCACCGGCCGAGCGTCGGCCGGCCCTGCGTCATGCACGCCCATGAGTCGAGGCAGACCAGGCTCCACCACGTCCGCCGGTGCGTCTCGGCGCGCCGGGCCTCGTTGGTGCCGGTGCCGGGCCGTGGTTCGCGGTGCAGGCCGAGCGCGACGGCGACGCGGTGCGCTGCGCCCAGGATGCCGTATGCCATGTTGGGCGAGTTGCGGTAGTGCAAGTAGAAGCCGCCGAGCAGGCACAGGGCCTGCAGGCTGTAGATGTTGCCGGAGCCCAGGCTGTCAAGGCTGAAGGATGCCCGCGCCGCCTTGTAGTACTCCTGGTGGAGGCTATCACTGCCGGAGGCGATGCTGCCCAGGGCGAAGACCATGTTCAGCAGGCCGAGCCAGGAGCTATCACGCCGGACACCCATGGCGTACTGCTTGCGAAAGTCATCTTCGTCTATCAGCGGCGTCACAGCGTGGAAATGGTCAAAGTAGAAGTCGATGCAGCGCTGCTCGCGCAACAGACTGAGCGCCGGGTCTCGCGTGAGGAACGGGGTGGCGAGCTGGCTGGGCGGTGGTGCGGCAGCGCAAGCCCTTGCGCGAGCGGCCGTGTATTCTTTGGTTGGCGGATATAGCTTAAATATGGTGCGAAAGGCAGCACTCATGGACGATATGCCGAGATAGGATCTCGCTTGCTTGTCAGTAGCCAGCCCGATGGCGTTGATGTCGTCGGTGGCTACGGCCTCACGCTGGTCGAGTGATTCGTCCCACTGGGGCTCAGGCGCAACGTCTCCATTCTCATTCTCGGAAAGCGCTGCCGAGTCGTCTTCTTCATGAGTGGAAGCGTCTTTGCTTGGTAACGGTATGGGATTTGGCGGCTGGCCCTGTGATGGCTGACAGTGGATCGGAAGACTGGCGATGCCAAGCCTATCTAAAAGCTCCGGACGCGACTTGGTTTCAAGGCCTAATAAGTCGTATCCAGGGAAAATCTTTCCCAGTATCTCCTCGTGTCTCTTGAGCTTGACCTGGACATCCTCATAGGCGCTGCAAGAAGTTGATGCAGTTAGTGGCAATGAGTCCTACCCGGCAGCAACATTTCAACTTACCTCCTGCTGACCGCGTTTCTCCTGGATCGCTGACGGTACTCGCATGCTTCAGAGGCTCTATAATATACGCAGCTACTGCAAGGATAGTGGCCGTCGCATTTGATTTTGCGTCTGGTGCATTCCATGCATGAACGATTGACCCTGCGGCCAAACGTCTGGACTGGAGCTGAGACGGGCGACAACTGCAAGCCCTGCACAGTATCTGCGCTACTCCTTGCCGACGACATTACCCAGAGGAGGCAAAAGTGTCCGGAAAAATGAACCAAGAGATGTCTTCAACTGAGGAGCGAGGCAATTCAACTGCACAGGCAGGGTCCGTCGCTCGCGGTTGCTAGGAACTTGCGACTGTCAGTCAAGCCACAAGCGCCACAGCAATAGGGATGGGATGATAGCCCACGGATTGCTGTGGCTGGACCCGGTATGTGGGGGTTAGAAGCATTGGTGGGACAGTAGCAGAGAGCCACGTTCATGGTCAAATAGAAGGACAAAATCATTCAAGACTTTTGCAACTATGAGACAACGAAATGAGAAACAAGTTGATAGTGCCGGTACCAAGACAGCCAGCTGAGAGGTGTTACGGCATAGTAGCTACTTATGTCACCCACAACTGGCACCGAATGGATCCGTACGCAGAACTCAGAAGCAATGCTATTATTAGGGGAAGCCTCATTTCCACAGATACATATTCCCGCCTTCACAATTATATAATCCCGTGTCTCACACATCCTCGTGGCTCCTCCGTTACCTCCGCTCAACTGGGCACCCCCACACAGCGGGGGCAGGACTGTGGGGGAGCAACAACGTGGAGAAGCCATCAATCAAGTTGGGGTATTTAGTTGCTTAAAGTCTGTATACTCTGCTCATCGCTCTTTTTAGTGTTTCTGCTCATTTTGGGAATTGGCCGCTCTCGTCCTTATAACTCGTCCAACCATGTCTCTTGTAAAACAGCAATTAGCCCATGGATGGACCTTTCAGCAGCAAGGCTGGGCCAGTGATAACTGGCTACCTGTGGCTCAGGTCCCAAGTCAGGTACATATCGACTTGCTGGCAAACAAAAAGTAGGACTTCAAGACTTCAATCAGGTACCTTGATCGTTAAGAAAGCTAATTTAAAATTTCTCAGAATCCCTGACCCGTTTGTCGACTTCAACGAGAGAGCTGTACAGTGGGTTGGCGAAAAGACATGGATCTACCGCCTCGAGTTTGTCGCCCCCGTCGCCCCCGATGCCTCGATGACTTCGGATCTTGTTTTCGATGGTCTCGACACCTTTTCTACGGTCCATCTCAACGGGAACAAAATCCTCGAAACTGAAAACATGTTTGTCTCCTACAGGGTCAACGTCTCACAATATGTCAAGCCTGGAGAGAACAACTGTCTTGAGATTGTCTTTGACTCGGCTCTGCTTCGCGGTCGCGAGCTCATCGAGAAGCATAGCCACGAACACAACTTTCTCGTTCGTCAGACAGAGGCGGGCCGAGTTCCCGTTCGCAAAGCACAGTATCACTGGGGTTGGGACTGGGGCCCTATCCTCATGACCGCCGGGCCGTGGAAGCCCGTATTCTTTGAACAGTACATTGTCAGAATCTCTGACATATGGGCACAAAACACTGTCAGCAATGATCTGAAGGCTTGTACCGGAACGATCTTTGCCAAGGTAGATGGCGCCGTCTCCGCCGACACAAAAGTTAAATTCTCTTTGGAACTCGACGATACTGTCGTCTTCCAAGGCGACGCGCAGGTTGAAGATGGCACTGCGAAGCTGCCCTTTACAATGGAGAACCCTCATCTTTGGTACCCTCTAAACTACGGACCACAGACCAGGTACAAACTTACAGCCCGCGTCGTTGGTACGGGCGGTAAGGAGTTGGACGCCGTTTCACGACTCACCGGCTTCCGGAAGACGGCTCTTATTCAAGAACCTGACGCATATGGAAAGTCATTCTATTTCCGCATCAACAACATCGACGTCTTTGCCGGCGGGTCTTGCTGGATCCCCGCAGACAGCTTCCTCGCCCAAGTCCCGGCCCAGCGCTACCACGACTGGGTCAAGCTCATGGCCGACGGCAACCAGGTCATGGTCCGCGTCTGGGGCGGCGGCGTTTACGAGGACGATGCCTTTCTGGACGCCTGCGATGAGCTCGGCGTCCTGGTCTGGCACGACTTTCAGTTCGCGTGCGCCAGCTACCCGGCGTACGACTCCTTTCTCCAAAACTTTGAGCTCGAGGCCCGGCAGCAGGTGCAGAGGATGCGATGGCGACCGGCCGTCATCATCTGGGCCGGGAACAACGAGGACTACCAAGTCCAGGAACGGTACAAGCTCGACTATGATTTTGAGAACAAGGACCCCGAGGCTTGGCGCAAGTCGACGTTCCCCGCACGGTACGTCTACGAGCACTTGCTGCCCAAGATTATGTCTGAGGAGGACCCTCACAACATCTATCACCCGAGCAGCCCTTGGGGCGATGGAAAGCCAACTGCGGACCCGACCGTCGGCGATATCCATCAATGGAACTGTGAGTGCCACTTACTACTACCTGCCCTGCGCACACACGCTTCTTCAGTCGAACTTACACGCCCATCTCTCCAGTGTGGCACGGTGCCATGAACAAGTACCAGGAAGCCGACCAGCTCGGCGGCCGCTTCGTCAGCGAGTTCGGCATGGAAGCCTACCCTCACCTGTCCACCACGCGCCTCATGGCCAGCCAGCCCTCCCAACTCCACCCCGGCTCCATGGTCCTCGACTTCCACAACAAGGGCATCGGCCACGAGCGGCGCATGATGACCTACGTCGCCGAGAACTTCCGCGTGCGCCGCGCCGACGACCTCGCCGCGTACACGCACCTGACCCAGGTCGTGCAGGCCGAGACGATGCGCGCCGCGTACAAGGCGTGGCGCCGGGACTGGGGGGCAGGCGACGGGCGGGGCAGGCGCTGCGGCGGGGTGCTCGTGTGGCAGCTCAACGACTGCTGGCCGACGGTGTCGTGGGCGGTCGCGGACTACCGGCTGGTGCGGAAGCCGGCGTGGTACGCGGTGGCGCGCGCGCTGCGGCCGGTGGACGTCGGCGTCGCGCGGACCTACCACGACTGGACGCAGACCGGGTACGACATCGACGCCAACTCGGCGCTGCGGACGGGCCGCGACGTGCGGCCGGCGACGACGCGGCGCGGGGTGAGGCTGCGCGCCAACGGCACGACGGAGATTGTCGTGGACGAGCCGCTGGCGGCGTCGATCCCCGAGGGCAGCGCCGAGGACGAGGCGCGGCCGTTTGACACGGAAGAGTACGACCCGTACGTGGTGCACGCCCGGCTGATGCTGGACGACGGCGCGGTGGTCACGGACACGGCATGGCCGGACCCGGTCAAGTTCCTGGACATGGCGGACCGCGGCGTCTCGTTCGAGGTCGCGGACGCGGAGGGCCGCGTGACGGTGGCGGCGCGGAGGCCCGTCAAGGGGTTCGTCTTCGAGGAGGTCGAGGGGTTGAAGCTGAGCGACAACGGCTTCGACCTGCTGCCGGGCGAGGAGCAGGTGGTCACGGTGGCCGGGCCGCTGAAGCCGAGCGAGCTGCGGTGGACGCACATCGAGGCCAGCGGGCCGTCACTGCCAATTGAATAGGTGGTTTGTACAAGTATGATTGCTGGGCTCAACAAAGAAGAAGAAGTTTTAGAAGTTATTTCATAGAAACAAGAAGCAGGTTATCAGCCTTGTTTCTATGGCTGCTCCAGGCTGTCACCACAATGATGTCGATGTCTGATAGAATACATGTGTCATCCAGTCACTGTATATCTGGTTATGGATGAAGCTCGTCAATACGTGTAATCGAAGCAGTCGCAACAATGTGCATGATCAAGGCAATGCCGCCCTTGGCTCATACTTGTAAAAGACCGTCCATCTTTTGCACTCAAGCCAGAATACAACCACGGCCTCAAACGCCTCGCCTTCAGCTCCGAAGCACCATGGTGATACCATCTACCGTGCGACGGACTTCAATGCGCAGCAGCCACGTACGCAGTTGACTGGCCACCCCATCCTACGGCAAGTTCCAGCAGCTTCACGCCACCAAGATCAACAGCAATCCATTCGAGAGAAGGGCGGCACAGAGTGCGGTCACTCGCACTGGATACGGATCTGTGCGACGTTTCGACAGCAGGAGGACCCAAGCGGTCGGGACGGTCGTTTCATCGCCCTCGTCTCGCGATCGCTTGGCACCGGAGACAGAGCCCAACTTTTGGTTTTGCCACCACGCCCTCCGATACGATGTCCTCGTTGGACATGACCGCGCTCCGTTTTCGGGACTCGATCGACCGAAGCCGTTTTATGCCATTCTGAGATGCCACGCTGGTTTCTGCCGAGGTCATCATCAGACAAAAAAAAAAAAAAAAAAAAAAACCCCCGACATCGTCGCCTTATCTAACGGCCCCGAGAAGAAGTCGAAAACGCCATGGCTTCATGTGTGTGAGTTGTCGCAACCGGCGGCTGGGGGAGCCTTGTCTCAGACAACAACCCATAGTCGTGTCGCAAGCGGCCGTTTGAGCCGGGTTATCGACAGCCCAAGCCCAGCTTGCACCGAGGTTGCATCTGCCAAAGAAAGAAGACGAATCACCTTTGACCACGGCCCGTCTGCCAATGGGAAATACATATTTAAAAAAAAAAATCGTAACCCGGGATTCCTTGTTCCGTTGCACCGTCGGCTGCTCATGGTAAGAAGCGACGTCGATCTAAATACGGCGTTTGCTCTGTGGCTAATTAATAATAGTGGCCAATGGTGGCTAAATCCTCAAGAGGCTAAGTTTGGTTGGTGGTGTCGCAAGCAGTCTCGTCTCACCAAAAAGACAGCACAACAACAACACCACAACAAAGCCACCGCCATAAACCAAGTGCCACCAAACCTGTCACCGTCTTGTCTGTCTGTCTTGTCTCAGGCACAACAATGTGCCACCACAAGATCGGCAAAAGGCGAAACCCTATTCTACTGGAAGCGCGGCCAACGCGGCTCAAGGTTGTCAACCAGACCGCGCACCATACATAGCGTACATAGGTAGCATCATGGCCCGGATTTGATGACGTGAAAGAATGAGGCATCACTGCACCCATCTACACATGACCCCCGTGTTGCGAGAAACAGCTCGTTTGCCGACCCCAGCTTTCCACGTACTCCGTGCAGAAAGACCACCTTTTTTTTTCTCCTCTTTGTGGCGCGCTACCCTGCTTGCCTGCCTGGGTCCCAATTTGTGGCTCTTGGAGATCACCACACCAGCTTTGTTTATTCAGGTAGCGACGGCTAATAACGGAGTTGAGGGCTCCTCCTCTTGTTACGCGGCCTTGTTACACAGCCAAAACCTAACCATGGTCCGAAAATGACCTTGGACGGGCGGCCAACAGGAGTTGCCCATCGCCCTGGAGACTCCAAAAAAAAAAAAAAGAACCCGACGCCAGGTTATTTGTGTGGAGAAGGAACACGGGCATGTCTTACATCTAGAACCAGACCCGGCAGTACCGGGGACGAGTCGAACCTGGTCAAGGTCTCGATATTATTAGGATGGGCCCAGGGGAGTATCCCCTTGCTCTCGAACTGGCAGGAAACGAGTCCAACAAACGCAGAGCAAACACTGCATACCGGTCAGTATGTCAGTATATCTTGAGCTGCCTTTCCCGAGCTGAACTGGCCAAGTTGGTTTCAAATCTGTGGAGGAAGGGTCTGGCAGGGGGTTGACGAGATTAAATCATCTGATATTACTTCCTGCCTATCCTGATCATGCTCAGCGTTTTGTGAAGCGAAGTTGCAGGGTCCCCTTTTTTTGCAATGTCGCAATGCCAACTGATATCTGATACGAACTCACAGCCAAGACAGGGTCCCTCGTCAGGAGGTGACCGTCACTCTACCAGTGTTCGTATGGTAGAGCGGCGAACAAGCTCTGCCGTAGCGTAGCCCAGGGGATACAGGTCGGACAACACATTCATATACGTCAATGGTCAATTACAGTCAATACCTGTGTAATCGACATGGTGCATCAATCATGTGAAGGCCTGTTGTGTCGTCGACCTCTCCTATTATGCCGAAAGGGGTGCTGCTGGGCCTAGTCCAGGGCGGACTAAAAAACAGCACTACCAAAAAAGTCAAATTATTAGTTATTTCCACGCATTCGTTGAGAAACGAAACAAAAGGGGAGCTGATGCGGTATATCTTTGCCTCAACCAAAGGGGCAAAAAGTTTAATAAACTGGGCAAGAAGGTGCTATGATGCGTGGGTTCGGGAATTTTAACTTGGCGGTACGACGGGTTTACAAGATGCACTTTCCGAAGAGGGTATGAGATGCAGAAAGTTTGGTGACATTAGAACAAGGGGAAGAGCAAGAAAAGAGAGATCAATGCCTGCATAACATTGGGGATGCTTGCATGCAGACGTTTCAAGTTGATGACCTTTGCCACGGCAGGCAGGAAAAATTGGCAGCGATCCCTCTGGCCGGCCGGTGCATGAGCGGGCTTAATAAGTATAAGACGTCGCGTGCATCATGCATCATGTGCAAACCCTATCTGCCCAGCGCATGCCCGCCCCATCCCGACAGAAGGCGACAGCTGGTACGGATACTCGCTCTCCCAAAGCAGCTGAAAGGCATTGCGCAAAGCAACCACTGTGAAACCAACGGCGCTGGCCGACTCGCCGCTTGTCAAATGGCATCCCGGGTGGAGGCCAATCAGCTTTGTTGGGTTTCATTAGTTATTAGCGGGCATCATGGCTTTTGAGGCGAGCGTGCCCAGTACGAACAAGTTGTGGTTCGCCCTCCAACGCGGCCGGCCGCAAGTCCGTCGCCGAAACCGAATGCGGCCTCGGACACGCCTCGTTCTGCAACGGCGCCTTCAGCTCCTCAGCAGGCAACTCTGATACGAACATGTCTGCGCCTTGTACTTCACCTGTGCCAAAGGCATGCCTGCTGCGGTGAACCGGTTGTGATGCCTGGCAGGCTGTGGGTTCATGCAGGCTGGACAAGATCATCATCGCATGTCCGGAGCCGGGCTTGGGCCGTGAGACGATGCACGACAGTGGTGCTATCGTGCAACCAGACGGAATGAGAGCGTTTGGGAAGTAGCCTGGGTGAGCTGTTCCTGTGGAATAAGGACGCTGTGAGTGCCTGGACGCCATCATTCCAGCTGGGCCGCGACCAGTCTCAGAACGGCCGCAAGGGCGCGCGGGTTGCCGGGAGTTTACTGGTAGCGTCGTCGAGGTAATAACACGAGAGAGATGAATAATTTCCTCATGACTCTGCATCTGTGCAATTGGCATTTTCTACGCCCAAAAAGTCAAATCGGGACCCTATGGTAAGCTTAAGGGCGTAATTTGGCTGTCGTTATGCAGGGCAGCAACAATTATTAGGGGAGCCACTCTAGCAAGTCAGGGGAAGATAATAAAAGAGGCATGCTACCATACGTGATATAGGGTCGAAAAGAACGCAAGGGAAGGGACGAGAAACCTACTTATTGGCTATTGTCCATCCTAACTTGAAATGGTTGTCTGTGCTTTGATGATTCGAGGTCGGCTTGAGTGTAGCCAGAAGTAACCGCACATGGCCGGTTGTCCGTTGTATCCGACACGCTGGATACGTTGCCTGTTGTAGAACGGATGAGCCAAGAAAAGAAAGTTGGCGAGGCGTTGCTTTTCGTCCATATCCCCGGGCTCCTGATGTGCCCCAGCTGGCTCGCATTCGATCAGCCTCGATCACCGTAGTTCCACATGGAGTTCCAACAGGCTCGCGTCCCAAGTCTGGCGGTGCTACCAGCAACTACTTGGTAACAACTAAGTTGGTGGTGAGGCTAGCTCGGAAGGTCTGGCATCCAGGTTGTGCAAGCAACTTCCTGGGCTTCCTGGGTGACACTACAGCCTGGCTGCCAGTACTTTTAACTTCCAAAGACGGACTGACGAGAAAACGCGGATGGGGACAATGGCGTCTTCGAGCGGGAAAACGCATACCGAGGCTTGCTTCCCTGCGTCAGATGTCGATCTGGCCAGCGACTGCACAACTGTGAAACTCTATAGCGCCATGTAGCCGTGCTGCTGGGCGAAGCTCAAGCTCCTGCAGGTTGCCGTTGGTGCGGATGTTTTATCCACCACCTGCCTGGTGGTATTATTGCTCGCAGGTTAATAGCAGGCAATGAATGGATGAAATTCATGGTCTTGGTGGCTCCCAGTCGGTCCCCTCACCTCCCCTGGCTAGCGCGGGACGGCTTGGATGGCAGGCTCTCCAGCAGGTAGTCTGAGGCCAATCAGTCGCGGAAAGAGGCTGCGCCATTGACGAGACCCGCCAGAGGGACGAGCCCATGCATGCAAGAAGTGCATGAAATGTCTGGGCAGGCCAATGGGATGGTGTTGAGAGGGTGGATCGCTGATGGGCAGAGGGAGTGTCACCGTACGAGCAACCAGTGGCAAGAAGATGAGGATGGTGTGTCTGTGCAAGGAACAGATAGAACGACGGTTATCCTGCAGCGGCCAAGCTGATATTTTGCGTCGCGGTGAGTGATGGCATTCGTAGATGGCATGCGCGTGATGGGTAGTCTATGTGTGATTGTCTAGAGGGGTATGGTGGTCTAGATCGGCGGCGGTCGGCGTGGGAGTTGTTGGTATGAGGATGATGGGTAGACGCAGTTCTCTGGTGTCTGGGTAGGGTCTCACCCAGGCGTAAATGTGGCTTTGTGGGATATGTATGTCGATGGAGACTGCATCAACCAGAGAAGCAAACACGCGCTGCACGTGATGGTTGTATTGATGGTTAGGTGGGTTGGGCCCGCGACAGAAGGTAGATAGGACGGATGAGATCGGAAGAGAGAGCATCATGCTTGATGGAGGAGGCTTTGTCGAGTACGCATTTGGTGGGTTACTCGTGCAGATGTGTGTATCGCAGCTCGTGAAGCTTGGTGATGCACCAACGAATGAACTGCGCCTACCTAGGGTAGTAAATCCGGCGGAGGGGTAGCCTTCGTGCTAGCACAAGTTGGCTGCGCCGACGCCAGGCTACTGCAGGCTGCATGCAGCAGGTAATCACTGACCTGCCAGCGTCCATCCCCAGTTGCGAGGGCTTGTGGCAGCGCCCGACGAGCCATCCAGCCGTACCAAGCCATCAAGCCGGACCAGTTCATGCGGGAGATTTTGCCACTCAGCACGAAAGTATCGCGCACAAATTTTTTTTTTAGCAATTTTCCCGGGTTTCCGTTCTAGGGGTCTTTCTAAATTGTTTTCGATCAAAATATATCCGTGGACGCGGGTCGACATTTCAATGCTTTCCGTGATTCACCCTGATGACCACAGCGGACCAATGGGCGCACCAAGCAAGCACAAGGCAGGCTGTGACGCAAGGCCTTCTCCACGCGCAGAATTGACGAGGCCAGCAATACCCTGCAAAAAAAAAAACGAGGGAGCTCATTCTCACCAGCTTGGCCGCAAAACCTCGTATTTCTGACCCCCCTCAGCCCCTCCAGCCCCGATAGCAGAGTAGCCTTGGCTGGTTTGCCAGTGGTCAGAATGGCGCGAGCGTCCTGGTCGTGGCCCGCTCAAGCCGTTCGCTGTGGCTACGTCAATCTGCGAATCTAGTCCACTCACGGCCCTTGTTGCAGGCGCGTTGGCAGGCGTCGTTGGAGGGTTGAGCCGTCCTTTTGTTAGTGCAGTTATAGCGCTGTTAGTACAACAACAGCGCCAGCAACAGCCCGTTCTTCTTCATCGTCCGTCGTCATTCTTTGTATCCGTTGTGGCTACACAGCGCTCACAGTGCTTCCTTGCAACCGCCTGTCCCGCGGCGTCATCCTTTTTACTTGGCAAGGTATTGCAGGGAGCTCGCGTTTAATTCGTAAATTCTGTCAATGTGTATGTATGCCTCTTCTATTTTGATCGTCCACCACTTCTCTACCCCCAACCCGGCGCTGCACGCACTGCTTCTCCTGTGTCTTGCTCCGGTGCTGGTGCTGGTGCGTGCTTCTGCTAGTGCAATATGGTGTTGTTGCTCGTTGCTGACTGCTTGCGTGCCTGCTCTATCCCGCAGCTCCTCCCGGGGCGGGCTCTCTCATCACTCTTTTTTTTTCTGCCCACCAATTTTCTTCCTCACCTCTCACCTCACACGCCTGGCCTACTCGCTCCTCTCTCCTCCTTTGTCCCCCCAAAAACTCTCCACCACCACCAACCATACCTGGACACCTCCCGTCTTGATCCTTTCGTTCTCTTCCCTTTCCCTCCCCTCTTCTTTCTTCTGTTTCTAATCACCTCTATTTCGACGCTGGATCTTTTTGTTTCTCTTTCCTTTTCATCCGTTTCCTTCGTCTTTTCGCCTCTCTGCCCCTGTTCCTGACGACTTTTCCCCCTGCTGCGGAGGACTCCTGCCTGTCAGCCAGCCTGATAGCCCTCTGCCCCTGATTCCAGTCAACCCCGTCAACCCCGAGCCCTCAGCCGACTTCGTCCTCGTGTCTCTTTTTTCGTCCTTCGCCATCATTTCCATCCCTTCAGCCACTTTCGTACCCTGCTCATCGTTGTTATCGAAATTATTTGCATTACCTCACCCTGCACATTTCGACTCATCGTTTTCGACACTCGCCTATCTCCTCGCCCGTTACTGACGTACGTGCACCGAACCAACGAATTCCCTGGCCTCGACTTCTCTTGCCAATAGACACATCACCGTTTTTACGAGACACGTAATACATCGGAGTCTTTATACTGTCCATTCAAGCCTCACGGCGGCTTGTCTGACATCCATATCTGATCCCATTAGCTTGGTGATCTGACACTCTCTGCTCCTTTGGATTTCTAGAGCCTCTTTTTATCCTTTGCCTCAGTTGCCAGTAGGAACGAGTTCGCATTGCAACGCTGCGAGCTCTGATATCCGATCATAGCAATTCCTTATACTTGCAGCTGCTGGACTCCTCTCGCTCGCTTGTATATTGCCTGCTTGATTCTCCCTTGACCAAACCTCAACCCTTGGCCAAGCAACTTGTCCTGCCTGCTCCTGCACAAGCCCATTAAAGGTTCGCTTTTCTGTTTTCACTACTACTGCATTCGTGTTACACCCACTCGTTTTATCCTGTCGTTTCTAGTTCAGCACAGCAACCTCGAATACTTAAAGAGAGAGCCACTGCTAACATCTTGTCAGCTAGTTCGAACGACTCGCAGTCTCAAGCCGTCGTCGTGGTTCTTTCTAATCTACATCGGCTACGAGTCGAATTGCACGCCTGCGACCCAACATATACACTGCTCTCGGAGAAAGTATGGCTGCTATCACTCAGACATATCCTCAGCAAACCTCGACAGCCACTATGCTGCAGACGCGTCCTGTCTCTGCCACCGCGATGCTACCTGCCAATCAGAACCGTCAGGGCAACCAGTACGGGCACACGTCCCGAGCGTCATCGTATGGTAACGCCCCTACTGGTTACCGAGGAAGCACTGGCGCCGGCCAACCTCGAAGCTTTAATCAGCTCAACCACAACATGCAATGGCAACAGTATGCCGCCTACCGTGCCCACTCAGCATCCGCGGTTCCCACCACACATTCATACGACTCAACTGGCTACCGAGGTCATTCCAGCACCGGCTCAGGCTACAACTTCAATCTCACAGCGCCCAACGTCACGCGAGACGATTCTGCCATAGCACGAAACCTTTCTGCCCAACAGTCACCATATTATAATGCTACGGCCAACGGCAAGAACGCCCCGGACAGGTACCGCAGAGCAACTCCCCAGCCGCTTCAGCACAACCGCTCCCAGAGCACCAACCTGCCTGCTGCCACTAGCATGTACCAGCTACAAAACGGTTCATTGTCGGTGCCTAACTTGTCCAACGGCATGAACGGTGCCGCTCCGCATTCCGCGGGAGAGCTGTATAACCGCGCTGCTCAGGATGAGGCCACCAGAATGCGTCGACGGAGCATCCACACTTTGGACACGCAGGGACCTCTGCCCCCTGTCGTACGACCATCATCCGCTGGTCGACCGTCTTCGGCGGGGCGACGTACAGACCAAAGCGGCAATCCTACTTCGCTCGCACCTGCTGCTGTCGCGCACACGCGCAAAGGAAGCTCCGACAGTGTCTCCTCCATCCGAAGCAGCAGCTCACGACCGTCCTCGGTAAGTCACTCTCATTTTCCAGACATCAGTCGGCCCTGGTCCGATTTTCCTTGGCACGACTACGCTACAACTTATTGGCTAACAAGGATGTCATGCAGGCTAACCGCACCACGCCTCCCCCCACTGGCAACCCCTCTTTCCCTGTAGACAATATCACCAAGACTGAGCAGGCTAAGCAGCTCAACGTTCCTCCCCGCGTAGCCTCTGGCGACGCCGTCAAGCGCACACACAGCCCCTCACCGTTGTCCAACCCCGCTACAATGCCTACTGAGCCCGCCGAGCCTCATGCAGCTACCGCGTCTGGCCCCGCCGGCCCTAAGGTCGAGAGTCCGGCTGCAAAGCATCTGGCGGCTATCAACCAAAAGGGCACCAAGTCTAAGAGCAAGACATCGAGACTTCGTCGCGCGTTTTCCTTTGGCAGTGCCGCCGAGCTTCGCCGGGTTGCCGAAGATGAGCCCTATGTTACCCCGACATCGCCAACAAAGCTTCACAAGGATCCCTCTCCTGAGCAGGCCTACGATGCGGAGCAGGCTCGCATTGCAGAAGCCCAGGAGGCTGGTGGACTTGGAAACAGCATCTACGGCTCGCGTTTCTTCGGGTCTACTGACAACTTGTCCATCTCCTCGACTGCCTCGTCGGCTTCCATCATGATCCGCAAGATGGGCCGTGGCATGAAAAAGAGCACTCGTTCCCTCGTCGGCCTGTTTCGTCCCAAGTCTGTTGTCGGTGTTCCAGCCGCTGAGGCAGCCGTACCTGAGATCAGCCAAGCAGCCGTATCCATGATTACTGTGGAGGCGGAGACGCAGCGTGTCAATGTTACGGCGGATCCTGCTGCCACCAATGGCATCACTGGATTCCCTCATCTGGAACGAAACTCGATTGACGCTGCCCATGTTCCGGAGATGGCGCCCGAGCAAGTGACAGGCACCGGCAATGATCAGCAGCAAGGACCAAGACGCAGCATTGTTGGTGGCGATAGGGAGCGTGCTGAAGTGTTGGCTGCCGTGCGTAAGGGCATTCTCAAGCGACCTGGCTCTTCCAGCCCATCGACCAGACCCAATGAGATGGCGTCGCCGGAACTCATCCTGCCGAGTGTGCCTGCTATCAGTGACTCGCCGAATTCTAGTGCACCGAGCACGCCCAATGATGAGCTCCAGGGTCATAGAAGGACTGGGTCTATTGCCCTTGGCAACGAGGACTACTTCATGAACGCCCTGCGCATGCGTTCGGATAGCAAGAGTGCTCCTGGGACCCCGTCTGCGGGGAAACGATGTGCCACATTTTCCCCTCGCATCATCTTCCACGACACTTGGCCTCCACAGGAGTACGACCGTCGCGGCGAGATTGCTACGTGCAACCGTCTCACGCCCATGTTGGCTCAACAAATCAAGGAGGAACTGAATAACTTCAAAATGGTGAGTACTGTACTTTGAACGCTGGGGTGAGCAGAGGGACTATGCTAACCAACCATGGCTATAGGAGATGGAAGTGCACGAAAACTCCAAAATTTACACTCATTTCTTCTAATGACGGCGACTGTGACATTTTGTTGTGCAGTTGGCTGGAAACTTGGATGGTTTGACGAAGGCATGGCAACATGCGGAGTCACATTGTATTCAATCATGTTTTAACATTGGCGGCGTTTGGGAACTGCATATTTGGTGTCTATGGTGTCTTGCTTTTGACCTTCATTTATCCTTAGTATTTTATTTGTCGTTTTATGCGTGGAATTTGTCATATGGAATTTAGCGCAGCAATCATACAAGCGTGTAATCTGTTGAGCGGCGGAAGAGAAGGGAAGTTGGCTCGCGGTTTGTTGGCATGGTCTCTCTGCGAAGAGAGTCGAGTGAGTGAGTGGACAGCTTTCTGGCAGTACCGCACAAGCTCTATGAGTGAAGACACTGGCAGATGTGCCTGGCGTCTTGCGTTTAGTCTGATTAGAGTGATGGAATTGACATTGTGCATTTTTAACATGGGACACGTTGATATGATGCCAGACGCTGGTGACATGCCATTTTAACGTGCCAACGAAGAAGTGGGTACAGCGGGTAACGACAAGTGCCCCCACAATCATTTTTATTTTTGGAATTTCTCCTGGAAATTCTTTTCTTTTTTCGTCATACCCTTTTCCCCCGACAACCCCACGCCACCTCCCCCGGATAATTCTTGCGACAATAGCCGAGCTGATAGATAGTCTTGATGCTTGGCTTCGCGCATGGAAGAAGACTGTCTTGCTGGCGACCCTTGATCACCAACTCCCAGTTGCGACACCTCGCCGCCATGGCTGCGGCGCCCGAGACACCGCAGCCCGTGGCCGCTCCAGCTGGAGATGCGACGGCCGCTGCTACCACGACTACAAAAACGACAAAACTACATGGAAGGGCATTCTATGAAAGCATAGGCAGTCCCAAGTTTATCGTTGCCCCCATGGTGAATCAGTCCGAATTTGTGAGTGCTCCCACCAGAACCCGTGCCTTTCAAACGCGGCTGACTGACTTGACGCGAATCTACCCACCAGGCCTGGCGCATGCTTTCCCGATCCTTCCTCTCGGCCGAAGAAAAATCCAAAATGCTCGCCTACACGCCCATGTTTCACGCCCGCCTCTTCTCGCAGGACCCCAAGTACCTCAAGGCGCACTTCCAGGCCACCCGCGGCAGCGGCAGCGACAGCGGGCCCTGGCTCGACGGCAACCCGACGCACGACCGGCCGCTCTTTGTGCAGTTTTGCGCCAACGACCCGGCGCACCTCCTGGCGGCCGCGCAACAGGTCGCGCCGTACTGCGACGCCGTGGACCTGAACCTGGGGTGCCCGCAGGGCATCGCGCGCAAGGGCCACTACGGCGCGTTCTTGCAGGAGGACCAGGACCTCATCTTCCGGCTCGTCCACCGGCTGCACACGGAGCTGTCGATCCCCGTGACGGCCAAGATCCGGATCCTGGACACGCGGGAGCGGACGCTGGCGTACGCGCGCAACGTGCTGGCGGCGGGGGCGTCGATCCTGACGGTGCACGGGCGGCGGCGCGAGCAAAAGGGCCACCTGACGGGCGTCGCGGACTGGGCGACGCTGCGCTTCCTACGCGACAGCCTGCCGCCGGAGACGGTGCTGTTCGCTAACGGCAACGTGCTGCAGCACGGCGACGTCGAGGCGTGTCTGGCGGCGACTGGCTTCGACGGCGTCATGAGCGCCGAGGGCAACCTGAGCGACCCGGGCGTGTTCGCGCGGCCGCCGCCGGCGGGCGAGGAGGGCCGCGAGTACTGGCGCGGTAAGGGTGGTGAGGGCGGCTGGCGCGTCGACGCGGTCATGCGCAGATACCTGGACATCATACACCGGTACGCGCTGGACGCGGAGCCGCCGGCGCGGCGCCCGCTGTTCGTTCCCGGCGACGACACGGCCTGGCTCGCGGCGGACGACGACGCGGAGGCGGGTGAGCGTGAGGCGAAGCGCCGCAAGACAGAGGGCAACGGCAACGGCAACGGCGCATCACCGCAGGCGAAGAAGAGCGAGGCGTCGTCGCCCAACGTCGCGGCGATGCAGCCGCACCTGTTCCACCTGCTGCGGCACCTGGTGAGCCGGCACACGGACGTGCGGGACATGCTGGCCGGCGCGCGGCGCGCGGGCGCGGCGGGCTTCGAGCGGGTGCTCGACGCGGTGGAGCGGCGCGTGGCCGAGGGCTTGCTCGAGTACGAGCGCACGGCCGGCCGGAGCTTCGAGGAGGAGCTGGCGGAGCTGGCGGCCCGGCCACGCGCGACGACGACGACGACGACGACGACGGAAGAGACCGGTGATGGTGGTGGTGGTGGTGGTGGGGAGAGCTCGATGGAGGCGCTGCTGCGGTGTCGCAGGCCGTGGTGGGTGGCGCAGCCGATCGTGAGGCCGCTGCCGAGCGAGGCGCTGGCAAAGGGGTCGATTCAGCTGAGTAAGAAGGAGCGGAAGGAGCAGGAGAAGAAGAAGAAGAAGAAGACGGGGGAGGGCGAGGAGGTGAAGGAGACGGCGAAAGAGGCGGCGAAGGTGGAGGCGAAAGAATTGAAGGAGGCGAAGGAGGAGGTCAAAGAGGCCGTTGCAACGTGAATGCCGAAGAAAACGGCCACCTTGACGAGAGAGCATAAATAGAGCTTTATATACCATAGAGATACTCAACGCAGATACATTGCATCACCATTTTGCTTTATAGCACGTGGAAGTCCCATTTTCATCGGGTTTCGGCAAGCCACCGTCGTCACTATACCCTCGACTGTTGGAATGCCATCATCTATTTGGACGCATGAAGCCCGAGGTGGACATGACCCGCAAACATTCACAAAGACAAGCAGAATGGGGTTGGCAAGAAGTAGGCACAATAGAGCTGGTTTCAATTGGACTAGAGTGCCACTGCCTCTAACACATGATAGAGAGCCATGGATTTCTCTCAATAACATCAATCACAGCTTGTTGGGACTCAAAACCGTGACGTCCTGAAAGGGAATGTCGAGGAACGCGTAGATGTGGTTGAAGCTTATCTGCAGTCAGCAGAATGTTCACCAGTCTGGCCAAGAAGCAGACAAAAAGAATCGTCAGGACTTACCGATCGCTGCCGAAGAACGGCTCCTCCTCGCCCTTTGCGTTGGTCACCCAGATCCACGGCGCACCGAACGCGCCCTTGCTCAGCGCCACGTCCGTCTCCTGCTTGACGCTATCCTTGAACGCCGCGCGACCCTCCATGATGGCCTCCACCTGCTCCGTCGTAAACAGCTTCCGCCCGCCCTTGACGGACTCGGTGGCCTCGCCGAGCACCTCCCGGAGCACCTCGGGGTCGGCGATGCGGCGGTTGGGCGGGGTCCAGGCGCGGTCGATGAGGAAGTGGAAGGCGGCGAGGAAGACGGCGGGCGGGTGGTGCGCCTTGACGTAGTGGATGGCGCGCAGCGGCTGGACGGTCATGCCGAAGGACATGAGGTCGTCGGGGGTGCGCAGGTGGCCGAGGCCGACGCGGCGCAGGGCGCGCGGGGTGTCGAGGGCGAGGTAGGAGGCCTTGGCGGGGAGGGACCAGGGCGGCTTGTTGCCTGGGGTATGGTCAGTAGGGTGGGAGATGTCAAGCAGGAAAGGGGGGAAAGGGGAGATGGTACCGGAGGCGACGTTGATGCCGCCGAGGAAGATGGGATGGTATCTGGAAAGATGGAGAGGTTAGCTTTGGACGAGGCCGCAAGAGGGCGGGAGGGGGGGGGGGCTTGCTCTATCGTGACGCCATTGGCAGCGAGCTTCTGCCTGTTGGCTTCCAAGTCGGCAAAGGCAACGTAGCTAAAGACGGACGCTGGACGTGTTTGGGATCGATTAGCTACCCGCTTGCGCAGTCAGTCGCAAACGACGAAGGTCTCGTGCTGGACATACCAAAGTCGAGGTAGACGTCAATGCGTGCTTCAGGCATAATGTCGGGAGGCTGCGTGCGCTTTTTGCAAGGTTGGGAAATCGCGTCAGAAGGGTTCAAGCAGGCGCAATCCGGCGTTGATGTAGGGAAGCAAGGTGAAGGCAAGCTGTGGCTGTTTTTGAAGGGTGCAGCTCCAGTTCGGGGCTGATGACGAGAGCAGACCGGGAAGCTTGTGAAGTGGGGGCAGCAAACGAAGATCCGGGGGGAGGCACAAGAGAGCGAGCGGGGGAAGTAGGGAAAACGGACTGAAAGGAAATATGGATTCAGCCCCCCCCCCCCCCCCTTCCCCCACGATAAATAATCAGAAGAGCCGTGGAAGATCCAAAAGCCCAGTCCGCGGATGCGGCAAGGGGCTGCTAATTAAAAGAGCTTCGGTGGAGTCCCAACCTCGGTACCGGCACCGGCCGGCCCCACTTCCCCGGAGCTTGATCATGTCATCCGAAATCTTTTGACCTTGACGAATCCATTCCGCCAGTTCCTTTGAAAAGACTCTTCTTGTCCTCTTCCAAAACATAAGCTACCATTGAACACTCAAGAATCTACACGTCGCTGCGCCAATGCCCCCATCCACCAAACCCGTCGCCCTCGTCATCGGCGCCTCGCGCGGCATCGGCCGCCAAGTCGCCGTCGACTTTGCCGCCAACGGATACGCCGGTATGTTCTCAAAGGCTTGTCACGATGCCAGAATCGACCGTCTGCAACCAAGTCGTCGTGAACCGAAAAATTCTAACTGTTCTACGCGCAGTCGTCGTTGCCGCCAAGACGGTCAGCGACCCCGGCCAGCCCATCACCGCCATCCCGGACCCCAAGTCCAGCGCGTCCACAATCACCACCGTCAGCCACGAGATCCGCCTCGCTGGCGGCGACGCCCATCCCGTACAGGTCGACGTGCGCTCCGAGGAGAGCGTCGACTCGCCCTCCCCTCCCTCTCCTTCCTTCCCCTCCCGCTAACCCGATCCTTCTCTTAGAAATACGGCCGCCTCGACGTCCTCATCTACAACTCCGGCGCCATCTACTGGGCCTCCGTCGAGGACACCCCCCTGAAGCGCTTCAAGCTCATGCAGGCCGTCAACCCCGAGGGCCTCTACGCCGCCGTCCAGGCCTCCCTGCCGCACCTGCGCGCCGCCCCCTCCGGCCGCGTCCTCGTCGTCTCGCCGCCCATCTACAGCCGCTTCTTCCGCGGCAAGACCGCCTACGCCATGGGCAAGGTCGGCATGTCCGTCCTCACCAAGGGCCTCGCCATGGACCTCCGCCGCCAGGGCCTCGACCGCCGCATGGCCATCACCAGCCTCTGGCCGGCGGTGGCCATCGAGTCCGCCGCCACGGAGCGCATGACCAGGTTGAACCCGGGGGAGGCGCGCGACCTCCGACGGCCGACCATCTTCTCGGACGCGATGCTGGCGATCGTCAAGGCCCCCGCGGCGGAGGTCAACGGCGAGCTGCTGCTGGACGAGGACTTCTTGCGGGAGCGCTGCGGGGTGACGGATTTCGGGAGCTATAGCGTGGTGGAGGGCGCGGAGCCGCGGCGAATCATGCCGGCGAAGTTGCCGGACTTGCGCGTGGCGGAGCAGGACGACGAGGGGAAGCGCGTGGACAGCACAAAGTTGGCGAAGCTGTAACGGTAGACAGGGGGGGGGGGGGGCAGAGGCTAGGAAACGGAATGCACAACGTGGGATGTGTACAACAGGGTTAATACTGTCATTAAAGTATACAAGGTTAATACTGGGTTCATTCAAGTTTCGAGCATCAATCAAGTCATGACGCCCGGAGAGCGCACCCAGCTACCACGAAGCAATACGACATAGTAGTCAGTGGACGTCGACTTGCGCAATATGTAATTCTGTCTAAAATTGCACATATACCCGCCCTGAGCATCCAAATGATGGTTAAATGGAAGCCCGCGTCAAACAAGGAACAACTATAAACAAGGCAATAAAGACTCCAAAAGAACGTTGATGATACAGTCTTTCCAAACAGCAACTCCACACAAAACACCCCTTTCCCACAAAAGAAATAAAAAGATAGCGACCGTACACTGAAACATCCCCAATCTCGACCCCTCCTCAAGGGCTGCCGAGTGGTGCTTGCTGCATCGAATCCATGGCCGCAAGAGTCGTGTCGAATACGCCCTTGACGGAATAGTACACGCTGAGTCTATTCCACTCATCACGCGTCTGCCAAACCCTGTCCATCATCTCGCGGTTGAGCTGCTCCAGTTGCTCCACGGCAAAGCCGTCCGTTTGGTCCGCCACCTCGTCTTGGAGCTGCGCCACCAACGGCACAAGTTCCTTGGGCTGCGACGGCAACGGGTTGTTTGGCTTCGCTTCGCCCGAGCTCTGTAGCTGTGAGCTCGACACCGTTGGTTGCGCAAGCGAGCTTGCCCCGCTGATGAGGTCAGGCTGGGAGTGTAGCCAGCGCTGGTTAGGGCTATCCCTAGGACACGTGTCGGGAAGATGGGGATCCTCTCCCCCCCTCAAGGAGCCATTTGTCTGAGGAGTACCCCAGTTTGATAACCCTTGTTTGGACGAGAGATCCGACGTCTTCGTGGTGGATGCGTCGTTGGCTACGGCTGACGGCGGCACACCAGGTGGGAGAGAGGTGAGAGCGGATCGCTGCGATGGCTGCGTGGGACCCGGGGACTTGAAAGGTGGAGGGCCCATCGCTTGCGATGGAGACTGTGTTTCCTCGCCTGTGCCACTCATTTCTACATCTGCATCCTTGGCCGAGTCACCATTGCTCAGAGCGTGCGCATCGGCGACAGGTTCGGGACTACGCAGTTGGAATCTTGCCGTTGTAGTGTTGTCCTCGGGAACCTGCACACCCAGGGTCACGGGACCTTGTGAATCGCTCTCGTTGCCGCCACCAATGTCCGACTGTATCCTGTCCAAAGCCAGATTCGTAGCCACGGCCTTTCTTTGTCTCTCTTTCTCGGCCTTCTCCTTGGTTCGTTGTATCTGTCGCTGATAGAGTGCTTCCCAGTCGACCATAGCTGCTGTGCTATTCTCAATGCTGGCGATATCGACTTCGACGTTGCTCAACAGCTCATTTGCCTTGAGTGTCCTCTCTTTGTCGCCGATGTTCTTTGCGTCCTTGGCAAGGGCCTTGATGTCGAACAAAAAGTCCTTGGGCCGAGCGTAGTAACCGTTTGACAGTCGCTCCTCGATGGTCGTCGTTTCAAGATTGTAAAATGTCTTTCCAGTGACGGTATCACGAAGCACATCGACACTGTTTTTGTCTTTGACAATCTCGAAGGGACGGTTTTCAGATGACCCAATATCGGGTCGCACATAGTTAGGGTCGGTCTCGGCAAAGAGATAGTCGATCTGCGCCTGCGGAATAACAGGCTGGCGGAACTTTTTGTACTTGCGATTGATCTGATCCATGATGGGTTGCAGCTGAATCTTGAGGGCGTTGAGAAACTGATGGTCCTTCTTCTTCAATGCTTTGATTTCCGCCTTGGTTGGGGGCGCGGGCTCAATCTTCGGTGCCGGGGGCAGTGCCTCCAAAATGCGCTTCTCTCGTTTCTGGGGGTCAGGAAACATGCTACAAGGGAGCTTGATAAGGTCCAGCGCCTTGAGAAAGAAGGCAAATCGGGCCGGCCGCGCTGGCGGCGCAATCTCGACGCGGCTGTTGTGAGAGTACCCGAAAAAGTCGGAGAGGAGGCCTGGACTGTCCGTAAACTGCTCCTTGGTGCGTTCTGCCGTAGCAAGAAGAAGCACCGGATCAGTTGGCGGAATAGATTTGAGCATCGTCTTGAATGTGACAAGCGCAATTGTACCAGCTAGCGTTTCATACCAGACATCAATGTTTGGAATATAGATGACACTCGGCTTGTGGCGTCGAACTTCGGTAAAGAGGCCGACAATAACTTGCTCCATGGAGCGACCGTCTGCAAGCAAGCTGGGCAGGTCAAAGTTTTGTACATGGACACCTTCCAGATAATGCAGAATACCAGCAGCAATGTAGTTTTGGCCCATCCCTGGGCTACCGTGGACAAGCAGGCGGGGACGGAAGACGCGGGTGCGCTCAAAGTCTTGATGAAGTGTTTCGCGTTTAAACCCGTTATCATCGTCGGCATAGGGCTCATACATGGCCTCCTCCAAAGCAGTCGTTTTCTTCCGGCGCGGCATCACAAGATCGAGGGCCCGCTTGATGTTATCAAACTGGTTCTGCAATAATGGCTGAATGGTGGCCGGTAATGGACTGGCGCCGGACGTGGCTGATCTCTCAGAGGATGGGATCAACTTCTTGATCGAAAGCATGAAGTCGGACGCATGCACATTGATCTTGGAAGGATCGACCAGGAGCTTTTCCTGTGAGGCGTAGATCTGCGGGTAGGTTCGCTGGATGGCGTTGAGCGCGGCCTCAGTGCAGAGTGCGCGCAAATCAGCACCACCATAACCCTTCGTCTTGTCAGCAAGCGAGGCTTTGAAGTCTTCGGCTAGACCCCAGTCTTTCGTATGGATGTCAAGGATGGAGCGTCTGCCGTCAATATCGGGGAGAGGAAAGTAAAATTCTCTGTCAAACCGACCGGGACGGCGAAGCGCAGGGTCAATGTTGTCGGGTCTGTTGGTGGCACCAATGACAATGACCTGGCCACGACCGTCCATGCCGTCCATCAAAGCCAGAAGTGTAGAGACAATGGAAGCATGAATCTGCTCTTGCTTGCTCGACCGAACAGGGGCCAGACCGTCGATTTCGTCAAAGAAGATAATACTGGGCTGAGTCTTACGGGCCTCTTCAAACAGAAGACGAAGTTGCTTTTCAGCTTCACCAACCCACTTGCTCAGTGCGTCGGCACCCTTGCGCATGTAAAAGGAAATTTTGCGACCTCCGTGACCGGCCGAATTAGCAAGTGCTCTTGCGAGCAGTGTCTTACCAGTACCGGGAGGGCCATGGAACAAGACACCCCGAGGAGGCGTGACGTGGAATCTGGTGAAGAGCTCTGGGTAGAGCAGGGGAAGCTGGACCATTTCTTTCAGCTGATCGATATGACCTTGCAGGCCGCCAACTTTGCTGAAGTCAACATTCATGTCGACGCCAAGGGGATCGGCGTCGGCCAGTGCCTTGCGATCCTTGATCTTGCCAACATTCGGGGCACCACCGTCCGCATTCATGCCTTGCAAGCCAGGGAGCAGGCCGCCTGGCGGAGCTGACGTGGGAGTCATGCCAACGTTGCCAGCAATACTGGATCGATGCACCATTTCGTCGTCACTGCTATCAGAGTCGACACCTCCGGTAGCGCCAGTGCCCCATGGACCGTTGAGCAGAGAACCAACCGCACCGCCGCCACCAAATGGCCCAAATGTGGTGTTGAGATTCCGATCCCATACGGCGCTAGCAGCACCGCGACGTCGACGGGCCGGAGTGGGAGCCTGGTCTTCGCCATCGTCTTCGATGTTTGCAGAGGTGAGGGGAGGCATGTAGTAGTTGACTCTGGCGCGAGAGCGGCGTGTGTTTTCCTGATATGCGATGGGAGTCGATTCTCGGCGCCGACGTGGTCGCGATGATTTTCTCAGTTCGCGGGCTTCTTCGTTTAGCTCATCCAAGTCCAGCTCGGCGTCTTCATCGCCCGAGTCCTGGCGGGAAGCTCCTGCCGAGCGAGACTGGCGCCCGCCCCTAGCACGCGGGGTGGGACTATCAAGCTGATCATCCGCGCCGTCTTTGCCCATATCAGAGGCGGCATCCTCCGAGTCGTCGCCAGGTTCAAAGTCACTACTAGGCTCTTGAGTCGACTTGCGCGCACTCGATTTACGGGTCAGTCGTCGGCTGGGCCGTGAAGTGGCATCTTGGTCTTCCTCCTCTGCTTCCGCAACAGCCCCAGAACGCGAAGCTCGTGTTCTGCGACTGGTAGGGATATCGTCGTCGTCATCGTCATCGCCGGTACCGGTCACCTCGGGATTTTCGTGCTTTTCAACATCCTCCATCTCTTCGGTTTTCTCCTTATTTTTCTGCAGATCAAGAATATCTTTATCCAGATCGTCGAGATCTTCATCGTCAAGACCCGTAACCTTGGGACTGCTCTCTTGCGTAGCTTCCTCAATAGTCTCGGGAGCAGTCTTGACGCCTTTGGAAGCGCGAGAGCTCCTGCGAGTCACGGGCTCTGGGCTGCGACTCATGGAGCCGCGGGAGGCGACGGCGTGGCGCCCAGAGTTGGAGAGCTCGACGAGATCCTCCTGGTCATGGGAGGTGGCCCTGGTGGCACGGCGTGGAATATCGGAGAGGGCGGAGCTGGGAACCTTGAGCTTGACAACGCGGCTAGAGGAACGTGTTGCTTTTTGATCTTGTGCCTCATCGGCAATTTCCTCTTTGCTCTCATCACTAAGCCGCGCTTCCTCCTCTTCGCTGCCCTCGCTTTCAGCATAGTTCTGGGGTTTGACGGCTACCTTGCGCGTCCTACGACCGGCGGCGTTGATAGGTGCATTTTCGTCCTCGTCCTCGTCATCATCAATGAATGAGCCTTCTTGACTGTCGGAGAGCTCGTCTTCGTCGTCATCGATATCAGAGCCTCCGTAGCGACGGCTGCGCTTTTTCCCGGAACGGCTTCCAGTGGAGCGCGCCTTCTTGGAGCTCTTGTGAGCGCGCTGTTCCGTGGGATCGAAATTTTCGTCCTCGGAATCAGACTTATTGGGGTCAAAGTCCTCGAGGACCCTCTTGCGTTTGCTGACCATGTTGTGGTACAGGAATGCGGGCGGCTGTGTGAAAGGCTCGGGTGCTTGGGTCGGGAGCTGTTGTCTCCGTCTCAACTAGATTTGCTGGATCTGGACGCGCGAGAGAAAATTAGTGGCTGCAACGAACTGCACGGAATATGGAGCGTTCTGGGAGATGCAGAGGGGTTTTGGATGGTATTGACGTGATGGCTGGGTAAAAGCACGAACCGTGGCCGTGGAAAACGTCGGGCGCAAAGCTGACGCTGTCGGGGGTGAAGGCATGCAAGTCAAGGCACCGTCCACGATGACAGCTCCAGAGCCAGAAACTATCAAGCACGAAGCACCGGCGCAACGGGCATCGGTGCTGATGAAAAAGTTGCGATCGGGCGGGCTACGCGACGTGTAAGTCGAGCCTTTTTCGTGATGGGCAGAGAGAGATGCAGACGGGGGCGCGTTTGGCGTGTCGCGAATCTGGCGTCAAGGGAAGCTGGGTGTGCGCCAGTCAACGCCCTCACGTGCAAGGGTACAAAGGAATACTAGTGGGGCCACAGCTTGAGCCATGTACCTCAGACCCGGTCACAGGGAGGGAGCTCTCCACACGGGGATTGAACGGGTGGCACGATCTATCGCGAAGAACGTCTTGATGAATAGTTTTGCGATGAAAAGGACGAGGCATGCCGATGGAGGAGATGGTCTGCTACGGATTTTATTCTTGCATCCTAATATTGTCTTTAGTCGTCGCAGCCGTTCTACGGGATGAGTTGCAAGGGATAAGGAAGCATGGCGTTTCAATTGATGATGGCAAATCTCATGAATCGGAGGTCCCTTGGCCGATTTGATAATGAAATTTAAACGTTTCGGAGCCTCAAGTTGGAGGACTGCCGGCGCCGTTGTTGAAGTGGGAAGTGGGAGGGGAGCCGGGGCGCCGTCGAGTTTGTGGCACGGAGGTGCTTACATAAGCTGAAGCTGTGACACGATCTGGGAGGGGGTGGGGCAGGTTCGCAACGCTGCTTGAAATTGTTCTTAAAAGAAGGATAATTTGAAACGATTTACGAAGTTTGGATAATTTACTACAAAATACAAAGGTGTCGTGTTATTTCTCCAAGGCTGATGGCATTCCTGATGGGGATTCATCGTTGAATGGCTCCCCACCACATTTGGGCTCCGGGCAGTTGGGTTCGGCGAGACCCGGCGAGGCCGTTGGCAAGGCTCACTGGCAGTGGGCGGTGACAGGGGCGACAGCAAAGACCAGGCCTGATGAGTACTGGTATAATACTGAGGCTGACAGCCTGCGAACAAGGAAAATTAGAAAGACAAAATAAAGACGCGGTAAAAGAGGCAATAAAATTTAATGAAGCATAAGAACGAGGAAGAAGCAGAAACCATGGAAAGAAGGGAAAAGGAGACGGATGAAAATAAGTAGGTGTACGTATCTCAGTATTGCCTTCAACACTTGCGTTATACTTTTTCTTGTAATGACAGCCTCCTCGTATCTGGATGACGAAGGCGAAACAGCTCGTGTGTACCTGCCGGCAAACGAACGAGTAGCCCAGACCGAGTCGATTGTTTTATTCCTGTAACATCCCTCATCCACGGTGACGTTGCCTGGCACGGATCAGCATGCAACGATCTACATATTGCTCAAGGGCTCGTTCTGCCGTGACGGGCCACTTTCTCGTTTGCCAGGAGAGACAGAGCGGAGGGGCAAGGCAATGGAGTGGCCATGCCCAGGCTGTCGCATGCCGCATGAGCGCGGCGATCCGTCAGCATTTGTGTGGGTTTTGAGTGCAGGGCGCGCTGCGTCTCCGCCGCCACACTTTAATAGTAAGGCGCCGCCGGGGGCATGCACAGGCGGCATGTTTATCGAACCGGTGAGGACCTTTTTTTCTTTTTTTCTTCTTTTTCTTTTTTTTTTTTTGAGACAGAACGGATGGCGAGCGGTGAAGGGAGACAAAGACGGATAGGTAACGGATGAGCAGTCAAATGTGACTGGCGCTGTGAGCAAGCCATCGTCGGCTTCCTGGTAGAAAAAAAAAGAAAACGGACATCAGAACGGGCTCGGATGGCGTCCGGTTACAGATTATACAACGGCGGAGGCTATCGACGGTGTCGTTTCGCAGGTGGTGCGATTGGACGGGTCGCGTAAAAGCTTAAATTGGTGGCCTTGGTATGTATCGATCCTCTGAAGGGCGCTGACGTGTGCTGTTGGTTGAGATCCCCACTTGAGCATTGTTGTTGCTGTTGTTTTTCGTTGCTTGATCTTCTCTTGTTGTCATGTCATTTTTCCTTATTTTCTTGTACAATTTTCTATCCGCTACCAGGGGATGTGTCTTTGCTCCTCGTGTCTGTAGGGCCGGCCTCCCCTGTCATCGTATAAGCTCGGTACATGGCCGCGGAACCGAGCTAGACCAAGCCTCTCTTTTTCTGTTTGAGACAGGAGACTTGTAATCAGTTTAGGAATCCGTTTCCCTTGGCTTGCCCAGCTGGCTCGCCTTGTGGTAACTTGAAATCTACCGATGTGACGCACCCAATCACGGCAACCGGTGAGTGGTACGTATGCCCTGTGGGGCGGCCCCGACGAGAATCCCAAGACTATCGACTATCAATCATCAATCACGGTTGCATCAAGGGGCAGCAACCAAGGCCATGTGTCGTTGCTAGTACCGAGTTAGCCGGGGGGGGAAACCACCCGGTAAGGATTTGCAGGGCGGGCATTATTATTGAAGGAGCGACGCCGGTTTGTGAGTATGCGAATATGTGCCCGTATCTGGACGCCGAGGCAAGGGTATGCGCATATGCGCATCCATCATGCCTTCGCTCTGCCTTATGCCTCATGCGGCCAAGCTGTATGATGTCCCGCGGGCCCCCCAGAGTCATTGTTGTCTCCGCCTTTCACGGACCAGCCGCTGCACGATGCACCTTAATATATGACGGATGGATACCTATTGTAGGTCGAGCATCAAAGCAGAGAACCTTGGGTCATTGGGTCAACCCCCCCTCGTTCGGTGTCTTTTGCTGGCGGACGCTTGCAGGCTACAGCTGGGCGTACAGTGGGGACAGTCTAAAAGTCTCTCTGTCTCTCCCACAATTGTTGGACACGTTCACCACATTATCCTGGGCTGGGCGCTGGGCCATCCACCCCTCCCCCCCCTCCTCCACATCCAAGGCCCAGCCGAGTCATCGGCCAACCACACCACAAGGACGCGGACAACAGACCTTCTTTTAAACCTCGTTGCCTGCTCATCTGGTTTTTTCTTTCTTTCTTTCAATCCACTCTGGTTCCTCAATATCTCAGTTCTTATACTCGTCCTTTCCGTCTCTCGTTTCCCGTTGACACCGCGACCCTCTCCGCTCTTCCAATCGCCAAGTCGCCTTCTCTCCTCATCTCCCCGCCCTGTACAACACTGCTTTCAGCGCCGCAAGCGGCACGCACGAGCAACTCCCCAGACCAGCCACGAGAAGCGACAAACAACTCAAAGCATCTACAACCTCGCTCTATCTCTACCTATACCTATACCTATACCTATACCTCTCCTCGGAACGAAATAGAAAACACACATCAATCAAAATGAAGAACTCAACCACCTCCAATTACCCCTTCGATGAGGAGGACACCCGTGGCCGCCCCGGCTACTACGACTTTCATGCACCCCCCGAGCCTCTGACCCACGATGTACGTTGGCGACAAACACCACGACCCTTTTTTTCCACTTCTACTTACTAACTCAACATCTCTAGAAACGCACCCTGTCCTACCCGAGCACAATCTCCTCGTCTAGCACGACATCCTCAACCTCCACCACGAAGCGCGTCACCTCCTGGCTCAAGCCTTCGGTCAAACCCGCCCAGCCCAAGGTCAATGTCCACACCACCTGCGGCCGCCATACCGACCAGCTGCTCTTTGGCGGCCCTTCGCTGACGGACATGGCCCGCGCCGTCTTTAAGAAGAAGAATTAAGCCCTTGCCGCATTCCTGCATTTTTTCTTCTTTTGGCTCAGCATACTGTTTCTCGGCTTCTGACTTTTGGGCGTTCTTTTCATCTTTCTGGGGGAAGGCGCTGCTCTTTTACGATACCATTCCAATTTGCTCACGTCTTTACGATTTTACACCTCGGCATTTTTCACCCACAGCCTCTGCAACAGGCGCCAGTGTTCTTACTCTTCATTATCGTTCAAACAACGTCCACTGGTGGACTAGACTTGTTTTTATATACAAAGAAGGACAGAAATTTAGCATTAGTAATTATGATACCATCATGTATACTATACAACTAGCACTTTTGTCGCGCCTCCTCCCACATTTGTGGCAATGCTCGACACGCGACGCATGACTTGTCCCGGTTCAGGTCACCCCATCCATCAAATCACCGATAGCCCTTGTTATCCGTCCGCATGTCCGGGTAGGTCTGCTTATCCGTCGCCGCGTACGTGCTCTTGAACCGGTCCAGGCAGCCGCGGATCCACGCCTGCGCCTCCGCGTCCGCCAGCTCGTACGCGATGCGCAGCGCGTACCCGATCCTGTACGGCCCCAGCGGGCCCTGGCTGATGTCCTCCACGGAGCGCAGGATGACCCGCGTGTACGCCTCCTGCGACGTCGCGAACGTCTCCGGCGGGCGGCCCAGCCGCTGCAAAAACTCCTGCAGCAGGCACATGGTCGCGTGGTGCGACATCTGCAGCGTCGCCGCCCACCGCCGCTCGTACCACAGCACCACGGGGTACGGCGACCGCGGGTCGCGCGACGGCGCCTCGGCGGGCGCGGGGAAGAGGTGCCCGTAGGATGACCAGAAGGAGGACATGCGCGCGTGGCAGGCGGCGGCGAGCCGGAGGGTGGTGGCGGCGGCGGCGGGGTCGATGGGCAGGCCCTGCTTGGCGGCTTCCATCACGGGGTAGCCGACCTTGACGACGGCAGGGATCTCGGCCAGGCGGTCGTTGAACTCGTCGACGGCCTCGATGGCCTCGTCGTTGAAGTCGGGCGCCTGCAACAGGTGCCTCCCCCGGTCACGCATCACAGTACGCCATTCCGGCCGCGTGAGGAAGCACTCGTCTCCTCTGGGGAAGAAGAGGTCACTCATAATCTAGGGACTTTCGCGTGAGTAGATTCACTTGATAAAGCCCGTGCAACGGTAAAAATGCTCGGGCAACCTTACCAGAACGCCTCGGAAGGACAGCAGCATGGCAGCATCCCAGCCATCTCGATGCGCCTTTGCGCCGCGCTGCTCCATCAAGATGCCGATGCCGCGGGCATGTTGCAGCCACGAATCCGACGATGCCGTGCCTGCAAAAAGCTAAAAGGGTGCTTGTCAGCCAGCGCAGACTCCGGAACGCGCAACGCATGCATACCTCAAAGACGCAGAGCAGGATCGCCGTGCACAGCGTCTCCGACGCCCGCCACCGGGTCGGGTGGTGCAGCGCCTGCTGCAGGCTGTGCAGCGACCGGCCGTACATGGTGCGGCTGTGCGCGACCATGTCGGCGTTGCCCACGTCCTTGCCGACCAGGTGCGTCGCGAGTGCGCACAGCGCCCCGTCGAGGATCGCGTACGACCCGACCGTCCCGAACCGCACCCAGCTGAAGTAGCCGCTCGCGTCGCGCTCCTCGATCGCCGCTCGCGCCGTCTCGACCATGGTTGACACGAATTGGCCGCGGTGAGGCGTTGGTTCCAGGACGAAGGAGGGTGATGACGACACCGGGCTGGACCGGCCGCTGCCGCCGGCCGTCACCACGGACCACGCCGAGCTGCTGCTCCCCGGCGACGATCGGTTCCTCTTTGTGCGGACTTGGTGCTTCTCGCTCACGAACTTGAGGCTTCTCTCATAGCCTGGGCATTCTGCGCCGTATTTCGCGCCTGGAAGAAAGCTGGGTTAGTGACCGCAGTAGGGCGCAAACGGGTGTGACGTACAGTTGCCGCATGCTGGCTTCACTTCATCGCATTTCACCCGCCTCTTGCGGCACAAGTGGCAGCCGGTGCTGCGTGGTACGCCGACCATGATGCCAACGTCTGGTTCATTGCACGATGTGCGCGTATTTTGGTCGTTTTTAACTTGTCGTGGGCAAAAGGCAGCGATGGTATGAGGTTGAGAAGTGCGGCTGAAAAGTTGCTGGTACAAAGGTACCTCTACTGCTCCACGTAATGAGTGGCTTATACGAGAATAAGAAGGATATCAACCGATGCAAAATCTATAAAGCTGTTGAATAAATAAAGTTACGGTTCTGAATTTTACAGAATAAAATTCCTTTCAATATTGTTTTCATTAAAAAGATCTTTAACCCTTTGGTAAGTGCCCCTGTACCTACTCACTTGGACACTGGAAAAACTACCGTCAAGAGGTTCTTCTTTCTAGCTAGACATGTCTCACTTTTGGCGAATAAATGCGTCAATCAAGTGACTTTTGAAGTTCTTTCATTAACTCGACTATCTGGTTTCAATATCATGAAAATACTGGTAATTCTTGGCTGTTTTTTTGACAACGCAACAACCTTTCATGAACTCATCATAAATAGCCAGCACCATCATTCATCATGTTATCATTAGAGTCGGCATTTTTCTGCTCACTGATTAAAAACCCGATAGCTGCACCCAATTCATACCAATATTTCAGCCCGTTATTTCTGCCATTTCTGCCATTTCTTCTGTCTTCCAACGGCCGTTGGCTGACCTGATAGCTGATCTACAGGCACACAGTCGGCCCCGCGTCCCACTTTCGTCACGTAGCAAAGCCGGCTCCGATTTCCAACATGACATCTTGCCCTCGACAAGCCCGACATACCTCCAACCCTCCATTAAAAAAAATGCAGCCTCTCGAGCTGACCCTGGTCGTGGCCGCTACGCGCAGCATGGGCATCGGCGCCGGCGGCACCATGCCCTGGAAGGGCCTCCGCAACGAGATGAAGTACTTTGCGCGCGTCACCACCCACCTCCCTCCTCATGTACGTTTCTTCACCACATCCCACCCAACCCAACCTCCCGCCTCTGACCGGTTTCACGCAGTGCCCCCCCGGCGCGGTCAACGCCGTCATCATGGGCCGCAAGACCTGGGACTCGATCCCGCCCAAGTTCCGGCCCCTCAAGGACCGCCTCAACATTGTCATCACCCGCTCCGCCGGCCCGGCACCCGGGAAGGACGAGAACCCGGTGCGCGTGCCTTCGGTCGAGGCCGCGCTGCGGTACGCACGCGCGCACTGCGCGGGCGGCCGGGTCTTCATCATGGGCGGCGGGCAGGTCTACGCGACCGCGCTGGAGCGGCCCGAGGCGCGGCGCGTGCTGCTGACCAGCATCGACGCGGACCACGACTGCGACACCTTCTTCCCGATCAGGCTGGGGACACCCGGCGAGGGCGGCACGGAGCCGGGGTGGACGAGGCGCTCGGACGGGGAGTGGAGGGCGTGGACGGGGGTGGAGGAGGGGGATGGGCGCAGGGAGGAGGCGGGCGTCAAGTACGAGTTTCAACTGTGGGAGAGGGAGTAGCTGGCAGAGTTGAATAGTCAATATTGTAAAATTAAGTTCATGGGACAGGATGGTGAGATGTTGAGTTCATTAAGAGAAACTGTGATGGCCTCTATAGGGCGGGATACCAATCCTCGCGGTATAATGTACATGAAATTGTATGCCCTCCTCTTTTCTGCCTTTTTTTCATAGTGATACAGTGATACACACACACACACACATGCTTGTCCCAACGCATGTCGTGTTAGATTTTTTTATCGTTACATTATCTCCTCCTCGGGTCTGTCTCGCCCTCTCGTTTTTCCTCTTCTTCCGCAGTGGCCATGTCTCCCTACGGAGCAGCAGCCACCTTCTCCGCCGCCGCCTGCTTGGCCTTGGCCTGCTCCGGCGTCTGCTTCTGCCCATCGCCCTGCTGCTGCTGCTGCTGCTGCTGCTGCTGGTCGCTCAGGAACGGCACCTCCAGCCTCGTCCAGAAGACGTCCACCGGGCGCTCCAGCACCTCGGCCGCCTGCTGTGCAAACGTCGCGTCCGACGCGGCCTCGAGCGCCGCCAGGCTCGCGCGCACCCACCCGACCACGGCGACGAGCGCGCGCGGGTCGGCCTCCGGGTCGCCCTTGAACAGGTTGCGCCAGACGGCGCTGGCGAGGATCGCGTCGCCCTTGACGAGCCCCTCGTCGTAGGCGAGCAGCAGGCCGCGCCACTGCACGAAGATGTCCTTGAGGTAGCGCTGGCGCAGCGCGCTCGAGGTGATGTTGTGGTCCAGGTGCATCTTCTTCTCGCACTCGAAGAAGAAGTGGTCGATCATCTGCTGCGACCAGTTGCGGTACTCGTCCCGGTCGAAGCAGCGCAGCCGCGCGTTGATTAGGTACAGGTGCAGCATGGTGACGTGCGACCACGTGCTGAACGACGGTTGCAGGCCGAACGCTGGGAACCGTCAGTCTGGGAAGGGGAGAAAAGGGAGGGCGGCTCATCGTTGGCGCTTACTCTTATGCCATACGTTCTCTGGGTCTTTGGCTTTGCCAATCTCCTCGCCGTCGTCCCGCTTCTGGACGAGGTCCTGCTTGCGCTCCTCGTCCGTGATGCGGTAGTCGGCCGGCTTGGCGCAGACCTTGAACAGCCGCTCCGAGGCGCCGACGACGCGGTACGAGTCCCGAAGCCCGAGTATCTGGCGCGGCGATGAGCTGCTGAAGCTCCGCACCGTCGTTGTTCTCGTCGTCGTCGAGTGTCTGGTCGTGGCGGCGGGCGTGGCGAGGTTTCGCGCGACAGGGGAGGGAGCGGCTGCGCCGGCGCGGAGAGCTGAGCGCAGCATGCTCCTCGTTTGTGACCGGCACGTCTGGCAGGCCATGACTGTCGATATTTATCGGTGCTGTGTTTGAATTGGCTCCAAGTGGCCACGAGAGCCGTTGTGTAATGACTTTGCGCGCCCAAGGGGAACCGTGAGGTAATGGTGATGGCTAAGATTGGCTAGGAAAAAAAAGTTGCCGGTTGAATGTCGGTGGAGCAGGTTGCCTTTTTTTTAGGAGGCAGAGATAACCTATCCCAGCTCCGTTTAGTTGACCTATTTTGAAATGAATGAAATTATAAATAAAACAACGGTTATTGAAATAAATTTGAATTACTTGATAGTATCTTTGTTGTTACCAGAATCGCCAAATTAGTGCCTGCTCGCGCAAACGGCGCTTATATAGTCTACCTCATGGTACAGCCTACTTACAAAAGATCACGACACAAACGCTAGACGAGTACGAATCATCATACAACTAAGGAAAGAAAATAAATGGATTCAAACAGTGCACTCTTTTTATACTATACTCGCTCCAACAGTTCCTAGAAACAAGTATAGGCGGAGCTTAAGGGATTCTCTAAGAGTCTCTCAAGCCGCTGATGATTAACCGAGATGTTGTACTAGATTTATATATTACCTACATCCATATCATCATCATCCTCATCATTATCATCATCGTCTTCGGCATCATCATCCCCATCATCCCCATCACCATCATCCCCATCCACATCATCACGCTTACTGGAAAGACAAAAAGGCTTTGCACGCCCCAACCGCTTAACCCCCTCATTCCTCAAACACCAACTCCCCCTCAAACCAGGTCCTGCGCACCTTGACCTCACGAAAAGCGCCCTCCTCGCCCGCCGTCAAGTCGCGATCCAGCTCGATAAAATTGGCCCGCTTCCCCACCGCGATGCTGCCCGTCCCTTCCCCGCTGCCCACCGCCTCGGCCCCGGAGAGGGTGAGCATGCGGAGCAGCAACTTCGCCCCGCGGCTCCGGTCGCCGCCGCCGACCGCGCCGACGAGCTTCTCCACGGTCCACAGCAGGTCCGGGTCCTCCGGGACGCCCCAGTCGGAGCCGATGGTCATGTGCGCCCCGTGGCGGGCCATCTTGGCAAAGTCCCAGGCGTTGAGCGTGGCCTCCTCGCCGGTAAAGGTATGGTTGAAGAGCGCGGCGGGGGACATTTCGGCGGTGGCGTTGAGTTGGACGAATCTGGGGTAGTCGTCTGATTTCACTATTAGCTCTGCCAAGCACGAAAATAAACATAAAAAAATAAAATTTCCGTCGGAGCTGCCACGTACCGTCGTGCACACCCGAACAGTGGGCAATCTCGTGCCTGGGCCCGTTGGGGTTCTTCTTCCGCGCCGCTTCGATGGCATTCAGCGCCGTCCTCGTGGAACCCTGCCCGGTGCAGTGCATCTTGATCGTCATGCCCATCCTGTCGTACTTGGAGACCACATCCTCCAGGTCCTCGACGTAAATGTCCTCCGGATCCACCCCGCCGTTCTCCCCGAGGTCCGCCTGGCTGAAGAACGGCGCCAGCGGGACGCCGTCCAGCATCATCTTGACAAACCTCGTATTCACGTGCTCCGACTTCAGCGTCGCCGCCTTGTCCAGCAGCCGGTGCAGCGTCTCCGCGGGCTCCTGCGCAATGTACTCCGGCGCGTAGACGATGTGCGTGTACACGTCCAGCTTGAGGTCGTTCTTCCCATCCAGCTGCCGAAACGCCTCCACCATGAGCGTGTTGGACGCAGCCTCCTGGCAGGACGTGACGCCGGCCCTGTGCAGCCGCCGCGCGGCGTGCCGCAGCGCGCGCTTGACGTGCGCCAGGCTAGGCTTGGGGCAGGCCAGCATCGCCTTGGTCATGGCGAGCTCGCCCACCTCGCCGGTGAGGCTGCCGTCGCCGCGGCGCGCGAAGAAGGAGCCCTTGGCGGGGGGCTCGTTGTCCACGTCGTAGCCGGACTGCGTGAGCGCGGCCGTGTTGAGGAGCAGGCTGTGTCCGGCGCCCGCTTGGATGACCACCGGCGTGTCTGGAAACGCTTCGTCGATGGAGGAGCGGTCGTAGTTTTCTATGCCAAAGGTATCCCCGAGAAGCCAACTAACGCGTGTCAGCTTCATATTTTTATTTTTTAAAGAAAAAATAGTAGAAAGTATTAAATGAAGAAGAAGAAGAAACTTACTCGTGGAAAGCATGTGCATAGCTACAGTTGCAAGAACTGCCCTTCAATCTCTTGACGGCTTCCGAGCTCGTCACGAGATCTTCCCCGTTTCGAAGGTTCACAATGCTAAGCTGCATCAGACCAGCCATCAGGAGATGCGCGTGAGCGTCATGGATGCCCGGCATGATGAACTGATTCTTCAAGTCATAGACAACCATCTTGTTCTGGCGGGCCTGGCTCAGAATCGTCTCCGTTGTGCCGACGGCAGTGAAGAAGCCAGCTTCCGAAACGATGAAGGCCTCCGCCCATGGTTGGGCGTCATTGACGGTATAAATGCGTCCGTTGATGTATGCAGTAGCATTTTCCAACGCTTCAGGATGAGGTGATTGATTCATTGTGCAAGTCTGTCTGTGTAGATTTTAATGTAGGTGGTACCTAGATATGAAACTTGATCGAGAGATGGGTTGAGACAGGGCAGACATGCGACGCTGCCTGTAAATAGATCAATTTCGACGGTATTATTCCGAAAATGTAGCTTCCGTCGGAAAGCGGCGGAAACGATCTCAACACATTTTAAATCACTATTTACGCTGGCTGTAATCGTAATTCACCTGTGCTAAATCGAACAGCCGTTTCCGGACCCCATGTTCCCCGCGCCTTCCAACTCCCTAGTGCTATGATGCTGTCAAAATCCGCTGACTACTAATCTCTGCGAATCTCTCCGCTGACTACTAGTACTAGCTAGGAATGCTAGTCAAAGGTAAAAAAGTCCGCAAAGTGACCACTGATGTCTCGGCCATTTGTGTTCGTCTCCGTCGTCGTCACCATTGGTTCCCACAGCGTCTATATCCTCCAACAAGGCGACACACTTCCTCGGTAATTTATCGACTATTTCTTTGACCTGCTCGTCATTAGAATAATTTAGGCACATGTGCATCTTTACACCTACATGCGCATAGTCGGGGGCAAGCTAGTGGTGAATGCGTACCTTTGACACAGTAGTTCCTTACTTTGATACCTTTGTCATATATCTTATTACACTTTATTCTTTTTATTCTCTTTGTACTTGACAGGTGTATTTCCCCATTTCCACAGGGCGTATCCAGGAATGAGTGAGGCTTCACATCGATACTATACAATCGTGAAATCTTACAGCTTTCTAAACCTTTCCAAAAACCAGCGAGCTGTTCGTGCCGCCAAAGCCAAAGCTGTTGCTCACCGCCACGCTGATATCCTTATCCTTGGCCGTTCGCGGCACGAAGTCAAACTCCACCCCGACATTCGGCGACTCCAAGTTCAACGTCGCCGGCACGATCCCCTCGTGAATCGCCAGGATCGTGAACATGGCCTCGACCGCACCGGCCGCGCCCAGCAGGTGCCCCACGGCGCCCTTGGTGCTGCTCACCGTGACCTGTCCCTCCTCCGCCACGCCCTCCTCCCCCATCATGATGCGGCGTATCGCCATCGTCTCCGCGACGTCGCCCACCTCCGTGCCCGTCGCGTGCGCGTTCACGTAACCCACCTGCGCCGGCCTCACCCCCGCGCCGCGCAGCGCGCGCCTCATCGCCAAGAACGCGCCGTGTCCGTCCGCGCGCGGCGCCGTCATGTGGTGCGCGTCGCCGCTGCATCCGTACCCGCGGACCTCCGCGTACACGCGCGCCCCCCGCGCCTTAGCGTGCTCCAGCTCCTCCAGCACGCATACGGCAGCGCCCTCGGCGACGACGAAGCCGTCGCGGCCGGCGTCGAACGGCCGGCAGCTGGAAGCCGGGCGGTCGTTGCGGGCGGTGGCGAGGGAGCGCGCGCGGCCGAAGCCGGCAAAGGTCAGCGGGTGGATGCACGACTCGGAGCCGCCGGCGACCATGACGTCGGCGTCGCCGAGGGCGATGAAGCGCGCCGCGTCGCCGATGGAGTGCGCGCCGGTGGTGCAGGCCGTGGTCGCGGTGTGGTTGGGGCCCTGGAAGCCGTGCTTCATGGCGATGTGGCCGGCGGCCATGTTGGTGAGGATCTTGGGCACGAACAGCGGCGACACCTTTTTGTATCCCTGCGGTTTCCATGTTAGAAGATGCTAATCCGCACATCGTCGAGCGGGTTCAACTCACCCCCTTATGGTGCTCCAGGCTGGTCGTGTACATGTCGTCGAGGTTTCCTATCCCGCTTCCCAGGCAAACGCCCGTGTTTTCTTTTTCTGATGGCTTGGCCGCGTCCCATTCGGCGTCCTTGAGCGCCATCTCGGTGGCCGCGACGGCGTACTGGGTGAAGAGCGACATGCGGCGCTGCTCGGCGGCGGTGAGCCAGTCATTGGCATCCCAGCCGCCCTTTTCGATGCCACCGAGGGGTACGACGCCCGCTACTGTGCTCGTGAGCTCCTGCCAGCGCTCCTTGGGCTCACGGTCGGCGACGCTGACGATGCCGCAATCGCCAGCAAGGAGGCGATTCCAGGTGCGTCGCGCGCCGACGCCCAGCGGCGTGACGGCGCCGAGGCCTGTCACGACGACTCGTCGCATTATGATTCCATCTCCTGCGTATAGATAATGCGGAGTTGTACGAAGTGTGTGAGAGTTTGGGGTGCACGTGCAGGTGCAGCAGCTTGATGTGGTGAGAGAAAGTTTGGATGTTCCAGCAATTCTCGAGGGACAAATTAGCTGCGGCAAAGGTACATACATACAAGGTAACGTTAGTAGCCAATCGCCCCCACAGCGGTGCTAAAACTAGACTGCTGGGTACGGTGATGTATGTATGTATGAGGGAGATCTTTTGCTTCTTTTTGAAGAAAAGAAAATTCACTTGTTCATTTTTTTTTAAAAGAAAAGAAAAAAGAAACTTCAGATAGTGTAATAAAAGACAAACTACCACTATGCCGAGCCGTATGTAAATATACTCAAGTCTCTCCTAAATTATCTTATGCATACATACATCCATACATAATTCGTACATACCATACACTACATACATATTTAACACTAGCTGCATATCCTCGGCTTTCCTGTAGGCATTTACCAATCTTTCCGAGTTCTTTCTTGTGCACTTCCCTTTTAATCATTGTCTTTAATAAGTCTTCGGGGATGTTACATTCTGACGCACATTCGCTGTTGGCTGGCAGCATGCTTTTGCTGTCCAAGTGTCTAGAGACTGACGTGCTGCGATGGGAACACCTGCCTGAAAGCATTACCCATCTGTATAGGCAATAGCATTGAGACGACGTTTCAACTCTTTGTCAGAGGCAGACACATGATAACCCCAAGCACCAGGGCACAGGAAACTATTCGCCAGCTGCTCAAGTAGTTGTATTTGCACTTCCCAGCCAAGGCCGTCCGGAGCGACCGTGCGTATAAATCCGGCCACTAGTTGTACGTAATCGTTGAGAGACACACTATGTTTGCGAAGCTGTCCAAACGCTGACAAGTTACACGTGTTCACGAAATTCCCACCCAACAACGTCCTTGCCGTGCCGTTGGTCGGCCGTAGATGCGGCTGCGGCGTGAACGACACCAGCGCTTCTCCCGGAACAAAGTCCCAACAGACGTACTCGTCCGCGTTGTTTGCCCAGCTCCGCGCATCGTCGAGGATCTCGATCGAGCTTTCCAGGCCAGACTTTCTGAGGAATCGGAGCATGTCCCTCACGCGCCATACGTGAAAGCCGCGTTCCTGGATCTTACGCACGTCCAGCACGGCCAACCCGGGCGTCTTGCCGTCACGCGCCGCCATCCCCCAGACCTCGCAGAGCCGATGCGTCGCCCAGCAGAGATTGCCGCTGAGGGACACCATGCGAGATCGGTAGTAGTTTCCGCCACTGTTCCTCTTGATACGAAGTTTTCTCAAGTGTTGGCTGAGCTCAAGAAAGACGTCTTCGGTGGGCGGGGATTCTGGTTCGAATTGACCGCCAATTTTCAGGTTTCTTTCATACTCGGCCCAAGAACGGTAGTCGGAAACACAATCTCTGTCCAAGAAACTGTCCGTCTGGGCATCATCGTATCGAGGATATGGGTGGCCGTAGGTGTGTGCTCGATAGAGGTACTTTGGATACGACGACTCACGCTCTGACTGCATGAAACGGATGACTAGGGCCGTGAGTCAGTCGTCATATATTAACCAGCTTGTCATTCGGGGACCGTACATTCTTTCCAAAGCGAGTTATCAGATCTCGGTAATAGTTGTTGCCAGTCAGCCTCTGGGTAGCTCCTCCCTCCGGATCTCCTAGCCACACGAGTCCAAGGAGCAGAGTTGGAAGTAGAAGAATCATCTTGGAGGTCTTTTTCTTCCAAGTTTGGAGCTGACTGAATTTTTTTGACAATAGCGGCCATCTCGAACTCGGGCCCAAAAGGTAGATGCTTATGATGATTTCATGTGAAGCTTCGCAGGTTGTTCGGGGGATGGCAAGGTTGGGTGCTGGGTGCTGTGTTAAATGCATCGACAATGTCGGGTACACTGTCGGCTGGGCAAGTACCTACCCGGGCTCACTTCACGAAAGGCGTACACGCGACTATCAAGGCAATTTTTTGGGAACCAAAAGGAGGGGGCGTGTGCATCTGCAGCAAGCTGCCTTTCTGCAGGTCGGTGTCTCAAGACCAAAACAAAGCCTCTGCAACGATGCCGCAAATGATGTTATAGGCCGGAAGTCAAATACAAAGTATAATCTAATACAGACAGAGTATGATTCGCGAGGAATATTGCTACGGATTCTTGTCCGCGACTCAAGACTTGATCTACCAGATCGTGCCGTGCTGAACGACAAGGGACGAGGTCGAGGGACAAAGCACAAGGGCATCATGGGCCACACAATTCTGATGTGCATGCATCAACGGCCCGACGCCGCGGTAGGCTGAATCTCAGTAGGCAGCACAGGAGGCAGAATTGTTGGGCAAGTTTGGCTAGCCTAAGAGTCTTGTCACATCTCTTGTCTTGTTTATATGTTCACCATTAATCGGAAGTGTACTAGTTATGTGTGTAGGTTCATCTAGTCGGCTCATCCTGGGGTATAAACGGTATTTATGATGCTACTCTAGAGTAGGCATACATAGCTGTGCTCGTTTTGAGTCATACATAAATGCCTACGTAGGTACTAACATAATTCGCATGCTTCCCCGTCTAGCGGCCGTTGATGTTTTTGGCCGCCCTTTGTTGTTGCTGGCTGCTATTCATGCCCAAAATCGGAAATGGAGACAAGCCTCAGCTTGCCTGGCGCTGAAGTAGCTACACTGAGCGAACGGCCTAAATACTGGGGACAAAGTTATGAATAATATTATTAAAAGCTATGACTTGATCAATATTTTTGAAAGCAATCATGTACGATTTTTTTTATTCCTTCCATTGTCTGCCCGCCTGCCGAGTTGCTGTCCTGCCCATCCAGGTACGTACTGTACCCTACCTAGTAGTACCTACGGATACTACTCTCAGCTACCAGTACAGCTGTTTCAGGGTCCAAGATCCGCGACACCTGAACCCTTTGTCTCCCTCACTCGTTTGGTGCTGTGGTCTCAGTCTCAGCCATTGACGCTTTTCCGACTTCCAAAATCGCATCTTAGCCAGATCAATCAACCTTCACTAACCCAATTCCCCAAATTTTTTCATCCCAGGGCATCCCAGGGCATCCCTTCCCCCTTGCGGCCTCGCCCCCTTCGCGCAGGGAAGCGCGCGTACTTTTAAGCTGCGCTCCTCCGTTTGCATGACACGCAACCACTCGTTCCCAGCTGCCCGCCTCATCTCACCCCCTCTCTCCCGAGGAGGTCATGAGCGACCCGAGGCGTGACGGCGCGTCGTTCGCCCAGGCGCAGGCGCACACCAGCGGCAGGGACCAAGACGAGGGCGCCGCAGCTACTGAGCGCACCCCGCGACACTCGTTCCAGCACGATGACGACGGCGATGATGACCTTGACAAGTGGTCTGACTTTGACGCCGACGATCCGTCTCTGCATCCGTCCGGCTCCGAGGAGCGCGGCCGTCTGCTAGACCCCGAGCACGCCGGCGCCGAGGCGTTTGAGCTGCACGACCTCGACCTCGACCTCGACCTCGGCGCCTCACCCTCCCCCGGCGGCTTCAAGGACCCCGAGGCCGAGGACTCCCCCTACCCGGAGGTCCGCGCGGCCGTGCGCAACTACGACGAGGACGTCCCCGCCGGCACCCTGCGCGCCTGGACCATCGGGCTGGGCCTCACCGTCGTCGGCGCCGCCATGAACGCGCTCTTCTCCCTGCGCCAGCCATCCATCTCCATCGGCCCGCTCGTCGCCCAGGTCGTCGCCTACCCGATCGGCCACGCCTGGGCGCGCCTCGTGCCCGCGCGCGAGTTCCGCACCCTCGGCGTCCGCTGGAGCACCAACCCGGGCCCCTTCAGCATCAAGGAGCACGCCGTCGTTACCGTCATGGCCAGCGTCTCCTTCTCCGTTGCCTACTCGACCGACGTCGTCCTCGCGCAGCTCGTGTTTTACAAGCAGAACTTTGGCATCCTCTTCCAGCTGCTGCTGACCATCTCGACGCAGTCGCTGGGCTACGGCATCGCTGGCGTTATGCGCAAGTTCTTGGGTGAGCGAGCCTCCCCTCCCCCCGACGCACCTCCTACATCCTGATCACTGTCACTAAACACCAGCCCTTCCTTGTAGTGTACCCGGCCTCGATGATCTGGCCGGAGAACCTCGTCAGCGTCACCCTCCTCAACGCCATGTACGAGCAGGGCAGCGCGCCCGACCCCCGCGTCCTCGGCGGCTCCATGCCTCGCCTCCGGTGGTTCACCCTCGTCTCCGCCGCCTCCTTCTTCTACTTCTTCATCCCCGGCCACTTTGCCCGCTTCCTCAGCGTCTTCGCCTTCCCCACGTGGCTCGCCCCGGACAACGCCGTCGTGAACCAGCTCTTTGGCGGCGTCTCCGGCCTGTCCCTGCTGCCCATCACCTTTGACTGGACTCAGGTCGCCGGCTTCATCGGCTCCCCGCTCATCCCACCATGGTAAGCTCTCCCCGTCCTCAACACCTCAACACGCATGGGGGGCTCATCAAACGTGAAAACAGGCACGCCATTGCCAACACGCTCCTCGGCGTCGTCCTCTTCTTCATCTGCCTCTCCTCCGTGCTGCACTACAGCGGCGCCTGGTACTCGGCCTACCTGCCCATGAGCGACGCCGGCACCTACGACAACCGCGGCCAGCCTTACAACACCACGCGCATCCTCACGCCGCAGTTCACCCTCGACGTGCAGGCCTACAAGGAGTACTCGCCGCTCTTCATCAGCACTACCTTTGCCGTCGCCTACGGCCTCTCCTTCGCCTCCATCTCCGCCCTGCTGGTGCACACCTGGATCCACAGCCGCAAGACCATCTGGCGCCAGTACCGCAACAGCACCACCGAGAAACCCGACATCCACATGAAGCTGATGCGCAAGTACCCCGAGGCGCCGGACTGGTGGTACCTGACGCTGTTCCTAGTCGTGAGTTGTCACCTCTTTCTGTGCGGGAAATTTGCTAGGGCTCATCCCATCAACTTACTTAGATGCTCGCCATCGGCCTGTACACCGTCGTCGCGTACCCGACCAACTTTGCGTGGTGGGCGTTCCTCCTCGCCATCCTCATCTCCTACGCCTTCTCCCTACCGATCGGCATCATCCAGGCCATCACCAACACCCAGATCGGCCTCAACGTCCTGACCGAGTTCATCTACGGCTACATCCAGCCCGGCCGCCCTCTCGGCCTCATGCTGTACGTCCTTTCTCGCTTCGCTCGCGCAAACTCTCGCACTAACCAGATGCTCCTCCTTCCAGCTTCAAAACCTTTGGCTACGTCACGATGTAAGTCCTCGAAACCGTTCCGCTCAGCCAAAGCAAGACGGGCAGCCACTAACCGTGTCGTGAAAACAGGTCCCAGGCCCTCGGCTTCATCGCCGACCTCAAGTTCGGCCACTACATGAAGGTGCCCCCGCGCACCATGTTCCTCGCGCAGGTCGTCGCCACCACCATCTCCTGCCTCGTCCAGATCGCCGTCCTCAACCTCGCCCTCGTCAGCATCGACAACGTCTGCGACATCCGCCAGCGCGACCGCTTCACCTGCCCCGGCGGCCGCGTCTTCTTCTCCGGTACTCCTCCTCCCCCACCCCTCTCCCTCTCCCTCCCATCAACACTGACACACAACCGCAGCCTCCATCATTTGGGGCCTCATCGGCCCGGCGCGCATCTTCTCCCCCGGCGCCGTCTACTCCGGCCTCTTCCTCTTCTTCCTCCTCGGCGCCGCCGCGCCCCTCTTCGTGCACCTCTGGGTCCGCCGCCGTCCCGCCTCCGCCGCGCGCCACCTCGTCACCCCGCTCATCTTTGGCGGCGCCGGCTCCATCCCGCCCGCCACGCCGCTCAACTACTTCTCCTGGGGGGTTGTGGGCTTCGCGTTCCAGTTCTGGGTCCGCCGCCGGCACGCGGCCTGGTGGTCGCGGCTCAACTTCTTGACGTCGTGCGGGCTCGACTTGGGGCTGGCGCTGGGCACGCTGGTGCTGTTCTTCGCGTTCACGCTGCCGGATGTCAAGCCGCCGCAGTGGTGGGGGAACACGATCGTGGAGCGGACGATGGACTTTCGCGGCACGGCGGTGCAGGTAGTCTTGCCGGAGGGGCAGACTTTTGGTCCGCAGAGTTGGTGATGTGTCTCGGTACCATGTGTGTGGCCTCGGATTTCTACTGTGAAATGGCGTTCTGGATAGATATATTGAATTTAGAAATGGTCATGCGGAAATACTAATTCCAAACAGAATTGTTGGTTGAATTTCTCATTCAACATTAAAAAGAATAGTCATACGAAAATACTAATTCCCAATCGAATTGTTTGCTTCAATTTCTCTTCAACTCCTTTAAATACCAACGCAGGTATATAGACAGTGTAAGCCGTGATGTGATTTTTTCCCCATCCGATGCCCATGAGAAACAATGCTGTTACTTTTGCTGCTGCTGCTGCTGTTGCTGCGGAAAAAAACAAATCATTATACATTACGATAGATATGGTTGTTGTCCCGGATACGCCGCGTACTGCTGCGTCACCTGCATGGCATCGCCGTCGTATCCGTCCTGTTGCATCGCGAACGAGTAGCATCCCGCGTCGGTCGCGCAACGGACCATGTTCATGCTCGGGAGAGCGACCCCGCCCCAGGCGTTAAGCTGCGCGATGCCGCCGATCGGCGCGGTCGCGCCCATGTAGTCCGACGCCGGCGCCGCAGAGTAGCGGCGACCGTCGGGTCCGCAGTACGTCGTCGAGTCCACGCACGCGACCGCGAAGTCGTGTGTGGGGAAGACGGGGCCTCCGATCCCGCCGTCGCCCGGCACGTCGTAGCCCACCGGCACTGGCGGTGCTCCGTAGGGGCCGGGGGCCACTACCTCGAAGTAGACGGGCGTCGACCGCCGCGGCGCCTGCTCCTCGACGAGGCAGCGCAGGGCGGAGAGGCTGTTGAGCTCGGCCTCTTCCGTAGGGTTCCGTGCGTCCCAGAGTTTGAGAATGGAGAATGCCTGGTCGACGACGTTGCCTGCAGTATGATACTTGTGAAAGCCAAAGAACTGGTTCGTGAGGATGATCAAGACGGCTGTATAGAGACATGGTCTTTAGAGCCCACCAGTTGTCAGCGAAAATCATTCTTCCGTTTTTAGTGTTTCAAGGTACGTACCGCCATATGTAATCGTTTCGAAACTCCGGGGACTGGTTGTAGGCCTTGAATATGCGTTCAACGGCCTGGTGCGCGGTGGCGACGCAGGTGGTGGACAAGTACTTCCACGTCGTGTCGTGCTTCTGTTGCGAGGACGCCTGGTACAGCTCCTGGGTGAAGAAGGGCCGCGTGAGCAGCATGGCCGCGTAGCTGCGGAACAGCATCGCGTGCTCCGTGGCCAGCGCATCCGCGCCGTCCTGGGGGCTTGCACTCGGTGGGAGTAAGCCCAGTGTCTGCTGCAGCATCGACGACGCCCGCTCGGCCGGGAAGTGTCGCTGGTTATAGACGAGCTTGATGGTCTTGCGGATCATCTTGGCCGATGCCACGTTGAACGTGAGATGGTCATCACGGCCGGTGGTGCTAGAGGGCGCGCATTCCGCCCCAACGGTCGGCTTGCTCTTCTCTTCCTTGAGGGCTTGCGGCTTGCGTCCGAGGAGCGCGGCGACGAGGGAGTCGAGGACGAAGAGGCACCTCCAAAGCTTAGCATGGAGAGCGCTGTTTGCCTTGACCTCACTTGGTGCACGTGACGAGGACCCCGGGACGTGATTGATGCCCAGCACATCAGCGGCCCTGACTGCCAATCCTGAGACCAAGTTAGCTGGTGTGTGAGGTCCAATTCAATAAATCGAGAGAAACTCACCTATATAGGCATCGGCAGCGTTCCACTTGGAGACCGCAAGGGAATACGTCGTCATGAGCGCCCATGCTTGTATCATCCACACCTCAAAGGTCTCGTAGCCCCCGATGCGCATCAGAGTCGCCTCGGCATAGTCAAAGTACTCATCTGAGGATCTGAGAGAGTCTGGGGGGAAGAGGCCCTGGTCGGGATATTCCGTGCCCTTTTGCGATTCTACGCTGAGTGAGCCGGCGGCAAAGAGGAGGTAGAGTAGGCAAGTGCTGCCGGGGACTTGAGAGTCTTGTGAGGGTGCGTTGGGGTATGATGACTGTAGCAGCTCCTGTATCGTGGATTCTTCTAGGATTTCCACCAAGTGGTTGCTCTGGGGAGATGGATTTAGCAATGGCAATTAATAGTGAAGTTTCTTGCGCAGGAGCAAACACGTACATATTGGCGGGCTCGATTGACGAGGTGCTCTGCAACCTCTCGAGGAGGCAGGGGCACCGTGTTTTGTAGTCCCTGCGAACGAGAATTACTCCCCAACCTGCTGGGGGTGGTTTCGCCTTCAGTAAAGGGACACGGCCCAGAGACTTGAAAGACTAATTTTTTGATCTCTGTGAGAAAACTAGCCGATGAGGAGCCCCCTACATTGCAATCGCATCGTGTCAGCCTGTTGAATATATACAAGAAAGGACAAGATGAGTTTGGGGGGTTCATGTACATACAGAAGGGTAGACCAGGTTGGCCAGGGACTCTGGTAGCAGCCAGTTGCTCGAACCTATCTAGCTGGGCATCGGGCGGGTTTGACGGGCTTCTCCATTCCGACATCGCGGACGGGGAGTCGTACTGTCCATGCTGAAGGTACATGGGCGAAAGCAAGGGCGGTGAGTTTCCCGGCTCCGATTTGATGATGCCTTGCAACGCGTACGGGTTGGACTGGCCCACGGGGGAAGGCGCGGTGCCGTCGTGCTTGAGGAGGCGGGTGACGCTCTTGCGTTTCCGAGGAGGATCGTAGGAGCAGTTATGTCCTCGCTTCTCGCAGCCAAGACAAGGGTTCTGTCCATTACACTGTCTCGCCTTGTCAATACTTGCCTTGGTCTCCCTTGCCTGGGGTTGTTTGGGGGCTTGGAGTTGAAGGGCCGGGGGAGGGGTTGTCTGGTGGGCATATTCGATGGAAGGTTTTTTTCTTGTTCTTCTTCTTCTGAATTGGTTGGTCTCTATCGCACCTTTTGTTTGCGGTTCTGGCAGCCCTTGCATGCCTGACCAATTCGCTTTCGCTGGTCTTCGAGAACTTTGGAGCGTGTCATCGTGTAGTTCGTAGTTCGAAGTTCGTAGTTCAAGGGTTCGGGATAAGGCGTGGGGGTTCGGGTAAGAGATAGTCGGGACAAGAGTTGACAAGTCGTCTGTGAACGGATAATGGCAAGAAAGTGGAGAGAGAGGAAGAAGGAGTAAAGAGGGCCAAGAGCCGTTCTCTCAGGAGAGGGGAGGGGGGAGATGCGAGATGCACGATGAGGTATAGTAGATAGAAGAAGGAGCTGAACGGGTGGTTGCACAATGAAATGGAGACGGTCTGGAGATTTCAAGATCTGCGGGACGTGGTGGCATTTTAAAGCCCTCCTCTTCGTTCCGTTCATTTATAACTAATTTGATGATGGAGGTTTGACAGGCCAGCGTCAGAATGACCTTGTACTGGGTATCTAATCTGCAAGTGGACACCCTCTCTCTCTTGTTAAAACATGCAAGAGTATGTCGAGCATTTCGTATTCCAGGAGAAGGAGGGAGGGGACTTGAGTGACTGGCTTCATTGCTCACTACGCCACCAAGACGCCCGTTTTAGCTCTTCAAGTCGAAAAGAGTAAGAGGCTGTTTACATGAGAAAACTACTTTGCTGATACAAGTGGCAGTACCTGGTAAAAAGAGGTAAAAAGAGGTCAAACGAGAGGTCAGATTGTGGTCCGATGGCCACGATGATGGGCCGCATGGGCAGGTGGCTTATACTGGGTAATCATAATGGCACCCCTTGCCCTTGCCAATACTGGTAATCTGTACCAGTCAGTACGCAGTATACCCAATAGTCTGTAGCCATCATCTTTCCCTTGCGACCGGTGTGCACTTTAGACACCAAGTCTCAAAGAGACCACGTCTTTGTGTGACGCCGACGACTGGGCTCAGTGAGACCATGATTATGATATCGGGCTTGGCTCTGGGAAATTGGGTGTGACTTTTTTTTTTAAAAAAAAAATGGCGACTCTACCCAGTCGTCTTGTCTGAAGAGGCACGATTTGGAGAAGGAGAGGGGAAAAAACGAAAACCCCAAAAAAAGACCAACTGACGGATCTGCCAAGGAGGGAGCGTGTTGCCGGCCGCCTGGATCCCAAGAGAAGGTCTCTCTAAGACAAGACGAGTTTTGACCCCAGTCACGCAGTCAGTCAACCATCTGATCATTATCTGTATCAAGTATTAAGCAGTGTAGCCACCCAGACACCCTGGTTACCCAGATTCTCGGCTGCACATCCATCCGAAAGAGCCACACAATCACCGTCAGGGAGCTTTTGACCAAGAGCGGCCGTTTTTGATTCATGAATGTGGGCTCATGCCTGCTGCTTGCCTCTGAGCCAGCCGGGTTCTTGGATGCATTTTACGCGGGAGGCGCCAATCCAAGGGGATGGAGGGCTGGGGGATGAATGGGCTCTCAGCCAAGACCAAGATGTCCAGGACGTCGCCGTGCATATTGTGGTATTGTGGCGGGGGGGAAGACATGCACAAAGGGCTGACAGTCGACCCCTGTCAGTATCGAACGGTCATTGCCACACGAGGATCATCATTGGATCGATTCAAAATGCCCGCGTCTTCCCATCTCAGCCATCTCCTCGGACGCAGGACGTGTGTCTCTTGTGTCTCTTGTGCCTCCAGACCCCCCTTCCTGTAATCTGTACGATATGGCAGGCAGGCAGCATGAAAACTCGGTCGGGCATCGCTGCCTGCCTGCTGTCTGTTCCCCTCCTCCCTTCCCCAAAACCGATCTCACAATACTGGCACTTGCTGGTTTAAAAAAGGACTGGAACTTTTTCTGGAACATGGCGCTTGCCAGCAGCCCTAATAGTATGTCGAAAGTTCCAAAAGATCCTCAGCAGACAAACAGGCAGGCAGGCAGGCAGGCAGGCAGGCAGACAGACAAGGGGCAGGCAGGCAGTGAGCAGAGTCTCAACCCGAACTGTTTCTCTCTCTTTCTTGACTCTCTTGTGGCATGTTAGTGTTGCTGCTGCACCGCCTTTTCCACCTGCAGTCTCTTCTGAAATCTGCGAGTTGTCGTTGCAGCAAGCACCACACACATGCGGCGCATCGAGACGACGATCACACACAAATCCAGAGAGAGAGCAAAAAACGTGAGATGATCGCCAGGGTGAGAACTTCAGAAACAAGGGCCCTTTTCTGCGACTAACCAGTTACGGGATGGGCGACCGAAACATCGGACCTAGAAGGGAATCCAGAGAATAGAAAGGAAAAGAAATCACGATGCTGCATGGGCCCTTGCGCCATTCTCCCCGCATCCCGGCTTGCCGGAAAGTGGACGGGGCCTAAGAGAGAGGCCCAATGACGGATCCTCGTTGCCAAAAAAAGAGGCTTCCTTTCAAGTCTTTGTTTAGCCTTCTTCTTCGCTGCTCTCGTCCTGCTTGCCGCTTTCGACGTGCATCATGTCCTGCCGCTCCATGCAAAAACCAGCTTGTAATCCCATTGAGAAAAGAGACAACAAGGACGAAGACGGGGCTTGCTGGATGAGATACGCGGTTACACAAAGGAAGAGGATCGACTTGGAATTTACTTTTCGCCTTCTGCTGCGCCCCTGGTCTCTGGATTGCGATCAATGACACCTTTTCGTCCTGCCCTTTCTTCCCTAACCTACAATTCCGGAGAGTCCCCCGTGCATATGTATGATCGAATGGGATGATATCAGTGTGCTGAGTCCCTTGGAAAGACAATGTATGTAGCAAGCCAGCACGTCACCGTGTGACGACATACCAAGACGTCAAAAGTCAGAAATATCAGGAATTTCCAAATATCAGGGACAGAACCTATTGTCAAAGCTGTCGTGATTTCCAATCGAGGAAAAAATGCCTGCCGATCCCCAAATACCAAACTTCCCACTTCTTGGGACTCTCGATCGGCTCGACCGCCTTTCCAGCGATGAAGCCTCAATCACAAGCAAGTTCCAAATCGGCGGCGTCCCGTCTGCAGGGAAATCACCGAATGTTTATTGGTAACCAGGGGGGGAGGGGGGGAGGACCGGGGTATGATGGGCCCCGGTTACATGGGTCAGCAACTCCATTTCATTTCAATCTTTTTTATTTCTTCCTCTCTTTATCCTCTACTGAGTCAAAACATGGGCCCTCCCGTGTTTCTCGATTACGCGGTTTCTGTAGGCCAAACCAGTTCTAATTAGTGGCACACACTCTCCCTCTCTTCGCTGCGATCTCGGCGGGCAAGGATCTTTTATTCTGAGAGATGCCAACGTTATGGTGTGTTGCACAATGGGAAAATAGTCTCTCCTTCAACGGCTGAGGGCCAATTACTCGTTTCCCGTCAGCTAGCCACAAGTCTATCAGCCCGAGACCTTTTGTCTTCCCCCTTCTCCAACAAGCATCCTATCTATTCGTATAAGTCTGTATGTTTGACTCGTTAAAGATGGGAGTAAATTATGCCTAAAATAAACCCACATTTTTACATGTTATTTTTATCTCCCGCCATGGGAGAGAGAGAGAGTGGGAAGCGTCCCAGCCGCCCGGCTGACTTCAGCCTCAATCGCACTTTTTTTTTTCTTCTTCTTCTTCTTTTCACTCTCCTTCTGAGTCTCGGTGGCTTTTTTCCCAACCGTCTCTCTAACGCTAGGCTGGCAAAACACACGAGGTCGCATCCTCCTTTGTGGCGGCGGAATTCCCATCCGTCGCGCCCAGCTGCATACACAGGCGCATGAGGATGGGTTGCACAACAGCGCCTGGACATGCACTGTCTCATGCAAGCAGCCTGCACCGTCCGCCTCGACGATGCCTAATTCTCCGAGACGTGCGCTGCAGGGCGGTGGGAAAGAAGAGCCGGGCAAGGCGGATGGGTAATTGTTAGTCTTTTGATGATTGTCTAGAGTGCGTGATGTACAGATACAGAAAAAAACAATGGTGATGGGCGGGCAATAGTGCAAAAAAAGAAATGAGAAACAGAAAAAGGTGGTGTTTTTGATCCATTGGCTGCAAATCATCCATCCATTGGCTTTGAAATCTGATGTTCTACAGCACCAGCCTGCCCGGCTCGTCCTCCAGGATAAACTTGCAGCGCTGCAGGAAGACGTACGCCCTTTCCTCCTCCGTCTTGGGTACGGTCAGGGTGAACACGTTGCCACCCGACGAGAGGCCAGGCACCGTGTCGATCGTCACCATGCTGGGCGTCCGTGGCGCCTGGGCCGGCCGGCCGGCGAGCTCATCGATGATATCGTGCTTGACGTGCAGCTCCGCCGCGCCGCCCTTGGGCTTGTACGTGGCGCCCGCGGGAATTGCCGACACCTGCGGCAGGTAGATGCCGCGAGAGCTGCGCGCCCCCTTGACCTTGTCGAGGCCGAGAACGGCGTCGAACAGCTCGCCCGCCGTCGGCTCGCGGCGCGCCGGGGGCAGCTCGTCGTTGGCCACCTCGGCGGCGCGGCTGATGAACGTCGACAGCGGCAGGAAGACGCCCAGCGTGTCCTGGATCTTCCGCTGCACCTGCGTCACCTTGGCCAGCGAGACGGGCACGTTGACCTCGAGGGGCAGCTCCTCCTCTTCCACGGGGGGTGCCGGGACGGCGGCGGCTGCGGCTGCCTCCTTCTTCTTCTCCGCGACCTTGATGTTGCTGAGGTCCAGGTGGGCGAGGTGGTCGAAGCGGGAGGAGACGGCGGCGGGCGTCTCGGCGCTGATGCTGCCGAGGAACGCCAGCACGTCGCCCTTGAGCAGCCGGCCGTTGGGGCCCGTCGGCTTGATTTTGCTGACGTCGGCCTCGCTGATGCCGTGGGCCTTGACGAGGTGCTCGACCGAGGGCATGAGGGGGTGCTTGTGCTCGTACGACTGGCCGCCCTGGGCAGGCTTTTGCTGCTGGCTGCTGCTGCTGCTGCTATCAGGCTTAGACTCGCTCTTCGTCTCCGACGAGGCCGGCTCGGAGGTGGCGGCCGCGGCCTGCTTGGGCTGTTCGTCGGCGGGGATCTCGAGCGCGGCGATGTCGTCGCCGGCCTCGGCCAGGACCGCGATGCGGGTGCCGACGGGCACGGCCTTGCTGCCGTCCTGGGACATGATCTTCATCATGATGCCGTCCTCCTGCGCCTCGACGTCCATCGTCGCCTTGTCCGTCTCGATCTCCAGCAGCACGTCGCCGGCGCTGAAGCTCTCGCCCTCCTTGACGCGCCAGCTGGCGATGTTGCCCTCGGTCATGGTCGGAGAAAGGGCGGGCATAATGAAGTTCTGGGCGGCGAGGCATCGTGCAGAGGTCGAGAAGCCTGGAGGGCGGCGGGCCCGTGGTCAGCAACAACGTTAGAAAGTGAGGGTGATGATTGAGGGCGAGAGTTAGACGTACCACGAGCAGAGGCGCGGCTACGAGCCGCACGCATAGAGGCACGGCATGCCGTTGCTAGAGACGCCATCGTGAGGCCCAATTGAGCTGTGTTGGCGACGGCAAAGGATAGAGGAGGGCGGCGTTGAAGGGGGGGAATTGGTTGCGACAAAAAGGTGAGAGCTTTCTTTTCGAAGCTGTTGGGGACCGCCGATAGAGGCGGACGAGTCCGTTGTTTTTTTAGTGGGGCGACGGCGGTACGTACCGGAAGATGAGACGACAAATCTTACAGCCAGGAGAGTGAACTTGGCCATGATTCATCCATGAAATGTAATGTGTTTTTTATAGAAAAACAGTCTATTCAAATTAAACAAGTATCGCCATATGAATCCGTCTGTTAGTCGTGGATTCCCAACTTACCCTCTATCACTTCATCACCCTGCTGCCCCTTTTAGGCATAGCCCTATTTACCCCTGTCAGTCCCTATCTAACGCTACCCATCAACCAAAATGTCAAAATTGTTAGCAACCAAAACTCCAGCAGGGGTCTCCAGAAACGAACTCAATGGCTCTGACGGCATAGCCATTATTGCATTGTCTACTACGCATGTCGTTTTCTTGCTTTGTGTCATAACCCGACTCCCCTCCTCCTTCTCCCACCATGGCCAGCCTCGGTCTCGGCACGAGCACATCCCTCGTCAGGAGGCAGCTCCTCATAACGCCGTGCCGAACGGCCACGACCCCCCGACTCCTCGATGCGACGCCCACGACCCGGTCTAGGCTGCTCAGCAGCTCCGCCTTCCGCCTCCACGCCGCCGCAAAACCGGCGCTCAAGACGATACCGAAGCCCTCCGCACCGACGGCCAAGGCGCGGGGGGCGCAACCTGCTGCGCAACCGCGCCCGCCAGCGACGCCGACGCGATACGCCTTCGTCAAGAGCCTAGGCTCCAAGACGACGCCGACGGTGCTGTACGAGTCACCCTCGCACTTTTGGTTCTACTTTGGCTGCTGGACGAGCGGCGTCTCGATCCTGGCGTGGACCGCGCTGACCGGGCCGACGGTCGTGACCCAGCCCGAGGGCACCCCCGAGTGGGTGGGCTACGTCTTCGAGGCCGCCTACGTGCTCCTGGGCTCCATGGCCTTTTACCTCCTCTCCAAGACGCCCAACATTGTCCGGTCGATCCGCCTCCTGCCACCCGCTGCTGCTGCTGCGGCGACGTCCTCCCCCGCGGCGCCCCGGGTTGCCGCCATGCCCCGGCTCGAGGTCACGGTCAACCGCATGGTGCCCGTCCTGAAGCCCAGGGTGCTCGTTGTGAGCCTGGACGACGTCGCGCTCAAGTCGCGCTTCTCCCTCCCGGACAAGTACGTGCCGGAGCTGCAGCGGCGCGCGGCGGCGGCGGAGACGCGGGAGACGCGGCGAAGGTTCGACATGCAGCACCTGCTGACGATGCCGTTCCGGCACGTTGGGCGCGCGGTGGCCGGTTTCTTCCAGGGCGTGCGGGCGGCGTGGACGGACATGGGGTTCGCGACGATCAGAGTGCGGGGCAAGGAGTTCAAGGTGGACGTGACCAGGGGCTTCGCGCACGAGGGGTTCAGGACGCTGGAGCGGCTGGTGTCGGTTGGGTACAAGAGCGGTTGAGGTTCGTTAATGCGTGAAAAGGCAGCCGTGGAGGGGGGTGCATGAGAACAAGGCCGAGTGGCTAAGAAGGAGTCTGCAGTCGGGCACATTCTGGAAAGGACTGATAATGGGCGCCATCGGATGGATGGCGGCATTTGGGGATGTATACTACTGGCTCGGGACATGGCGGAGAGTGACGTCAATGTAAGATAGTCCTTTAGAGATGTATCATAAATCTGTTCCAACTATGGAGAGGCCAAGTTGCTATTCGCCGTGGACGACATTCATCTCTCAAATCATGCAACGCATCCAAGTTTCGACTTGGTATGCTCAGGTGAGCGATCAACAAACCACTCCGCTTACATTCAAAGCACACGTAGTCGGCGAATCGCGAAATTTGACAAATCTTTGCGGGATGGCTGGACTTGCAATCTGAGCGGTGTGAAGAGCACGATTCATGTCCATGCGTGTGTGGTGGTGTGGTACTCGCAAACTACCCTGTACTTCAAGCCCCAATCTGATTTGCACGAAGACGGTCACTCTGGAGGGGTCCATTACTTTCGTCATCCTATTAGGCTTTCCTTGGTAATCCTAGCAACTTCCGATATCTGTGACAGTGAAACGTCGTGCTGGGCGGCTTGGCGTTTTGGGTTGTTCGTCGCGTATTGCTGCGACACGAAACCTGCGACAAACTTGTTGCTGAGCTTACCCTGCATGGGTTAATTGGGCAGCAAAGAACCCGAGGAGGCTTTGCTTAGACTTCTCTCTCTCGACCAATAATAAATCTCATGGATGCAAGATTATTATTTTTTTTGCCACACATGGGTGCGCATCTCGCAGCCGCGTCCTTCCTTTGTAACCGAGTCCCACGTACAACAGATCTACAAGGTCAGGATGCGTCACGTTGTGCTGCAAACAGCGACGTAGCACAACCCCTTCGTGGCCGCCAAGATCGACGGCGCGGCTCTCTTTCTTTTCGTACAGCTATTCATCAGACAAGTTGCATTTTTTCCCTTTGGGGTGAGGTTTGCCTTTCGTGCAGCGTACTAAGAGAGCCCTTGTGGTTGCTTTGCTGTAAGCCCAGGGTCCAAGAACCTTGGTGGCGCGACACCGAAGAACTTTGAGTACCAATGTTTGGTAACAGAAGCTTCCGGTCCTCTGGGACCGTGAGGGACCCTGAAGTGCACTACCGTACATCTGCGAAGCTACTCTAGATAATGTATCGGTGCGCAGGTATGTAGGTGTATACCCGAGAATCAACTCGCCCAAGGGCAGCATCGGGCCGGATCAAAAAAACAAACTGGTACGACAAGGGAAGCCAGAAGCGCGTACAACCAGCTGAATGAAGAGCGAGAGTGAGAGCATCGTGGAACATCTGCCGAGACACCGACTATTTCATACAGCTACACCAGCACCACCCTTGGGGGCGACCAGCAGGCTTGGTGCATGTTGGCGGTGCTGCTTTGTTTATGACTTTTGACCCCGCGAATAGCATTCCAATTCTGACGTCGAGGTGGCGCGGGGTCCTCGAAGGTTTCCCTGAATGAGCAAGGTGGCGTTAAACTTGCCAAGCCGGTGCAGAGTTGGCACACGGGGGAGGGTGGAAGGGCAAGGCTCGTGGCGGCGCGCGCGTTCGGATATCGCAGACAGAAACCCAGTGGTTAGTCAACTAGTATATGCCATTTTACGTCATAATCTTCAACAGGCGGGGGAAGGGGGCGGCACGTCAACTAACCGGCTTCCCTTGTTCATGCGGCGAGATGGAGTGTGATGTGGGCTGGATGGGCAACTTCTTCACCACATGAACAATCATCGTCATTTTTCTCTTGTCTTGTCGTTTATGACGGGGCTTCGGCGGCGGTGTGAAGTTGGAAAGGAATTTGAGACCAATGACGAGAATTGTACAATAGCCCGCCAAGCTGGTTCGGGAATAGAGTGTAGATTGGAGGCGGCGAAGGGATATCAGGCGGGGCTGGGGGACCTGTTGGAAGAAGCTGAACAATATTCGCCATGTCATTATGGAGGGAGAAGAAGAGTGCTAACATTCTTCTTTGCATAAAGTTGGGATCAAGGTCTTGGCTAGAGGTGGTTGGTTGGCTCATCTTGATCAAAGCACCCGAGGCTCCAACTCTAAACGCGAACGGATAGACTCGCCTCATCGTCTGACATTTGTCGTTTTGAAAAAGATGCTACTTTTGACTGACAGACTACCCCACGCTGAACTTGCCGCTCGAGGTAGCAGGTTGTAAGTTAGTTAGTCTTAGTTTCGGACCCCCGCGCCAACGCCCAAGTCAAACGGGATGGATGGATGGATGGATGGATGCACGGATGGCGGATTATGGTTGGCTAGCGTTGCCGAAATCAATTGGTCAAGATGCACGTCCTGTACGTAGGGTTCCGCTCGAATGAACCTGGTCTACGGAAGATCACGGGCGACCCCGGCTGGCAGTTGGCGTTAGTTAGCAGTGAAGCTGGTGATGCAGCAGACCAGGCTTGCACCAACAAGACAAGCTCGGTGTCGATCCCTCCCTCCCCGATAGCGGCGGTCGAGGGGCAGCCCTGTACATGTGCGATTAAACTCTTTCCTCGCACATACATGGCATCATGTTTTCTTCCATTCTTAGAAATGGAACGTTTTGGCGGATACGGTAAAGTCGAGTTGCACCGCATGCACGGCGATAGTGCTGACTAGCGAAATGAGGCAAACGTGAGATGATCAACAGGACTACCAGTAACTAACGATGTAGGTTGCCATGTAGGTTGCCATCCTTTTATTAGTGCAAGGTGGGGAGGGTTGGGGGTGGTGCCGCTTGTATCTGTAGATTGGAAAAGCAAAAGGTTGTTGCCGCTCCCGAGGGCACCAAGTACAGCAACCCTGAGCCACACGATGTAGAGGCTCAACGATGTTGATGAGCGGTGTAAGAGTAGGCAAGAGCGTGACAGGTTGCAATCCTCGTCGGAGAGGACTGGAGCTCAAGGCTGAACAAGGGAGGGAAACTCAATGTAGGACGGACAGAACCTTGATACAGGATAGATAGAAGCTTAAAGGCGGGAAGCGGAAGAAGGAACCCACCACGAGCACGGAGCCCCCTCCCCCATCAGCAACACATTTGGCCGTGTTAGTTGTTAGTTACTGGTAGTCTGAACGGGAGCGTACTGTAGTAGGTTCCACAGCCGGGAATGCAACTCTCCAGCGGTCCATCGACACGGACACTAAGCTGCCTTGGCTGTAGTTGACGGCGGTTGTTTCTTTTTCCACCTTTGACTCGACATTTGACTGCCGAAGACCAGACACCAGAGGAGAAAGAAAAACCGACAATGACCGAGTTGCATCAAGGCCTTGGCATACACTCAACACACCCCGGCAAGAAAAAGCTGCACGTCGCACACGTAGCATGTAGATGTATATGCAGGACAAGGAGACACGTTGACGCGCAGGAGAATCACCCGATGATGTGCATTGATCGTTGCCAGAAGAGCGTCAACTGAATGAACGAATTGTTTCAACACAGCTCAGTCAACCCCCGCGCCGAGACCCTTGTCTAAGCAGGTTTCCGATCTGTCCATGTTGGTTGATATTAACTCTTTGGAGGTGGGCTGAGCTCTTGGACCACTTGACGTCTGATATTAACGAGAATGACTGCTAAACATGCGGAAAATCGCGACATGAGATGATCGATGGAAAACTATTCCACTGGTGAGCTCGCATGCCTTGTAAGAAGCGGTGTACTTGAAACGCGCTGCTGCTGGAGATCGTAGCGCCTTTTTCCCCCCTCACTGTCAGGCTATGTGCATGGGATCACGCGAAAATGAGGTGTGGCCGATCCACTCCAACCCACGCAGCCATCTATCTGTGTATCTGTAGTTAGTGGGAAAAAGTTGTACACGCTTGTGTCTCTTTAGGATAGCAGCGAGACGGGTTGGATGGGCGTCTTCTTTCAGTGCTATGTAAGTGAGGGAGCCATCTAGAACTAGGATTTCCCGCCTCAGCGGCTGGGCTGGCCTGTAGTGCGTGAATGTGCATGCATGCATGCATCTCCAGAAGAGGAACTGCCGTACGGAGGAGGGACAAGGTCAGGTCAAGGGTCTAGTTGCATCTCCCGGCCTACGCTCCGTTGGATCACGGCGCCCGGAGATTGGAGATTCTTTTCGGGGCAAGGGAGTGAGTGAGTGAGTGAGTGAGTGAGTGGTGGCTTGCACCGATGCACGTCCAGGGAGTCTGGGGATAGTCAGCAAAAAAATATCCATCTGCGAGATGGAAGCGGAAAGGTCGCGGAAAGGAAGACGACGACAACGACTCAAGGATAGATTGCCAGGGTATCATCGTCCTTGGTTGAAGCCATGGCTGATGTCACTCAGCGGCAAAGTCGAGTCTTGGCGGGCGGGCGGGCCGGGCGTGGTCGCAAGCAAAATGGAATCAGCCGATTCGTGAACTTGTCGTCAAGTGGCAAGGACATGAGATGTGAGAGAAAGAAGGAAAGAAGTAACTTGTGCTACTTGGGCGAGAGAAGGAGAAAGCATGTGGGCGTCTTGTCGGTGTACCAGCGGATGCCATCCGTAGTTATTGAACAGACGTGTAACCGAAGAAGGCAGAGGCCAGATAACCGCTCAAGGGTACATCTCGACCCGTGCGGTGCGTGGGAAGGCGGCGGTGATCAAGATGGACCAATGAATCTGCAATGGAAATGACGAAAAAAGGTATCCTGGTATAGATACATACATGTCGGGCTGGGCTGGTGAGCACGTATGCATCCTCATGACAAGAGTAGCGTCACGCTGGATGTGGAGGGGGTGGGTGGTGGTGGTGGTGGTGGTGGTGGTGTGGTGTGGTGGTGAAGGAGAGGAGGCGGGGTATGTATAATAATTGGATGGGAGGGAGGAAAGAAGGATAACTATAAAACAAAACAAAATAAAATAGGATACTTGGTTATAACATAACATGCAAAGCGAGCGAGCACGGCTAATGGCAGTGGGGCTTGAACAATGAAGATGAAGGGGATTGCCATGTACATGAAAGAAGATGGAAATAGAAGACGGACTTGGGGGATATCAGAGAGCTCGGGGCGGAGTTTGCAGCGGGCAAAGAGCCGACCAATACCAGAGGTGTCCTGGTGGGTGTCTCACGGTGCACAGAGTATCTGCGCCACTGCCGTGCCGTAGGGGTATCAGCTCAGCGGAATAATGGTACATAGTTACACAGTTACAGCAGCAGCTAGAATAGCTTCACAAAGAAAAGGGGAGCAGGACCCGGAGGGACGGAGAGTTTTGGGCTAGTGAGTTGCCAAAGCCGATGATGTGCAGTGGAAAATGGGCAACATCATATCATATCATATCATAATAGCTGGTGATATGGTGATATGTGAGATGTATGCATGTCCCGTGGCGCATCTCCCTTGTCCTCCTCCGCCCGGGAGGCGTCTTACGGCGCAGGCCCGTGACGAGCTCGTCATTTGCATCATGACAGGGCGGCAGCGCCATCAGCTGGGCGACACTACTCCGTACTACTGGCAAGTTGGTAGTTACTCCGGTTAAGCAACTAGTTACTGAGTAGTTTAGTTGCTAGCGGGCGGGTTAAGGTGGCGGCGCATCTACAATCCATCATTATTGGACGCCCAAAGAACAAAAAAGTGTCAAGACCAAGCAAAGACGCAGGTCAGTGTGGCGGCGCATCTGATCCATCACTATTGGACGCCGAGTGGGAAGGAATGTCAAGACCGAGATGCAAGCAGGGCTTGCCTGCGCAGATGCACATCTCAGCAAGATGAAGATACAACCAAGACGGTGGAGAGGGGCCCCCTACAGGCATTTACCAGTCCAACCCAGGTAGGCAGTTATGTAGCTGTGGTTGGCTAGGCTCTTCTGCGGTTGCAGCCGGGCGGCATCGCAGCCGAGCACACAAGATGCGGCGGCCGCGTTTGTCTCTTGCAAGAAAAAAGTCTGGAGCGGCCCAGGCCCGGGGCCCGGGCTTCAGGCTTGGCCATCGAAGCCCAGTCGAATGGAATTGTAGATGGGGGGGGG